CCCTGATAAGGAGAAGCATGGAGGTAGTGGAAACTCTCACTAGGATGAGAGTAGACATCTGTTCTGTTCAGGAGCACAGATGATTGAGTGGACTGGAGGCGAATCAGACATATCTTAACAAAGACCTCTACTATACATTCTTCTGGTGTGGAAACAAGGATGGACAAGGTAGTGCCAGCATTCTGTTGGCTGAAAATGGGTGGTGGTGGTCCTTGATGTTCAATGGATCTCAAATGGAATCCTATTAGTAAGGTTGGTTGTAGGCAGGGCTGTTTTTGTGTTTCTCTCTCTCTTTGTGCTGCAAGTCAGCCATCCTGACACAGAAAAGGAACGCTTCTATGACCAGTTGCAGAGCCTGGTTTCAGGAGTTCCCTCATTGGAGATTCTTATACCTCTTGTGGATTGGCATGAGCATATGGGTGCCTGTGTCAGTGGCTTTGATGAGGTTCATGGCAGTCATGGAAATGGGGTACGAAACACTGAAGCCGAGAGAGTACTGTTGTTTGCCTTGGCAAATGATCTGATCATTAGCAACATTCGGTTCTTGAAAAGAGAGTCACACCTGGTCACCTTCACTTCTGGCAGTCATAAATCATAGATTGACTATATCCTATATCATAAAAGTCTTCAGCAAGTTAGTCTTGGATGTCAAAGTTATACCTGGTGAGGAATGCGCATTGCAACATCACCTGATAGTTTGCAACTTTAAAGTTTCCATACCAAAATTCAGGAAATTCAAGTTCAAACCCTACCTTCAAACCTGGAGGCTTCATGATCTAACTATCCCAAGCAAGTTCCAAACAGCCTACAATGCTAACTTGAGGTCCTTGCAGACTGACATTGATGCTGTACCAAATGTGGAAGAGATCTGGTCTAATGCTGAAGACACCTTTGCTGGAGGCAGCCAATGAGTTATGTGGCACCTCCAAGTGGAAACCAGAGACTTGGTGGTGGAATGGTCGGGTTGATGATGCTGTCACTAAGAAAAGGTCATGCTACAGAACCTACAGGACTCTCATGAGGCAGGATTTTGTCGCTAAAGTGGCTGAAGCAAAGGTAGCCTACAGCAAGGCCAAGCATATTGACAAATAAGTTGTATAGCTTGCCAACTCAGAGGCTGAGAAGAAGACTTTCACTGATATATCACCTCACAGCGACAAAGTCTTCTGTCTTGCAAAGCAAATGGACAGAACCAACTATGATGTCATTGGTGAGAAGTGTGTTTAGAATGATGCTGAAGAATTAACACTCAGCGATGACTAAAAGATGAAAGCTTGGGTTGGATTGACCTAGTGATACATTCTCTGAGGTTGCACCAGTTGCAAGTCCTCCTCCATTTCCATTTGTAACATCAGCACTGATTGGCAAAGTGGCCAAGAAGATGAAATGTAGAAAGGTAGTTAGAATGGTGAAAGCATCTCGTGATAAAGGCATTGAAATGCTTAGGTTACTTACGGAATCAGTTTTCAGTAGTGGTGTGATCCCAAGTGAGTGGGAGGAGGGCTTGATTCTCAGCCTCTAGAAGGGCAAGGGTGATGTCTTGGACATAAGCAACTACAGAGACCTCAAGCTCACTGGTCAGGTGATGAAACTGCTGGAAAGTGTGTTTGACTCCTACATCAGACAAATGGTCAGCATCGATGAAATGGTGTATGGCTTTATGCCAGAGAGAGGCATCACTGATGCAATTTTTTTGTGCGTCAGCTGCAGGAGAAATTCATCACTGCTATGAAACCTCTCTTTTTTACCTTTGTGGATCTGGAGAAGGTGTTTGATCAAGTTCCAAAAAAGGTGATTTGGTGGGCCATGAGAAGCCTTGGAGTTGAGGATTGGGCTATTTGTGTGGTTCAAAGCATCTACTGCAATGGCAGAGTTGAGTCAGTTGCCAATATAGCAGGGAGTTTGTTGTTGGTGTTCATCAAGGATCAGTCTTGAGTTCACTGCTTTTCATTCTCATGTTGAAGGCATTCTCTCAGGAGTTCTGCACTGGTGTACCATGGGAACTTCTATATACTGACGACCTTGTGTTAATCACTGACACCCTAGATGCCATGGCGAAGCACACCCTATTGATGGCAAGGCACTACCCAAGTCATTTTGGACAGTTCAAAATTTGATATTTCTCCCTATTTCTGTTATCTTGGGGATATGCTCTGTGCAGGTGGAGGTGTATATATATTAAAATAATAAGAAAGAACAGTAAGATTTAGAATTTGGTGTTCTTTTTGGTGTATATATATATATATATATATATATATATATATATATATATGCACATCAATAGCAGTTAATGTAAATTTTGTGAAGATACATAAGTACACCAGGCATTGTAAATTGTGTAGAGATGTAAAAATGTGTTTTGAAAATTTGTATATATATATATATATATATGCACATCAATAGCAGTTAATGTAAATTTTGTGAAGATACATAAGTACACCAGGCATTGTAAATTGTGTAGTGATGTAAAAATGTGTTTTGAAAATTTGTATATATATATATATATATATATATATATATATGCACATCAATAGCAGTTAATGTAAATTTTGTGAAGATACATAAGTACACCAGGCATTGTAAATTGTGTAGAGATGTAAAATGTGTTTTGAAAATTTGTATATATATATATATATATATATATATATATATGCAATAATAGTTAATGTAAATTTTGTGAAGATACATAAGTACACCAGGCATTGTAAATTGTGTAGAGATGTAAAATGTGTTTTGAAATTTGTATATATATATATATATATATATATATATGCACATCAATAGCAGTTAATGTAAATTTTGTGAAGATACATAAGTACACCAGGCATTGTAAATTGTGTAGAGATGTAAAATGTGTTTTGAAAATTTGTATATATATATATATATATATATATATATATATATATCAATAGCAGTTAATGTAAATTTTGAAGATACATAAGTACACCAGGCATTGTAAATTGTGTAGAGATGTAAAAATGTTTTTGAAAATTTGTATATATATATATATATATATATATGCACATCAATAGCAGTTAATGTAAATTTTGTGAAGATACATAAGTACACCAGGCATTGTAAATTGTGTAAAGATGTAAAAATGTGTTTTGAAAATTTGTATATATATATATATATATGTATATATATATATATATATATATATATATATATAATGTAAACAGCAGGCAATGTAAGTTCTGCAAAGATGTACACGACAGGCAAAAAGTTTGGGTCTACCCTGCATTTCTTTAAAAAAACACCTTAATTTCAAACAGTCATGCATTTGCTTTCATTCTATGTTGTTTTGTTGTTGAAAACATTTTTAGATTGTATAAATACCATCATGGTACATATATATCTATACCAATTCAACTGCTTTAGGGAGATGGATATTTAATTGCTATTTAAAATGTAAGATGCTGAAGTTATCACTTTATTAAAAATTCCAGTACTTCCAAGAATTTCATTTTAGTTAAAAAAAAAAAAAAAAAAAAACAGGATTGATTTCACTCAGAAATTCATGAAAAGAAGAAAAAATCTTGCTTTAACACTAGGATGTCCAGATCCTTTGACATCTTTATTTACATTACACTGTGAAGCAGCCATCTCTAATATATTCAATATTCAAGTCATGAATAACAAGTCTGAAAAGAAATTCACAAATATTAGTATACCTCATACTGAAAGAAAGTTATATATATATATATATATATGTGTGTGTGTGTGTATAAATTATGTGTGTGTATGTATAGATAGATAGATAAATAGGTAGATAGGGGACATAAACACAAGTATTATTGCTTGTGAGAAATTTTTCAATGCATTTACCCTATGAATAGCCTAGGTGTCAAAAACGACACCTCAGCCATTGAAGGTAAAACCTCAAATATCAGCTATTCCAGTGAATATTTTTAAAAAATTAAGTCTGTTAAGCATCTTTGCTAAAATTCAATAATTGTCCATAAGCCTCAGCATTGAACCAAAACTAGTTATTCCATAGTAATTTGTTGAAAATTTGAAGGTGTCAAAAACGACACCTCAGCCATCCTAGTGTTAACCAAGCACTTTTACTGCTGTGTTGTCATAGCATCATTACCTGGCTGTACTGGCCCATTTTGGGAAATGTAGGAGATAACCATTTAATGCATGTAAATTTCTATAAAGACATTGATGAAGAGATTTTTTTCATGGGTGTCAATATTTTATCTTTAGTTGAATACTCTGCAGTACAGACTAAGCTAAACAGCATCCTTGATTAACAGTATAATAGAAATATGTCAGAAAACAAGTCATATTGTACACTACTATATATCTACACTGGTTTGGAAATAGCACTAAGCACTAGTTAGTTTATGACACAAAGAACAGTAGATATATTAATAAGAGTAGATAGGTTCACACTCCTCTCCTGTCTTTTGAACAGGATTAGAGGTTTATCTCTTGTTTCCTGTTTAGGATTGCATTTCTGGTTCCTTCTAAAGTTTTCTCATTCTCTTTCTCACCCAGTATAGCCTCTTGCACCTTAGTGGTATTAATGCCTTGAGTGGTTTGAATTAATTAAAAAAAATGTTAGGGATTGACATTTCACAATGTTTTAAGAATGTATATATATGTCAACATCAGGCTTTGTAAGTTTTGTAAAGATTTATAAGTACATCTTGAAAGCTTATATATATGTCAACAGCAGGCATTGTAAGTTTTATAGTGTATGTATATATATGTTGATGGCAGGCAATGTAAGTTTTGTAAATATGTATGTCATCAGCAGCTGAAGTGTTAATTTCATTTTTATCTCATCCTTTTCTCAATCTGTGAATGTTTTTTCTTTTTTCTCGATCCCACCAAATCATATAATCATGAATAAAAAAAAAATCACCTGATTATTTTCAATCTGGTGTATGCTGAAAGTTATAAGATATAATTGTACAATTAAATGCCTTTTACTTAAATTGATAAATTTGTTTTTGCAGATTGTCCATACTGAGGCAGAAATTTTAAAGATGAAAGACGACATTCTCATAAACAGATGTCAAGCTAAAAAAGAGATGGAATTTTACTACAATGAAATTGTCTGTACTGAAATTCTCATTTTAAAACTTAACATTCACACTCTACCAGAAAAAAATTAATTCCTGTATAATGTTTTTGATAATTCATAAAAACATGATCAACAACCTTTAATGATTATTGGCCACTTTGACTATAGGAAAGAGGGCTTGAAGAATTTAACACTCACAGGACATATTGCTGGCAAGAGGTAGTGGTAATGGTAATATTAATATTAGCTGTTTCCTTATAAGAAAACATCTGGTATTCATTGACTGAGCAGCCAGTGTTTCTGTCAGTTGAAATTTATAAAATCTTTCTCTTAAAACAATTTTTCAGGAAAATAGGTTTCTCAAGCCCAGTAGCTGTTATCACTCTTTCTCGTATCAATGTGGGCTTCTTTCCTAACATTTTAGTAGTAGTGTGGAATGTCAGCCTCTTGATTATGTTGTTTTTTCTTTGTGTTATATGTCATATCCATTTTAGTTGTTGTTGCTGTTGAAAGACATCAAGTGATATGGTTGCTGTTATCTGGAACAGTTCTTTGTTTGTGATTCTGTAGCACGAGTTCACAGAGGGAAATAGTAAGTAATGTACCTGATGAGCCTGTGCAAATGAATATCAGAACAGAGACTGGTAGATGCAATAAGGAGACAAACATTACTTAGTGCTACAAATGATAGAAAGTTGTGTAGAGCCATGATCGCCTATGTCTTGGAGGGACAGAGGAAAGCAACAAATAACCTACCCAATGATCTTGTGCAAATAGATAGCAGAACAAGTACAGGGAGGGTTAGTAATGTGACTGTTATATAGGAATAAAATGTCACTGCCAACGCTTGAGTTTGAACATAGATCACCAGTGAGCAAACACAGGTGATCCCATTATTGAATAAGTAGACCACATAACTATAGAGGAAACACATAAGTAGGAAGTCACATGACAACTATTGATCATTATATTCTAGTCTATCCTTTATTACTATTCAGATCATACTTTCTATTCTATCCTCTGTTACTATACAGACCACTGTTCTCTACTCTATTCACTATACTATTTCTCTATTCAGATAAGTATACAGGTTACATGTCGAGCGAGTATTATCGAGCAAGTACTATTAGTATGAGTGTTATTCAAAGGCGTCTGACACCAGCATTGTTCAACAGCATACTATAGTTGTATCTGTGATTACAAAGTCTCTAATACAACGAGCATTACAAAAGTGACAATGAGTATTCGTTGGCATCACAAAAGTGGCAATGAGTGTTCATTGACACCACAGAAGTGACAAACATTACTTAGATCTACAAAGGATAGAGTTATGGAGGGCCATTATCATACAAGTCTTGGAATGACATGGCATATAAATGAAAATAGTTTCTCTAAATTGCTAAACATGGATTATTTCAACGTTGAAATTGTTTTTAGGATTTTGCTTAGAATTTAGGAAAAATCAGGGTAAGCCTTTCAATACATACACTCAGAGTATGTAGATATATTGACATCTATATGCAAATTAATATTTTGACCATAAGACCCCACCACAGTTAAATCAAGGGGGATTTCTTCTGGATAATATCCCAATGGTAAGATGATCCCAGCATGCAGCATCATTAGAAGTGCCTGAGAAACATATGACAAGTTGACTCTAGCTTTGTGAGTAAAATTAGACAGACAAAACTATACAAGAGACATCAATGGTTGTACTAACATGAAGTTCCAAGTCAATTGAGGATTTGAAAGTATTGGCCTAGTTCAAGTACTGGTTATACCAGATCAGGCACACTCAGCTGATCTCAGAAATGATCTATGGTTAATAGAGGCAAGGAATGGCTTGTTAATTTTAACACCTCCAAAAGGAAACTGCTCTTTATTAATCATCTAAGAGAATCCATTCTGCCTCCTATCAGCATGGTTGATACTAATCTGCAAGAGCGTGACTTATTGCATCTTCTCAGGCTAACGTTTTCTGCTAGCATGAAGTGGAAAGAGTATATTGAATAAACTGCAAGGTCTACTGCTAGGAAAGTTGGTTCACTTTGTTATGCTAGTAAATCTTTCTTGTCAGAATCTATTGTACATATTTATAAGTCTACAATTCATCCATGCTTTGAATATTGCTGCTACATCTAGTCTGGTGCTCCTGCTGCATATTTAGAGATTCTTAATAAAATCCAAAGAAGAAGCTGAAATTTTATTGGTCCTCCCCTGGCATCTCAGCTTCATTCCTTTTCTCATTGCCATAATGTAGCTTCCCTGTGTCTTTTCTATAAATACTTTCATGGTAATTGTGCTGATGAAGTTTCCTCTTTGGTGTCAAGACTTTATGAATTTAAGTGTACTACAAGATTGGTAGCAAGGTCTCATCATTTTACTAAATGAAACTCTAGGTTCTATGCTAATAGTTTCTTCTCTCATACTTCTCACTTGTGGAACTCTTTTCTGGCTTCTTCTTCAAATCAACTTTGATCTTCAAAAATTTAAATGCACTGTCAATTGTTATCTTTTGTCTTCTTAATTAATGTTCTTTTATTTTTTTTCTTTTGTTAATAGTATTTTTTTCTTTTCCTCATACTCTTTCTTGCTCAGTAACCCCTTGCATCTTAGTGGGTTTATTGCCTTGCTTGGATGAAATGAACAAAAAAAATTCTTTAAGCCATGTGTCTTCTAGTCCTTTTTGAGTGTCCCTGTGGCTAAGATGGGATATCTTGTGTTAGATTCTGGTGTTATTTCATTTCTGTGATGCCATTTCTTGTTAATTTCTGGTGAATATGAGTTTTTCATTATCTGTTCTATCTGAATTAAACACATGGCCATGAGGTAATTGTAATAACTTTTAAATAACCTTATATCTACCATCCTGAAAGGCATCCATTGGAATAATACTGTAGCATTTAAAGTCTTTTGATATTCATTACCATATTGAGTTCATACCAGTCTAATTTCTGAGATAAGAAATCATCAGTATTATTCATTAGTTTATCTAAATTATTGTTCTTATCTTAGTTGTCTTATACATGCACTTTCAACTTTGTACCCTTTGGTCATCTTCAGGTATCCATTTGACTAATAAGGATTCTTGGTTTAGTTTTTACCTGTGTTATTTTATTGTAATAATTCTAATTAGTCAATGTATAATATATGCAATTCCTTATCTCCATATATTAAAAATGATTTTTTTTAGTATTGCTGTTGAAGTAACTGAGTTTTGTATGCAAAATTAATCTGATTCTCATTGGAAACCTGTTTTTATTTCTCTTCCTATATTTCAAAGGAAAAAACCAAGAAGCATAATGACATTTGGCAAGAGAAAGTCAAAACTGTGCAACCGTAAGTATTTTTCTTCCCATCCAGGGAATTAGCAAACACCAATTAACAGTTCGACATCAGGCACCGGTTATTATATGAAAATTTGGTTTTTATCATTTTATATAAAACAACACTGAACTTTCCTTTTTGGTACCTTGACTTCATGAATTTAAGCACTGTACTAGATTGGCAGCTAGGTCTCATCAATTTACAGTTGAAACTGCTAGACGTAACACTAAGTTCTATGTTAATAGTTTCTTCTCTCACACTTCTTGTGAAACTCTCTCTGGCTTCTTGTTTTAATGTCAACTACAATCTTCAAAAATTTAAATTATCATCTTCTGTCTCCTTGAATCCTTTTCTTTTATTGTCCTCTTTCCTTAGTAATATTTTTCTCATTATTTCACTCTGAGGAACTCCCTTGTGTCTTAGTGGCTTTATCACCTTACTTGGGGTGAAATTATTATATTCTTTTATTAATCTTTTCATCCCAAGCAAAGCAATACTACCACTAAAATGCAAGGGGTTACTGAGTGTTAGACTATGAAGAAAAAAATACCATTAAGGAGAGAGGACAATAAAAGAACAAGAATTTAGAAGATAACAATTGACATTGCATTTAAATTTTTGAAGATCAAAGTTGACTTGAAAGCAAGAAGCCAGAAGAGTGTTCCATAAGTGAGAAGTGCAAGAGAAAAAACTGTTAGCATAGAAATTACAGTTGTATCTAGCCAGCCATTTCAATTGTAAAATTGTGAGAATTGCAACCAATCTAGTACTATACTTAAATCCATAAAGTCTAGGCACCATAGAGAAAATTTCATCCGAAGAATTACTATGAAAATATTAATAGAAAAGGCACATTGAAGCTACATTATGGCAGTGGGAAAGAGACTGAAACTGGGATGCCAGGTCAGGACCAATGACATTGCAGATTCTTCAGTAGATTTTATCAAGAATCCATAAATATATAGCAGGAGCACCAAACCAGTTGTGGCAACTTTAACCAAAGCAAGGTCAAATGGTGGACTTATAAATATATAAGATAGATTCTAGTAAGAAAAATTGTATAGCATGACACAGGGAACCAACTTTTCTAGCAGCAGACATAATAATTGATTCTTTCCACTTCATATCAGCAGAAAACGTTAGCCTGAGAAGGAGAAACGGGTCATTCTCCTGGAGGTTAGCATTGGCCATGCTGATAGAAGGTGAAAAGAGTTCTATCAGAAGATTAAAAGAGTTCAATTTTGTTTTGGCAGCATTAAAATTAACAAGTCATTCCTAATTAGGTGGACTTTATTTATTTTACACTCTTCAGAGATTGATCAAGGAGATAAAATGGCTGTGCACCACAAAGTTAATATTTACATTATAAAATTAGTATTAACCAACAGATGTTATTAAAATTTTCAGAAAAATATTTACACTAACTTATTTGATGGTATGAGGTTTTTTTATGTGGCTCAAACGGTAATAGTAATATTAGCCATTTCCTTATAAGGAAACATTCTGAATTCACCGACCAAGCAGGCAGTGCTCTTTTCAGTTGAAATTTATAAAATCTTTCTCTTAAAACAATTTCTGTGGAAAATAAGTTTCTCAAATCCAGCAGCTGTTATTGCTTTTTCCAGTACTAATGTGGGTTTCCTTCCTAACCTTTTATTTGAAGTAGTGTGGAACATTAACATCTTAATTCTGTCATTATACATATATGTGTCTGTGAATGTATGTATATATGTTTTAATATATATGTATCTACAGATTGGTTAGCTTTCCTTTCTTTCTTTTTTTTCAAATTGCCGTTTATAGTGATTATACCTTTTTCTTTCTTTCTTCTTTTCTGTTAATTTTACTCTCATTTTATTGAATATATCTGTTTTAATAGCAATAATAAAATTTTCTTCCCCCTATGGAGATTTTAAAGTTCTAAACTTGAAACCACAAAGCAAGAGACACATTTTTTTGCTTTGAAAGTATTATTTCTCTGTATTTTGTTTTTTGATAGGGGGGAGGGGCTTAATTTTCACAAATACCCAATGTTGTCTGTTTCTGATTCATATTGCTATCTCTATTCATTCCCCCCTGTCCCCAACTGAGTTTTGAAGAGTAAAATTAATCGGTTAACTTCTTTTTTGTTCTGTTTTCTTTTGTGTTGTCTTTTTGGCGCATAACTGACTGATTAATAATAAAACTCAAAATCAGGTATTAATGATAGGTTTCTTAAAACAAAATCTGATATTATACATTTATAAAATCTGTTATTAGTCATAGGTTTCTATATAAAAAGCATTAATACTATTGTCTGAATTTCTGGGATGAGGAGTTATCATTACTTCAGTCAGTTATGTGCCATACATGATACACACTTAGGTGATCATGTATCTTTCGATACATAACTGACGAGGCAGATTTTTTTCACGCAGTAGGTTGCCATTTCTTTCTGCAGTAGACCAATTGCCATCCAAGGCTATAGAACCTGGTCTGTCCAGCTATTTACCCATAGCTGAGAGGAGAAAGTCAATAATGTGCCATGCCTGATACACACTTAGGTGATCATGTATCTTCCAATACATGACTGAGGAGGCAGATTTTTTTCCTACAATAGGTTGCCATTTCTTTCTGTGGTAGATCAGTTGCAATCCAAAGCTATAGAACCTGGTCTATCCTGCTATTTACTCATAACTGGGAGGAGAAGAGGACTCATACTTTTCTTAAGGGTATTAGCATGTAAGTGAATGTAATAAATTCAAAAGGAATTCGAACTCAGCTGTCCGATTTCTCAATCTGAGCCACTATCCATTACTCTACCATTACACTATTTATATGTGGACTAATGCCCACATTTTAGTTGTTATCACATTTCTTTGTTGTGCCCTCTGGCCTTCATCGTATATAACTGAGTAGTTATTCTGAAGAGTATGCTTGATTTTGATCATTTCCTGTTAGTATTGTCACAACATATAGTATTTGCCTGGTGTTATAGGTATAGGATGATTCCTTTCTTCACACTACTTAAACAGCGGCAGCAGCAGCAGCAGCAGCAACCACTGCTGAAACAAAAGAGAAAAGCTTCAGTTTGTGCAGTTTCTGCTACTGTTTCTGCTTGTCATCCTTGACAAGCAGAAACAGTAGCAGTCATCAGCAATCAGGTTAGGTTTATGGTTCCAAGTTCTCCACAGAGAATTGTCCTATGGTACAATAGCCTAGATTAAAGCATTCGTTTATGTATTTTGTGATATAGTAATTGTGAGGCTGGGCATTGGGTACTTGTACACAGTGGAAACAGGGCATGTAATAACCAAGCATTACTAAAAAACAGGAATTGGATGAGATATCCCTAGTTATGGGTAGTGGAACAAGAACAGCCCACCTCTGTAGATTAAATACAAGGTTCAGTTTGGAATTCTCTATAGGTTACAAGGATTGAGAAACATCAGATAAAGGCCAGAAGGCACAACAGCTGAAACATGATGACAACAACAAAGTCGAGGACATCAGTCTGCATGTAAATAGCGTAAATAACCATTGATACTTACTGTCCAAAAAATGGTATGGTAGGCATTAATGAGTTAATATATTTGTATTACACAGGGTGTGGCAGAAATACCTTCCACATTTTAATGGTTGACAGAAAAACTAAGGTAACTTTTTATTTCACTGTTGTTTAAACAAAGGGCTACAGTTTTTTTCATTTGGTTTTAAAAATGGCATCCTCCAAATGGTGGCCTCTATTTGCCATACACAGTTGTAGACAATTTCTAAAGTTTTCTGTCACCCTGAAGAACCCGGAGCAGTATTGATTTCCTATCTGGAATAGCATCATTCCAATATAACATGAAATGACCACAAAAAATTCTCTGTATTGCAATTACAGATTCACCAGTCTTAAAAAACGTTTCAACATCAAATGCAGGGTTTGCACTGGTCCAAGCCATAATGGTAACTGATGGTATCTGAAAAAGAAATGGTAATACATTAGTTAGAGTAAGACCCCACTGTCACTTGCCTAAGTTTATTATACCACACAAGTTACCGTTTTTATGTATATATATATATATATATTAAAAAAAAGAGGGGTGCACAAACGTTTTTGGTTGTAATGTGGATTTATTGAGAAAAATATTATACTTTGTTTTACATAATTTCACGACACGTGTTTCTGGTCTGGTCTCGCAACCGTCTTCAGGTGAAAGTGGATTTTTACATATTATTAAAAATAATTAATTTTTTCTTCATGTTCAATGTGGAATATTCTCGATATGAGACATTCTGTTTGTGTGTTGGCAATCCGAATTTTCTTTCTAGAATTGTCAATGAAGAGTTCTGCGTGAAGGGTCATAAAACAATTAAGGTTTGTCCAGCGAGTAGTTATCGGCATTTAATCTTTTAATGTTTTAGTGACCTCTATGTGCTCTTGGATCTGTTTCTATTTTGGCGTGTTCTGTCAGCATGCGTGTATATATGCGTGCGTATATTTCCCTTTTTACGAGGAATTCGTAAACTTATTTGTACTTATACACGCATACACACACATACGCACATACACACTATCCCACCACAAGTAGTCAGTACACACACACATATACACAATTGTTTTATGACCCTTCACGCAGAACTCTTCATTGACAATTCTAGAAAGAAAATTCGGATTGCCAACACACAAACAGAATGTCTCATATCGAGAATATTCCATTGAACATGAAGAAAAATTAATTATTTTTAATAATATGTAAAAATCTCCACTTTCACCTGAAGACGGTTGCGAGACCAGACCAGAAACACGTGTCGAAATTATGTAAAACAAAGTATAATATTTTTCTCAATAAATCCACATTACAAACCAAAAACGTTTGCGGCACCTCTTCTTTTTAATACATACTTTTCTCTCGTTGGAACCATTACAACATATTTCCTTTATATAACTACAACGAAAGAATGCCGCGAACTGAAAAGAAAATCATGGAAGAACTCCTCGAGTTATTCAAACTTACCAACCAAAACAAGAACTACTGGAGGAAGAAATACAGAAATTGAACAAAAAATATGGAAGCTATTCTCCTACAAATAACATCACAACAAACCAGGGAACACAACTGCAATACAGAAACACTAATAGAACATTTCAAAAACGCAGTTCGGATACCTGAAAATATTAAAAAGTTACACATCCAAGAGGAAGCGTACCGAATGAAAAAAACAGAATTCCAACTTTGGAACGACATGCTCAATCAAAGAAAACTGGCATATTTTCAATGCCATCAAAAATAAAGAAACAGCAAAAATATACAAAGCCTTCATAGAAATGGATGAAATATTTATTCCAAGGAAATTCCATGAAAAGATTAACCCACAAGACACGGAAAAACAAAACAAATAAAAACACACTAAGCATAACAAAAATGCAGGCCCAAATTGAAATACAAGAAGACAAAACAGTAAACTTTACAAAGAAATACACAGAGATTGATAACAAATTATTAACAAAAATCAAGGAATTATGTACCAAAAGAAACTCACCAATTCCTGTTTGAATTATGGAGTCAAAATGTAAAAAGAGGAAGAAAAAATCTCGAATATCTTGAAAAGCAAGATAACCTGGTTAAAAATTACCAAGTAAAGAAAAAATTGGAAAAATGAGACAAAACAAAAAATACAGTCCAAACTCACAAAACCCCCAATACCCAACACAAAAAATCAATCATCAGCAAATACAGAAAAACCACCCAACAGAGTCAAAACCCGAATCCCTACTACCATTCACAAACAGACCCACAAGGTAAGCACTCTAACACATTCTACCATACGCAAACACATCCACAAACTAACTCACAAAAAGTGATTATCCTAACACATTCTACTACACGCAAACACATACACAAAGCAGGAACCCCAATACATACCACCACCACACGCATTCACACCCACATAAAAAATACAATTATGAACATACACTGAACAGCGCAAAAAATAAACCTGTACAGACCACCACACCATAACACAAACAGTCAAAGATCAGAACACACACACATTCACACAACCAAATCTTACAAATACCACCTAGCACAACAAACCAAACCAGGCAACCATTACCTATATCCAGGAGTACAACCAGAATTTCACAAAAAGTTCTACACACAATCCACATACAATCAATACAAAAACAACAAACCTAGGAACATCTGGAACAGGCCCCTAACAAAAAGCCAACACACCTATATAGAGCCATCGAGAAACAACAACCCCAATTTTACCAAGGGAAACTCTCACTGGCTAGAAAAACTCAAAATGTACAGGAAGAAGGTATCTCTTAGAAAAACCCAAGATATATTAAAAGAAACAATCATTATTTTTTAGAAGCCCCAGTCCGAACAAGAAAACCCGTTTAGATGACACAAAACCCAAAATAATAAACCTATCTACATATACACTTACAAATGACGAAATCAACCTACTGAAATTGGGCCTAAAATTCTGTCCTGCTCCTAAAAGCAATATAGTAGACTTAAAAAAAGACATTAAGGAATTTGAACGCAAACTGAGACTAAGAGAAATATTTAACAATAGCGAAAGTAGTACAGATGAGTCACTAGTAAAAAACAAATCCAATTTATTCCCAAACAAAAATAACAATACCAATGAGATAAATATATTTTTTGAAAAACTCTGAACCTTGACCTACAGGAAAAATCCAAATCATTCGACAATCTCACATATAGACAAAGACTAGCCTTAGAGAACATTCGAAAAAAATAATAACATAATTATAAAAGAAGCAGATAAAGGCAGCGCTATAGTAATCATGGACAGAACATACTATAAAACAAAAATTCTAGAAACACTAGAGGATAGGAACAGCTACAAAGTAATTGACACTAACATAGACAAAACATTATAACAAAAAATTACAAAACTCTGCACAACACATAATAAAATATTAACAAAAAAGAGAAGGATTTCTAATAAACTTTGTACCAAAAACAAGTAATTTCTACGGACTACCTAAAGTTCATAAATCGAGTGAAATAAAAGCAGCTATACATACACAAAAATCTGAATACATTAGCATCCCAAACCCCAGTGACCTTACATTCAGACCCATAGTAGCAGGACCAGTCTGTCCCACTAGCAAACTCAGTAACCTAATAGACATAATATTGCAACCATATACTAAACAAATTAAAAGCCACATCAGAGACGATATCCATTTCCTTAGCTGCATACCACAAAAGGTAGATCCGGGAACGCTTATGGCAACTTTTGACATCAGTAGCCTATACAGTAACATACCCCATGAACTAGGAAAAAAAGCGATCTCATTCTGGATTGAAAAACATCCAGAAATACTACATCCGAGATTCACTAAAGAGTTCATTATCGATAGTATAGACCTAATTCTAAACAATAACACCTTTGAATTTGACAACAAAAACTATATCCAAACCCTAGGTACTGCGATGGGGAACAAAAATGGCACCAACATATGCCACCCTAACATTAGCTTACCTAGAAGAAAACCTCTATGAAAAGATAGAACAAATATATGGGACAAATATAAAGACCAATTCACTAAATCTTGAAAAGATATCTAGATGATTGCTTCATCTTTTGGAAATCATCATGGGGTGATATTAACCAATTACATACACTACTTCAAAACTTACACCCAAAAAATCAAATTCACGCAAGAATATAATTTTAACGAATTACCATTTTTAGATATACTCATTAGAAATAAAAACAACCACATAATCACAGATATCTACCACAAACCCACAGACACCCAACAATACGTTCATTTCAAGAGCCATCACCCAAAAAGCTGCCTAAAATCCATCCCCTATTCCCTAGCACGTAGAATTTGTACAATAGTGACTGATAAACATCTCCGAAAAATCCGCTTAGAAGAACTACATAAAACTCTCAAGAAACGAGGCTACCCCACAACACTAATAAATAAAGGTATTGAACTCGAAAGAAATTCCTCTAGACCAACTTAGAAATAAAAAGAAACGTAACGTCGAACAAACTCTAGCATATGTCTCAACGTACAACAAAAACAACCCAGAAATATTCCCAGAAATCACAAAAATCTAGATTTACTTAGCAAGAATAATAAACTGAATAATATACTAAAAACAACCAAAATAATTAAGAGCAAACGCCAATCTAGAAACCTAAAACATATTAACCTCATCTAAATTTAGTCAACACAAAATACAGGAGTCACAAAATGCAACAAAAAAAAGATGTGGAGTTTGTGACATCATTATAGAAGGAAACTCCTACACTTTTGAAAACCCAAAAAAACATTCACAATAAACAAAAACTTAAACTGCAACTCCAAAAATGTAGTTTATGCACTTAAATGCACAAAATGTAAGAAGTCATATATAGGCATCAGCCAACAACTGAACAACAGGGTCTCCCTACAAAAAGCAATATAAAATTGACAGACAACAGAAAACTTTTTGTATCACAACACATTTTCAAATGTAACCAGGGTAAGTTTAATATCATGCCGATATATCAAACAGACAATTACTCGTATCTACAAATACAGGAAAAAAACTTTATAGACAAATTCAAACCCGAACTGAATAGATCGTAACCCCCACCAAAAAAAAAAAAAAAACATGCACACAGGGTGACCAAATACAATGATCGCTCACATACATGGACGCACACTCATATACGGGAGACACGAGAGATATATATATGTGTATGTACACATATACATTTATGTATGTATATGCGGATGTTGACAACTTAAGAAGTACGTGTGTGTGTGTGTGTGTGTGTGTGTGTGTGTGTGTGTGTGTGTGTGTACTGGTTCCATGTAGCTTGGTAAATATGTGTATATGTGTGTGTGTACTGACTACTTGTGGTGGGATAGTGTGTATGTGCGTATCTGTGTGTATGCGTGTATAAGTACAAATAAGTTTACGAATTCCTCGTAGTAAGGAAATATACGCACGCATATATACACGCATGCTGACAGGAACACGCCAAAATAGAAACAGATCCAAGAGCACATAGAGGTCACTAAAACATTAAAAGATTAAATGCCGATAACTACTCGCTGGACAAACCTTAATTGTTTTATGACCCTTCACGCAGAACTTTCATTGACAATTCTAGAAAGAAAATTCGATTGCCAACACACAAACAGAATGTCTCATATCGAGAATATTCCACATTGAACATGAAGAAAAATTAATTATTTTTAATAATATGTAAAAATCTCCACTTTCACCTGAAGACGGTTTGCGAGACCAGACCAGAAACACGTGTCGTGAAATTATGTAAAACAAAGTATAATATTTTTCTCAATAAATCCACATTACAACCAAAAAACGTTTGCGGCACCCTCTTCTTTTTAATATACATACTTTTCTCTCGTTGGAACCACTACAACATATTTCCTTTATATATATATATATATATATATATATATATATATATATATATATATATATATATATATATATATAGATAGATAGATATTTATTTAATATGTTCATTTTTAAAGCTATAATAAAACTCTGTGTGCCCCATGAATTATCCAGATTCCCTAATTATTTTTTTTTGTGATTTGAATATCTCAAAGGCTGTTAATAGTACTCTGCATAGTTTTATTGTTTGATATGGAATATCAATGAAATTAGTGATGTTTTTTTTTAACCAATGCTTTCATATTTTTTGTTTTAAAACATGGTAATCCAGATGCTGTTCCATCTTTTTTATGCAACATTTTGTAAATTATACACTACATGTGAAATATTAATGATTATTAATCAAGATGTTGTGGCATTAAAAAGGATGAAAAGAAATCCAGAACAATGCTAAAATGTTAACACTGTCAAAATGTTTTTGAAAAGACATTAATTTTACTACATGGTTTATTTAAAATTTGTTGTGAACAAAATGGTTGACAGCAGAATGATAGCAAAACAATACAATACAAACAAACTTCAATGTCATTTTTTCCCTTTTTTTTCTAGAGAGTATAAAGAAGTCATGGGTCAACTGAAGACCAGTGAGAAGAAAATAGAGGGAATTAAAACAGTAAGATTTAATGCTATAAAAACCTTTATAAAATATGCACATACAAAAACTGTATGAAATATCTATGAAATTTGTAGAAGTGACTCCCAAGAGGATGCTTCCCCAGTCACTACTGTCTTAAAGTATTCAAATTTAGGGTTAACTGTTATCTTCCCTGTCTTCTTTTATGTGCAGTGTCCCTTCAGGACATAGGCGATCATGGCTCTCCACTTCTTCCTGTCCCTTGTAGCTCTCAATAAGTTTTTCTTTTTGTTATTTCTCCCAGACCCTGTTCCGCCATCCACTAGCTTAAGCCCATTAAGTATGTCATGCATTGCTTTCCCTTGTCCCCTCTTTCCCGCTATCTGCCCTGTGAGTATTAGATTTTCCAAGTCCTCCTTTCTCATTATGTGTCCCAGAAATTTCAGCTGCTTCTTCTTGATGTTAAGTATAAGTTTCCTCTTTGTTTGCATCATCTCTAAAACCTCATCATTGCTCGCATGTTTGGTCCTTGGTATCTTTACCATCCTTCTGTAGAACTATAATTCTGTTGGCTTGAGTTTCTTCTTCATCTTTGAGGAGACTATCCAACATTTGCTGCTGTAAAGGAAGACAGATATCACGTAGCAGTTCAGTACTCTTCTTTGTTACTAATGAATCCCTTCTGTCTCCTAATACATTGCCTAGCTTTTGGAATGCGTCTTTGGCCATCCCAAAGCCATATGTGTAGTGAGATGCAAATTAGTATAATTTTCATATGAGCAGGTAGCTCATATGATAAACGGACACCAACTAGAACAGAGGTCGAACGCTTACTTAGCAATATACACGACACAACAATATGTCTTTGGATCTCTACTTGATTTTAGTATCCCTGACCTGTAAATTGCATTTCGAGCTCATCTTTTTGTTGATGATCATGTATTCTGTAGTTTATACTTAGTCTATTTTTCTTGCTCTCTATTGCTACCTTTTGTAGGAGGTTTTGTAGTTTCCTTTCCATGTCTGCTATCAGCACTATGTCATCTGCCTATCATGTTGTTAACATTGTAGCTACCAATGATGAATCCTGGTAGGATTTCCAGTTCTTTCATAATTGCCTTGCTGTATAGTTTGATAAGTCTGGTGAAATGACACATCCTTGCCTTATGCACCTTTCTATTTTAGTATATCTGCTGAACTCAGAGAATTATAACACATTTAAATGGTAAACATGGACCCATCAGCAAGTGAAGAGATGAAGTGGTCAGCACTAGTAGTGGCTATGTGCATTTTCTTTGAATCAATGGCAGGATGCATTTTCTTTTATTTCTTTCAATGGGTAACTGTTGATTGGAGCAAGGGCTGTATAGCAAATATAAATGTTAATTTTATCTGATCTTCATGATTCCTCCATTCTGGGTCCATAGATCCCAGGTTAAAAAGCCTTGGCTTATACTCTTTCAGTGCCAACATGGGACTTTCACGTTATTATTAATATTATTGTAGAATAACAACACTTACCGGTGTAAGGGTCCCAGCTAGCATCCAACTGGCAGACAAAAATAAAGCAGGTTATAACTGAATACAAACCCTGCAAATTGACTGGAATCAAGCTGGTATTTATACAGAAATACCGCCACTCATTTACCAGCAGCCAATCACAGCTCAAGGAATGAACTATCCCACTCGAGCACAATGAGATGCTCCATGGCACCATAAATAGCTCTCTTTCTCAAGGTGGAGGGGTCTTTTTCTCAGCTTGTTCCACAACTGAGTGTTTATCTTGACTACGTGATTGTTCTACAATTATGTTGCTGCTGTCACACATTGACATTATCAATAGAAATTCTGTTCTTGAAGCATCATGTCTAAAAGATACCTCACACCCCAAAAAGTTTTCCAGAGAATAATGGCAGAATAAAGCCTTCTGGAGGTCTACAATCTTAACCTCAATTCTAATTTTCCCTTGGCACTTTCAAGTTACTAGGTGGTGTTCCAAGTGCACATATTACTACAGGAATTACTTCAACAGTCATGTTTCATAGCTATCTATCCAGATTATGGTATTTTTCAAAATTTTCAGTTTCTTTTAGAGTCCACTCTTGTAATGTATGGAACAGCAAAATCAATAATTTGGCAATTGTTAATTTCTTTATCTATTTCAATAAGGTTGGGTCATTGTACTTCAATGACATAATCTTGTGACTAATGCTGCTGTTGTTGCAATAATAATAATAATATTAATAATGAATAATTTGATCCTTATGTACCCCTTGAAATCCATCTATGGTCCCCAGGTTAAGAAGCCCTTGTATATATAATCATTTAATGTAATCCAACTCTGGAATTTTGAATTGTTCTTCTCCTAGGCTGGTTGCTAACCAAGGCTAAAGAGCCCAGCTTGTCCTCCTATTTAACCCATAGTTTGGAGGGGAAGATTCATATCTTTTCCCATGTGTATTTGCATGTAAGTGAATGTAACAAATTTGACTAGAATTTGCACTTGACTTTCTGAGTTCTTATTTCTAAAAAAAAAATGGTTTTATTTTCTATTATAGTTGGGGAAGAAAGACATAAGATTAAATTAAGAAAATGATTGAAAAACTCTTTCAGATCCAGTAATTGTTATTCTTAGATTGGAATAGCTGGTGGAGATGAATATATTTTATCATCACAATATAACATTATAATTACCTATTATATAGTAACAATTTGATGAGACCTCTCTCCCTGTTCATCACTATAATCACCAAGATTATTAGGAAACTGATTGAGGTAACTAAACAGAAAGTGAATCTTGATACTTATGTTCTAATAAATAGACCACGTGATTGTGAAAGAAATGTATATATGGTAATTAACGTGGTATCTAAATGATCACTCTTCTATTCTATCCTCTATTACTATACAGATCACTATTCTCTATTATTATTATTGTATTTATTATTATTATAAATGTATCTGCGATTACAAAGTCTCTACTACAATGACAACAAGTATTTATTGACATTACAAATGATTCACTTTAATGAATGTGTTATAAACTTTCTGTCATTTGTTTATTGCATATTTTGAGTGTGACCAAATGCAGGGCTGGTGCAAGGGTCTAGTGCTCCCCACCACTGAATCTATGATATGGTGCCCACACTCTACGACATTTCAATTTTCATAAGGTTGTATTCATATAAAATACAAACTTTATTGTAACCTAATTATGTACAATATTGGATCATGAGCAATATAGGTGAACAATTCAACTAGAAAAAGTAAAAAATAAAACTAAATACAAATATGACACATCCTAATAGATCCTTCCATCTTAAACCAACAATGTTTTGTGGCAATTTTTAACATCAACTTGATATTTTTCTTGTTAAAAAGTTGAATAATTTTGGCACATTTAACATTATGCATAAAAAAACTAGTAAATTTTACAATTTTTTTTCAAGACATAAATTTATGGATTTAGTAAAAAAAAAGGACTCAAAATGACGTCCAAATCGGCAAAAAATTTTCATCTTTTCATAGTTGTGCTTAGTTTAATTTTTAATATTTATAAATGTAGGTAGAAAAAAGTAAATGTTGATAAGATAGTGAGGGTCATAAAGCACTAACTTTAGGGGTTTGGAAGTAGTACACACTGACCCTGACCAAAGTTTTTTTATTTCATTTGTTTGCAGACTATGAAATCTGAGGGTCACAAAATGTCATGTACAGCAAGACTGAAAGGAACTTACAAGATCAAAATCGAACAAGAAAAGAAAATGCGAAATGAACTATGTGATATAAAGTTTGTACAATTTTTTTTTTCCTTTTAGATTTATTCTTGTGGATTAATTTTGGATATTTGATAATTGATCAGATTAGGGATTGTTTTTTGCTGTTGGAACAATGTATTTAAGTACAGCCACATTGCTTTGAGAAGAGACAGGCATTGGCAAGTAACTTCCACTGCTCTGAGAGTTACTAGAAAGGAGAGATAATAGGCATATCCACATGATGATCTAATAGATTAGAGAAACATCCTAACCCCAAATAGTTGGTTGTTTTCATTTGAGGTTGTTAGCTGCTTCTATTTGTGTACTGTTTATACTTTCTTTCCTTAGAAACTGTTACAACTTCAGCCAACTTTGCTAAATAAAAGGCATGATGTCCAGAATCCACTTCAAAATATTCCCTTTGAGCCCTCACGTACTCATCACAGCATCCTATCCCCTGTTCAAAACAGTCACAAAAACTCTCTTTCAGGAGTGCCATCATCTACCTCTTTACATTCTCTTTAATCTTATTTACATTTTGAAGTCTCCCTTTCATTGGTAATATATATATATATATATATATATATATAATATTCAGTATATTTATTTATTAAATGGCATATTTATTTATTTTCATCTACCTATTCTAAAAATAATGTTTAAAGTGATAAATCAAATTGTTGTGTTACAAAAGGTGATTATCTCCCTTTGGTTGAGATAGTCATGTAGATCACTGTTATAACTTGCTCCTAGTGGTTTATGTTTTGCTTAGTCTACTCACCATGACATCATTAGAAATTCTCCTTGCCTGACTCCAATGGAATTCCTCTGACTTACTTTATTAGTTCTTTTTTAGTTCTTTATTTAAAGCATCTTGCCTAGTTCATTTTGTGTTACTGAGTCCACAACATCCCTACTTTTGAGATTTTTTTTTTCACTAATAAATATTTTATTTCTTAGTATTCACCCCCTTGTCTGGTAATGATACTTGCATGTTCAATGAATTCTTGAGGTGTTGGTACATCAAAAATATTATACAGTATTTGCATAGATTCTTCCTTTCTTGTGGGCCTTTCTTCAACGAACCTTTTCTTTAACTGATTCCAATATCTTTTGTGTTCCCATCGTTTTCCTTTCGCCATATATATCATTTTACCAATTTGTGACATCATTATGATGACTTCCCTAATTTCTTTTCCATTTTTATATTTTATCTGAAAAACACTTTTTTGCCAATTTTGTGTCCTTTTTGTTATCCATTCTTATTCTTTTTGACCTCGTAACAACTTCTTGAACACTGATTTAATTTTTCTTGCAAACATCAATTTTACTGGTGACATACCTTCTAGTATATTAGTTTTCAGCATTATCTGGTATACTCTCAAGAATTTTTGTAGTGCTTCTTTGTTCACTTTTTCATTACTTGCTTTTTTAAAAGCTCTTTTAAAATTACCCACAAACCGTTCAGCTTGTCCATTTGACCTTGTGTGATATGGAAGGGTAGTAATATGTTCAATTGAGAATATTTAACAAAATTCTTTAAATCCATAAATAGTGAATTGTGTACCGTTATTCAAGACTGTGGTATCTGGAATACCATATCTTGCAAACACTTCATATAAAAATTCATTGTAACCGTGGAAGTTGGTTTTTTTTTTTTTTTTGCACTTACAAATTTCAGGCCAACTATCCACTAACTCAAATTAATGTGATCCATTTATTGGACCTACAAAATATCTGTGCAGTCTTGGAGTATCTGTCTTTGGACAAGTTTATAATTTCATGGTAGGTGATTTTGCTGCCAGAGCACAACTTCTGCAGGCTTTTACTAATTTTTCAATGCCTTGATCCATTTTGGGCGAGTGTAAAATTATGAATAAATTGTTTTCACATTTATTTCTTTATAAATTGGTAAATGATAAATATTGCATTAGTTTTAATTGTATTAGTTTTTAAAATGTTGTAAATATAAAATTATTCTTGTAAATAAACAATCTAATAAATAAAAAGTATTTAATATTTTTGTTTTAAATTCTCAATATAAAATTGTATAAATTCACTTTCATCATGTGTTTAGGTTTTATTCCAATTCTAATTACCACTTTTTAAAATAATATACATTGCTGAAGAGTAAAGGTAGTTAAAAAATAAAAAATGGTGTCGTGGGAAAAAATGTCCTTTTGACATACCATTTTTTTGTGGGTATGAAGGTCCATGTTTGCCATAAATATTTTATGATTTTTTTTTAATTAAATGTAATTGATTTTTTAAGTGAAATTATCATTTTTTTTTTTCTCTTTTTAGGCACAAAAATATCCAAAAGTTGGCAAATCTAAAAGTGGAAGCTGAAAACAACTTGGCCGAAATAACCCGAAGTTGCAATGAGGTGATTTAAATCTTTTCATCGTCTGGAGATATTCTTTTAATTGTAGTATCAAATTAAAATGTCTAATGTGCTTTATAAAGTGAATTGGACTGTGAATGATTTTAACATCTTTTAATAACTCATCAAAAGGCATGGTGGAGTAATGGTTAACAGCTCGAATTGAGGAATCAATCTTCTCCCAGCTATGGGTAAAATAGCAGGACAGATTGGGTCTTATAACCTTGGGTGGCAACCAGTCTACTATAAGGAAAGTTTGAATTCAAGCCACCTTGTAGGTCCTGCCTCTTTAGGCAAAGATGAGAAGAAGGTAACTTCAAAAACAAATCCAACTTTTAGAGGATGGATGGGTTAACCTCAACATCCCCGGTGCAAATGGAACAGGCATTGCTCTATTCTGCCTTGAATGTCACCATGAACCACAATTGTGAGGTGGAAGGGAGTGGTGACCACGGTGGCACAAAATGCTCTAACTGAATAAAATGAAAGTATGAAAATGGCTCATCAACAGCATTTGTTGTTCATTAAGAGTGTTTTTATGCAAAAATCTTATCCCTTAATCCACTGTACAATAGAAGTAGTTTCAGGTATAAAATGAGAAAAATAAACTGTTTTTATTGGAACAGACATTAAATTTGTGTTAAAAGTCTTTCTTTCATTTTAGTTATCTTTAAACTGAACAACTTCAGGTTTGGTTAGAATTTGACATTAATCCCTTCAGGACAAGAGAGAATCATGACTCTCCACAGCTTCCTGATTTTTATTGCTGTCAGCAATATTCCTTTTTTTTGTTGTACTTATTCCTCCATTCATTTGCATAAAATTGTCAAGTCAGTTTTTTGCTGCTTTACTTTGTTTTCCTTGTCTTTGATGTGTCTCCTGAGTGTTAAATTCACCAAGCCTTCTTTCCTCATTATGCATTGCCAAAATTTTAGTTGTCTGTTTCTGATTTTCAGGATGTTCGGATGGGAGGCTCGGAGTGAGAAATTGAAGAGCCGAGTTCAATTTCCACTTGAATTTGTTACATTTATAGTGGTGTTAGGTTTATAGGTTAAAATGAAAAGTTGATATACCCACACCAAGAAGATTAATGAGCAATGATAATGATGAGGAAACACAAGGATTATTTTAATAAAACAAGATAAGGAATTCATTCATGAATCTTTCCTGCTTTCTCAATCCTCTGAATTTGAAGGGAGTGGGTGAAAGGAGTTATTATTATTTTGCATTCACATTCACGATATTGAGTCACCCCCCCCCCCACTGGGGCAACATGTGACACAAGGTCGGTTGTTTATTGTGGGTTTCCCGGCCCGTGGGCTCGGCCCAAAAATATGCCCGTTTGAACCCGCATCAACGGGTTCAGGGCCGGTTTTACCTCCCCAAAGGAGACTCCGCCCTTCGGCGTAGCCTCCTTCGGGTTCCTCTCCGTCCGTAGACAGAGAGTTGAACCGATCAGTCACTCAGAGAGTGAACTACTGACGCACTCACATTCACTTACACGCAAATACTCTTTTGGGATGAGAAATATTTCAGCTTTAAATAACCCACAAAGAGTTGATAAGTTGTAAAAAAACACTCCTGCCTTGCTTGAAGTGAAATACTTAATGCATGTATATATATATATATATATATATATATAAAAAATTTAGTCTATGTCATACTGAAAGAACAGTATAAGCATAAAGTTATGAAACAGAGGCAGCTTTCACTGACTTGCCAACAGTGGTGTCAATTCATCCTGATGTCTTTAGACCAGATTATATTTCTTCATTTACAAGGATGACTGTTTATCTTTTGCTATTCTAGTGCACCTTCGGATTTCAGTGTCAGATCTTTTGTCATCTGTTATAACATTTTCCAGACATTTAAAATTCTGTACATGCTTCATTTCAATATAGAAATAAAATATCATCATTGGGTGTACCCTACTTTCATGCCACATCTGAGCTACAAAAATCATTATAAATAAAATCATTATGACCTTCATGGTTTTAATTTCACTTCCTTTATTTTTCTATTTCAGATGGAAATGAAAATTCTTTTTGAAAATTCTCGAGAAAAAGAATTAGAAGAATCCGAAAAGGAAGCCAGAAAAGGCAAAAAAAAAATTCCCTTATACACTCATACATTCATTGAGTACCCTTTAAAAAAGCTAATCATTCAATCAAATCATTGTTTCTACTGAAATACATTAAATTATTTAAACATGAAATTTAATATTTCATCAGTAACTCATTAATTTAAAGTTAAACCCATTCTCTTCTTCCCAACAATTTAAGGAATTTGTATGGAACATGTGAATTAAATAACTGACTCCAACAAGACTTGTGTGTGGAGAGAGAGAATTTATTTAGTGACCTTCCAACACCACGTGGTGGTATCCAACCGTCCCTACCCCTGTGTTTTCGCCCCAATCGTACCTCACTCATGGAGAAGGTACAAGGGGAACAACTTCATGTTGATTAACAGAACAGATTTCTGATATATTGCAGAATAAAAAGAATTGCAGCACAAGAAAATTTAAATTTTGACCTTCATCTTTTCTAACCAATCACAAAAGAAATATAACTATCCAATCAACAGACAGCATATAAAACATTAACATACATTCTCAAATCCAGTTTGAATCAAGAAATGATGAATTTTTATCAATATGGAATAAATATATTGTTTTGATTGAAAGTTTTTTTCTTTAAATAAATTTCTAATTTGGTGATATAAGCAACATAGTTTTGATGATGATGTGTGTGTGTGTGTGTGTGTGTGCACTTAAATCTCCATTTGAATGACAATTCCAACATTTTTAGGCATTTAAAACAACATGCCTGGCCACATACACAATTCCGGAAAATCCTTGTTGAAAACACAACTATACCTAACCATGAAAACAATAAACAAAAACTAAAAATTCTTGAAGCTATTTACATAAAACAGTTGAAACCTAACCTGAACAAAATAAACTATGAAAACTCCACAAATATACTTAAATGCTTATAGTTGTTAAAAGGAGCTATTGGTTTATACCAACAGCTTTCCATACTTAACACTTTTCTTCATTTTCCCTCTCAACGGGTCATGTGTGATGTCAAGAACCACAATGCGATATTTGCTTCCTGCATTTCATATGCATGAATTTATTGTTGCGTAGCAATCTTCCATGCAAACAAAACAAACTATCATTGTTGCAATGTCTGCATAACCAATCTAAAACAAAAATTACCATCTTTGTTATTTAATTTATTATTTAATTTATTGTAATGTACTTGTAATCTCTGATGATACCTTATGTAAGCCGAAAGCTTAGACAGGATTAACTATAAAATCATGCATCAACATGGTGATCTTCTTTCGGGTTTCAGTGATAATGCTAAAAAGCTTATTCGACAATATGAAAGGAATTTACTTAAAATAAATAGACAAAACTTGTCTATATTATTTAACAAAACATTCATTAATGAAAACATGCTACCTAAGTACACACAATATATATATTTGTATTTACTTCTGTAACCATCTACATTCATCTGATTGTTTGTTTTGCTTTTATCATATTGCTTAATTGAATATTGTGGGGAGGGAATAGCCAAAGAGAAAGTGCATAAATGAAAAGAAAGTAAGTGTGAGAGAAAAGGAGAAAAGTGATTTAAAAAGGAAAGAGAAGAACACTGAAGAAATGGGTGCATAAATATGGAATTCTTCATTTAAATAAAGGGTATCTTAGGAAGAGAATTAATGATTTGTTTTCAAGTCGTTTTGAGGACAAGGGGGGATAAATGAGGTCAAAGGGGAATATCATAGGAGGAGAATTAATTTGTTTTCAAGTCGTTTTAAGGACAAGGGGGGATAAATGAGGCCAAAGGGGAATATCATAGGAGGAGAATTAATGATTTGTTTTCAAGTCCTTTTGAGGACAAGGGGGGATAAATGAGGTCAAAGGGAATATCATAGGAGGAGAATTAATTTGTTTTCAAGTCGTTTTTAAGGACAAGGGGGGGGGGGTAAATGAGGCCAAAGGGGAATATCATAGGAGGAGAATTAATGATTTGTTTTCAAGTCGTTTTAAGGACAAGGGGGGGAAATGAGGTCAAGGGGAATATCATAGGAGGAGAATTAATGATTTGTTTTCAAGTCGTTTTAAGGACAAGGGGGGATAAATGAGGTCAAAGGGGAATATCATAGGAGGAGAATTAATTTGTTTTCAAGTCGTTTTAAGGACAAGGGGGGGTAAATGAGGCCAAAGGGGAATATCATAGGAGGAGAATTAATGATTTGTTTTCAAGTCGTTTTAAGGACAAGGGGGGATAAATGAGGCCAAAGGGGAATATCATAGGAGGAGAATTAATGATTTGTTTTCAAGTCGTTTTAAGGACAAGGGGGGGGGATAAATGAGGCCAAAGGGAATATCATAGGAGGAGAATTAATGATTTGTTTTCAAGTCGTTTTGAGGACAAGGGGGGATAAATGAGGTCAAAGGGGAATATCATAGGAGGAGAATTAATGATTTGTTTTCAAGTCGTTTTGAGGACAAGGGGGGATAAATGATGTCAAAGGGAAATATCATAGGAGGAGAATTAATGATTTGTTTTCAAGTCATTTTAAGGACAAGGGGGGATAAATGAGGTCAAAGGGAAATATCATAGGAGGAGAATTAATGATTTGTTTTCAAGTCGTTTTAAGGACAAGGGGGGATAAATGAGGTCAAAGGGAAATATCATAGGAGGAGAATTAATGGATTGTTTAAACTTTTAAGAGTAAAAAGGAATAATTGAGGGCAACTTAGCTGGAAGTTGAAAAAAACTTAATAAAAAATTGGACAGACACATCTTATCAGTATTGTTTAATAAAAACTTATTGGTATTGTTTAATTAATATATATATATATATATCTTTTACATAATTTTGTTAAAACAAAATTACAGCCTTTTCGATTCACTTCCCTCTCCCCCTCTCTCTTTGCCATAACACTCGTTTAGATATATCTGTATTACTGTTGTCTATCTCCTTTCCCTTTTTCCTTTTCTTTTCCGCCCACTACCCTCCCATTCCTATATATCATTTCTGTTAAGTTAACCATCTAAATAGGTCACGATTAGGTCACTCCTCCTACCCCAATATAAAACATGCTTAAGAGAAATATGAAATTTACCCCTCTCTACACTCTACCTTGTCTCGTTAACTACAACTATCACCCTCCATGTTAAATTACAAAAATTACACTACCCATCAATTTCTAATCCCATTTTTCCTTTCATTTCGTTGTTGGAAGTGTTACCTGATCATCCGGAGTCCTTCAAAAAGTATTTTGGTGAAATAAATTATTGTAATGGTACCTTAAAGTGATCTGTTTTTTCATTAAATATATATATATATATATATATATATATATATATATATACACACACACAATCATTGACCATGCAACCAGACAGAAGTTCTTGTTGCCTGACAACTGCATTATGAGAACCACAGAATAGCAATTTATTTGAACTGAGACTGATTTGTGCAGTGTCATTGGATAGGGTTACTGTTCTGTCTATTTTCTATAGGCATTGAGCACTTTTGATTATTGCATAGGTAGGTGTCTGTTTTTTCTTTTCAGCTTATGTTTTCTTTTCCCATTCTCGGTTTTTCTTTTTATTTACCTTTGTTTTCACTTGGCAGGCTTTGTTTGCTATAGTTGTATTTGCAAGTTTTACCAATACTCTGGTTTGTTTTCTATAATGTTAAGAAAAAATTTCCATATATGACTCTAATTAATATAGAAAATCTAACATTAAAACTATTTGTTCCTTATGATTTTTGCCCTATAAAGCTTATCTATTGATAAGGAAAAATTAAAAAAAAATTTAAACATAGTTTTTGAGTTTTTGATCTTTGAGCCAGCAAGGCTCAACATGTCATAAAATCAATCAACCTAACCAACATAAGTAAATAAATATGTCTACAAATAAAGAAAGCATTCATTTTACACAACAAATATTTATTTTTTCAATATCTTCCCTGTTATATTTTGCATATCTCTCTGGATAGTAATAGTCATAGTACAGTTCTCCATGTCTTGAATACTACAATCTCCTTCTTTGTCAAGGCACTAAATTCAATGATAAATATTACTCATGCAGACTAAACATTATACAGTGAAATATTTCAGATCCAAATTTGGCTAAGAACTATGTCAAGCTATGAACTTATCGATTCATCCTTCTATGTTTATCCTTTTCATTTCAGTTTTGCTTTTCTTTATGGAAATTGAAGAAAATGCCAGAAAAGTTTGGAAAGCTTCGAAAGAAAGGTAAGTTAGTTGACTAAGAACTGCTCTTAGTTTCAATCTGTATAGGAATGACTGCTAGCAATATCCCCCTTACCAAATTTATGGACAATTCATACAGATGCATGCTGGAATTTCTTCCTGACCAATAAATTGGATCAATTCTGAGTTTTTGTTCTTTCTTGTGTTGAAGTCAGAATGCTCAATTTTGCTTATGAACACGGTTCTTTTCAATTTTTTTTTGTCTTTATTACTGTTTCTTTGTCTAGTTTTGACTTGCATATATAGTGTTTGCTTTGTATTATTTTGCCCTGTTCTTTTCCTTCTTTTTTTATTGTTTATTGAAAACTTTGTCAATTCAATTTGTTGACCATTTTTGCTAGTTACTCTGCGAATAAAAGAATAATGATCAAATTTATAATGCTTTTCTTGACTTTGGAAATCTCTTTAAAAAATCAGTTATCTTTAAAATGACAAAGTTGTTGGTGGTTAAATAAGTTGCAGCAGTTATATTCCATTATTTACATGATTAACATTTGGACTATTGTTCTCATCTTTGTTGTTGTTATCACACCGTTTCAGCTATTGTGCCTTCTGGCCTTCATCAGGTGTATATCAATCTGGGTAATCTACTGGGAATTCTTAACTGAACCCTTTATTTTATCTACAGTGGTAGATTGTTCTTGTACTACTGACCATGTCTAGAAATATCCTATCTTATTTAGTACCACTCAGCTATTGCTCACCCTGTTTTCACTGAGTCTGCATTTGCACTACCTGACCTAGGGATTGAACCCACAATTACTATGTCATCAAATTTACAAACCAATGCTTTAATCCAATAGGTTATTGTCTATATTCCTAGACATGGCAACAGAATGAGAAAAATCTACCCAGGTAGATTAAGTTGTCTGAAAATTCTTGGAAGGTTACCTGGATTGACAAGTACTTGATGAAGATAGGAGGGCACAACACCTGAAATGGGTCTTACATATAATACAGAGATTCTTCTGTGTTTCTGGAGAATCCATACTTAGGATTCCAGATTTGAGTGGACCAGATATATCTGCTATGTCACTAGTGAGGACATATTCCACAAACAGGAAACAGAGAGTCCTGAATTTTTCCCAGATTGAAGACTGCAAACTGGACATATTTTCTATATCTGGTGAAGATATATTTCCATAGGAAAATGCTGCCATAGGCTTGTAAGCTGCACTATATGGCTGAGGCAGAGATATAACCTCAGCCTAGCCCAAAGGGTCTGGGCTAAAAAAACAACTGCTCCGTTTGACTCCTGAAAGCTGACTAATTGACTGCTATTTTTGTCACTGTATGAAGTGATGTCACTAAGCAGCCATCATGTGACCCATGTGAGTTCATCTTCACCAAAGAGAGATAATCACCTTTTGTGTCTCTACAACCTTATTCATCAATATAAACTTGTAGAAGCAAATTGTTTTGTCTTTCTTTTTATCAAAGGTCTTTCATGTTTTTTCCTATTGCAGGCTGGATTTGCTTCAAAGTCAATTGGCTCAGCATGAAGCTGAATTGTTTCGATATATAAATGAGCGAGCTGAGAGGCAGGATACTGTTGGAATATTAGATGACGTGTTCGTGTAAGTCTGTCTTTGGAATGAATAGTCTTTTTTTTTTTCATTAAGAAACAGACCAGTAAACAAATAAGATAATATGTTCAAACTTATCTTATCTTATCAGAGTTTCACAGAAATGTTATCTACTCCTCACAAGATTATATATTTTTTTTAACTTTTTTTCTTTTATATATATTTTACCGATATAATATATTTCTTAAAAAAGGTTACTTAATTTCCTCTAAAAATATATTAAATTGAGATCTAATTATTTTATTGTTGTTCCTTAAAAAAATAAATTCCAGGACAAATTGTGTGCTTGTGCATAATTTTATATAATTGAAGTTTTCCTTTATGTATAGAAATATGTGGACTGTAAAAAATATCCACTGGGGCACATATCCTTGAGGACATCAGTGCATGAATTTTTGGGACTTATAAACCTAATGTCACAGTTTTCATTTTTTACCAAGGCTCATTTTGTTGTTGTTGCTTTTTCTCACATATATATTACTGGTTCCCATATTGTATTCATTTCTATGCTTGGCCAGCTTAGGAGATTTTTGTGGTCTAGTATATGCACTGATTCTTTAAGTTTTTATATTTTCCAGTGATGCTATTTGTCTATTATTTCATCCTCACCTCAACCTCCCTATATATGGTCAGCTATGCCTGATTTTTCTATTTTCCTTTGTGTTACAGCTTTACAGTGTTCCAGCAGTCTTATCTTAAGAGGATGGCCTGTTTCTCTTTTATATTTCTTACCACAGCTGCATGGGACGGTGTACATACAGTTCTTAATCATGTTCCTCTCTGTGAAAGAGGTGTCTGTGAAGTGTTGAACAACTTTTTAATGTCACCTGATGTTATATGGACCACAGATCTTTTGTATTTTTTCTGATAATCCCTTCATATAGGGTAGGCAGACTGAGGCTGTTTTCTGAGTGTTGTTATCCTCTTGCACCTTCACATCCCAGTTTGCTGGAGCTGCTGTCATGTACCCAGGGTAGTTGTTATGTTGTAGGGTACTGCTTATACTGACCATTTCTTGATTATATATCTCTGGGTCACTGCTTATGACTTTTACTTGATGTTGTAAGCAGTGGATGATCCCTTCCTTTACACTGTATGGATGGTGGGAATTGAAGTTGAGGTATTGTCCAGTGAATGTTGGCTTGTGGTATACAGATATCTTGAACCTATGCTCTGTTCAAGATATTTGTATATCCAGGAATGCTAGTTTGTTGTCTCCATTGTGAACTGTATTGATGATCTTATTGAGTTCACATGGTCCAGTAGTAGTTGGACCTCTTCATGGTGTGGCCAGAGTATGAAAATGTCATCTACATCTCAATTAATGAGTTAGCTTTAATGATGTAGATTCTAATGCCATTTCTTTGAAGTATTCCATGTATATGTTAGCCATTGCTGGTGATAATGGTAAGCCCATTGCTAAGCCTTCAACCTGTCAATATATGTCTGATTCTATTTTGAAGTGTTGTTTATGTACAGAAAGTCAGCATCTCCATCAGGTTATCTATTGGCATACTGGTACATTCTCCTAGGAATGAGTGCAAGGCTAGTCTATCCCTGACTACTGATATTGTTACTGAGGTTTATAAGTCCCAAAAATTCATACACATGTCCCAGTGGATAAAAGCGTTGGTTGAATTCAGTGACTTGATCCAAAGTGTTATGAGTTCAATACCTAGCTACAGCAGAGGTGAACAAAAACTTTAATCACCTGAAAAAGGCTAGAGCATACAACAGCTGAAACATTGTGAATATGGCAATGAAGTGAGGACAACAGTCTGAACAATGTAAATAGTGTAAATAATTACAATCTCAGAAATATATATATATATATATATATATATATATATATATATATATATATATATATATACACACACACACACACAGGGTGAATGGAAATATTGTCATCAAATTATGTGAAAATTAAAACATTTTAACAGATATCAAAATTACAAAAATTACACAAAATTATCAAAATTACACAAAAATATCTTGAAATACTAAAGAGTAAATTTATTCAATAAAAACACCATTGGCTTCAACCACAACTGCGGAATATCCTTCAACTCTTCTGGACAGTCTTCTTGTTGGTGAATGCTGCCATAATCCTTGCATTCAGTTCATCTTTGGTGTTACAAGGAGTTTTGTTGGTCTCTCAATTAACTGCACCCCATACATAATAAAGTCAGTTGCAGTCTGGGGAGTTATGTAGCAAGATGTAAGGGGTGATGTGGTTGCAGAAATTGTCTGACAGACATGACTGGGTTCTTCTGCTTGTGTGACATGGTGCAGATTTCTGTTCCTAGACATAGGGTATTCCAGCAGCCACCTCATTGACCCAGGGTAGCACCACCCCTCATTTGCCGTCCGTGTTGAGTCTGAGGTCCTCACCAAAATATTAGAAATTTCTTTTCTTATCAGAATGATCATAGTAATTATTCCAAGCTGCCATACCTTCATAATCACCATTAAATTAATCTGTTTCTGAACCCTTTGCACCGTCCTCAGATTGACACCCAAACTCTGAAATATTTGTATTGGAGCTTTTGGTACAAATGCCAAGCATGTTGTTTCCAAATTTCTGGCAGATTGAATTGCATCATGGTGCTCTTTTTTGCCCAACTGACCCTACTATCCTCTACAATTGACAAAATCAAAAATAAACAATGCACATGCATGAATTTAAAAATATAAATGGCAACAATTTGCCCATTGCTCTCTGTATATGTAAAAAAAAGGTGTCAGTTTAAACAGAAGCCAAGAAGACATGGTGCTGTTTCTGTCATTCAGACAATTTTTATTTTCTTTTTGAGTGTAAAATCAAAAGCAAGATTTTTGACATTGGATATTATTTCAATTTTTTTTTTTTAATTTTAATATTTTTCTTTCCAGTGCCAAACTCGAACAAATGAAGGTGCACATTGATACTCTGATTGACACTTTAAATTTGAAAAAGAAAGCCCGGTAAGTTGTTTTTTGCTAAATATTCACTAAATACATGGCCTGAGAGCAACTCAAAGTAGAGGCTTACTAAATGTGGTTTTTCTATGGACGTAGGAGGGGGAATCATGTGCAAATTATGAGGTTATGTAGGATAGGTAATGGTTGACCCTAGACTTGAAGAAGATTGTAGAGGTCAAGGAAATATCCAGGGGTTGTCAACCAAGAAGCAACCCCCACCCCCAGGGGAGAATTTCAGGGTTGAGTAATCTTTTACTATTTTTTTGTTTTTTATTTACAGAATTTTGTTTCTTGAAATATTGGTTTTCTATTGAACTTTTTCCTCATTGAAGTATGCTTCAATTTATTCATTTAATAAAAATAGTTATGAATTAAAACATATTACTGTAAAACATTTTCTATTGCCGCTAAATGAATCTTCAACCCTTGCATCTTGAACTGCTCCATCAAACCAGTTTTCTACTTACTCTCTTCTTCTGCTTCTCTGCCATGCACATGGTTTTTTTTCTTCTTTTTATTGGGCCTTGTCATTGGTTGATTTCTTTTTTTATGATGTTCACTAACCCACATAAACTATGTCCGGGTTCTGTCAGTTACCAAGGATAGGAACAATAGAAGGAAGGAAAAGAAGTAATGTGTAATAGAGAAGAGAGAGAGAGAGAGAGGGAGAGTTTGTCACTCTCTTAGTGAAAAGGAAAGTGTATATTTCCATATGGTATTACTACTACCTAATCCTACTACATACTAATATGGAAAAGGGTGATGGTTTTCAATAATATATGCATATTATTTGGAATGCACTTTTTGAGTGGGACAATCTTGGAAAGTGGGTGGGGATGACTTATGATGAAAATGGTACATTGGGCAAAAAAGGTTGAGAACCACTGCTATAAATGTTACCTTGGTTTGAATATTGGTAAATAATAATATGGTAAAGAATAAAGCATTCTGGACCATACAATACTTTCACATAAAGTTTAATGAGTTAGTTTATAAATCAGAAAATTGCTTGAAAAGTGTAGTTTAAGATTGAATTGAAGAACTCTCACAACTATCACAAATTAATACCAACAGATACAAAACATGCTTGACTATATTAGAAAGTTTGGCCACCTTGACGTGGTGTAATGGTTAGCAAGCTTGTCTCACTAGAACAATTACAACGAAGTAGTGAGTTTGATCATCTCTGGGTGCCCCATACATTCGGCCTTGTGCCACATCTAAGCTATGCTTAGAAAATCACAATTAGGCACCTCCAGGCAGTGTAATAGTTAGCAAGCTTGTCTCACTAGAACAATTATGACTGAGTAGTGAGTTCGATCCTCACTGAGTGTCCCATACTTTCGGCTTTGTGCAACATCTAAGCTACACTTGGAAAATCAGTATATTAGAGAGTTATGACTTTATGTATTAAATAATTTTGAGATTACTTTCAGGTTAGAATTTGACTAAAATGTACTCCATTTGTGGTTTACTCTTGTTGCTGTTGTTAATTTGGCTAGAGTTGAAATTGAAGAACTGGAAGAAAACACCCTAAGAAGACTTGAAGAAGTAAGGGTCGAAAGAGACAATTTTGAAGCTGCAACCAAAAAATTAATTACTGACTTGGAAGCGGAATATACAGAAAAATTAAATATGGTATACCTGACTTATTTTTTTTTTTCTTTTGCTTCCTCAATATTTTTTTTCTTTTTTACAATAATGTTCACCTTGTACAAGGCTCAAAAGCCAGTCAAGGTAGAGGTTTGCAGAATAAAAGGCACAATTTATGCAGGTATGTGGGGGCAGATAACAGTTAATCCTAGATTTGAACAGGTTAAGATTGTAGTGATCAGAGAAGCATCTGCTTTTTTGAAACACTCAGTACATATAAGTGGACACTGAGATCAACACTAAGTGGAAACAATCAGTTTCATTGAAGGCAGTCTTCAGGTCATGTGTATTGTATTTTATGTTACTTAAAAATTGAAAGCCAAAAGCAAATACCTCAATATTACCATGACAAATGCACTTATATGCATTAACTACTTATCCACTTATATGTACTGGGTGTTTCAAAAAATTGATATCATTTGAGATGTATAGCGGGCCACTTGTATTCGAGGATACCCTTCTACTAGGGTGATTAGCCAATCCCTATTGCAGACGCTTGCTCAGGCGCATTTGTATTAATTCAACACCCACAGAGCCCACCTGTGGTTTATACTGCAACTATACTGAGCAGACCTTAGTTACAGTTTCTGGAAACAGCGTGTTATCTAGCATGATCAAAAATTTGAACAAGGCCAGCACACTCAGGCCCTCAGCCATGATGACTTGTGACTTTGTGCTAGCACAGCTAACAGCAGTATCCAAGGATTGCATCTACCAAATTTCACTCACAAGTCTTAGGTCAACCTGTGGTATGGTTTTCAGGCACTTTCCAAAGGTGCCACATGCTGGGATTGACCCCTCCTGTTCGATAACATCAGGAAGTCTTCTTCTTGACAAATCGACCATGGTGAGATTCAAACCCAGGTCTCATGGTCAGAATGCGAACGTTCTAACCACTCGGCCACATGGCCCATATTTGAGATATAAATATCTGAGTAAGTACATATTTTAGGCAAATGAAACTAAACAGGCCTATTGTTAAGCAAAATAAGACTTATTCATTAAAATTTGAATGGGAAATTCAAACGTATGTGGATTTCATGAATGATTTCACAAGTTTTAATAAATTTACAATATGTGCACCACTTGACCATCTTTCCTGATCCTGGTGTCATCCAAATACTTTTTCCCTGCACTTTGAACTTTTTTTGCCATGTCCAAATTTGAATTGCAGTTGGTGCATATTTAGTTGCTGTATTTGACGGCATATAAGGTGCACTTTTTTTTCTAAAAATATCTTTTAAAATCCTCTCCCAAATGCATGCTGCGCAGTCTTGTTTGACTGTGTTTGAGCAAACTCTAACACATAAAATAGCTTTTCTCTTCCAGTGAATGGTATTTCTATACCTGAAAAGAAAAAAACATAAAACATGAAACATGTGCTTTTGAGTTGTTTCTAACATGCTGTTAAAATTTGAGGTCATTTGAACAAGAATTAGTCACTAGATTTCAAAATGATATCAATTATTTTGAAATATCCTGTAGATATAAACATATCAGTGTCTAGCCCATGCAGGGCTGGCACATACTACCCCAACACAACAATGGGAAGCTATTTCTTTTCTGAATGCGGTGATGTTCCTTGAGAACCTATTGGGACTTAAGATTACCTGAAACCTCAAGTGGAATTCATTCATATGATTCATCACTAAAGATGCTGGGGAAATGATCAAATGCATGTACTGCTATCCTTTACCTTTACAAGAGCCAGGTCATGATGTAAATGAAGTTTTGCTGCCATATATGGACAGGAGCTGCCCAGTTTTCATTCCCAGTTTCAGTAGAGTTTAAAAGCATCTATGCGACCTTGTAGGTGATGAATTATTTTTCCCCCTACAACCACTTTCCCACAGATGAAATGTCACAAGCCTCTTGTTTGTCTATTGCTACTTCTATGGAAAGTGTTCAGATGAACTACATTCTTTAGTTCCACAAGTTCTAACCTTCACAGCCTAGACCTGCAATGCCACCCAAGTTGCGGCAAACCACCCGCATTCCCTTTGTATTCCATTGATGAGATGTAAGTTCCACTCGGGCAGCCTCTCACAAACAACTACTCCCAAGAGAATACTTCCCCAACCAAATCATATGTTCAAATGTAGGGTTAAACATTATCTCTCACCACATATCTGAGCCTCTTACTTCTTACGCTCTAATCATCTATCTTGAGTGGCATTTGGGACTTGTACAGGGTGAAAAATATTGTTTAAAAAATAGAACATATACTACACTCTGATACTGGACTGATGACTAGAAAGCAACTCTCTGAACTCATTTAGATCATACAGATACTCTGAAACAAGGCAGAAAAAAAGTGGGGGGTTGGGGGCAAATATGAATAAACATGCCTGCAATAAGATGTGTCAAAAGGACAGTTTTTCTCATGACACTGCATTTTTAACTACCTTCACTCTTTGACAATGTTTATTGTTTTAAAAAGTGATGATTAAAATTAGAATAAAACTGAAACATACAATGAAAGAGAATTCATGCATTTATTTTTTATTTTTTAGGTCTTGAGAATTTACAGCAAAAATATTAAACACTATTTATTTTATTAGATTCTTTATCTACAAGAATAATTTTATATTTACAGCATTCCAAAAACTAATACAATTATAATTAATGCAATGCAATATTTATCATTTACCAATTTATAAAGAAATAAATGTGAAAACAATTTTTTATTCATAAATTTATAAACATTTACTAAATAATTAAAATATGTGAACCAACTATAAGGAAATCCTTATTATTTACCATTTTATAAAGTTTGAATCAATTGGCAGTTAGCTGATGTTTTGCCAACCATTCCAATAAATAATATAAATAGTGTAAATAATCTAACAGTGTGGTAATAAAGTAAACACATCTCATCTCCTTTCTCACTTATAACCATCCATTACTATAAAATAAAATGTTCTCAGTGCTAAAGATGAATTAGTCAAATAAAACTTCTGCTTAGAGCTGTTACTATATTACAATAGTGTTTATTATTTTTGTTGTAAATTTTCAAGAACAGAGAAAATGTATAAATTCATTTTCATATGTTTATGTTTTATTATACTTTTAATCATTTCTTTTTAAAACAGTAAACATTGGCATAGAGTGAAAGTAGTTAAAAAAAGTGGTATCATGGGAAAAAAAATGCGCTTTTGACACTCTGTCTTATTGTAGGTTCATTTATCTATGTTTGCCAAAATAAAGAAAATGTTCCAAACATTTCAATCAAAAATTTACCTTAAACTTCTATGCTCACCTGGGGTTTTCACAGTCACAAAGGATGATCTAAGAAAGGTTCACTGAGTTGGTTCCATTCAAGTTGAAAAAGGAAGAAATATCAAACATTTGCAAAATTGTTGAAACCTATGAAATGTATTCATTTTTCTTTTGCATATTGTATTGTGTTCACATACACCATATGGATAAATAAATCATATGATGGCTGTAACTCAATTTCAAGCAATGATCCATCCTCAATGTGGGCAGTGTGGATGTAGCTTTTTAGTTCTACTATGCTATTACCTTCTCTTGCACAGATGTGGCAACGTTGCATGTCTTTTGCAATAGTTCTTACATTAATATTTTCATGAAGCTTCAAATATCGTTTTAGTCCACCAACCGAGGAACATTCTGTTGTTGGTGTTCTGGTGATGTGTTAGCTTTGTCTGAATGTTATTTTTTTATATATGTATTTTTTAGGGTTAAAATGGCATCACACCACCACAACAGGATTACAATACTACAAACAAAATCATATATGAAATACAACAAAATAAGCATAGGAATAAATTGCTTTAGTATACATTTCAGAGAAATGATTGTATATTTTAAAGAAAATATATAAAGAAATTTTGCTTATCTGTTGGTGGCAAAATGTTTTTCCTAAGAATGTCCAGAATGTCTCTCTTTTTTGGTGGTTGAAAAACAAAGTATTGGGGCGCATCCACCTCCTGACTAAGAATGGACTGATCCCTCTACGATATAGGACAGTGCTAGAGAGACCAGAGAAGATAGAGATCTGGAGATCAGGTGACCATTACACTTCCGTCTCTCTACTGGAAGTTACCGTTGGACTTTAGACTCTTGCTGATTGTTACTTACTAACCTGCGTTCGTTATTACTAATCACTCTGTTGTTAAATACCTCTTCAAATATACCAGTATTTTTCCCTACATCTGTGTTAGTCTTTATTTGAATACACACACGCGGGAACACTCCCAACATCTCAACACAAAGTGAGAGAAAGTTTTGGTTTTTTGTTTTTTTTGCTGGTAAATGCTAACTTTTTTCTTTATAATCTAACTTTATCTTTCTTTATTGTTAATTACCATTCTTATCTGTATATTCAAGTATTTTTATGGTTTAACTTAATTTTTCTTTTATTATTAATTATATTTTGGTTTCAGACTACTACATTGTCTAGTAATAGGGGTGTAATGACAAAAGTACACAGGTGTAGGCTTTAAGAAAGCTTTATTCTACTGAGAATACAAAGTTCTCATATAGTGTCCTTTTATAGTCTCAGTAAACAGAAATAGCTCTCTCATAGAGGAGAGTAACAAAACAAGGGGAGACCACTCTTGATTATTCATAACAAAAGGTTGGGGGTTATTCAGTAATTTATTTATTGCTATCACTATAATTCTTTTTTTTTATAGTCTCTGCAAGTAGAAATGCTGCTTAGCATATAGTGAATGACTTCTGAGTGTGGTGTCTGTGATTAATTTTGAGGCCTGCCGTTAGGTCAAATTCCATAGCAACATTTTCCAGGAAATTGACATCAACACCTTTATAAACATCTCTCTTGTGTTTTCAATGTGAACATGAAAGAAAAATATGGGAGGTTATTTCCCCTTATATATGCAGTCATATGACACTACCATGACCATGCGACACAAGAGTATCAAAACAAAGCCAAATTCAAAAACATGCTTTTGTAGCTTTCTTTTTCAGATTGCATAGTGGCGGCCATAAGTGTTAAAGGTAGTATTTAATTTTAGTAACTTGCTTTCTCTCTGCTTTTATCATGCATCGCATGCACACATACACTAAAAGTTACACTGCATTATTTCACAATTTAGAAACATTTTGTTTTTTAAATGTGATTTTTTTTTCTCCAGGTAAAAATACTACAAGGAGAAATCAAGCAGACAGTAGATGAAATTAAACGAAAAGTTGGAGATGTAAGGCTAATGCAGGACAACCATGAAGATGAATGTATTAAGAAAAATGCTCTGATCAAAGAAAATGAAGTACGTGTAATTTGATATTATTAACATATCTTGATAAGAATGTGAAGCTAAATTTTCCATATATAAAATAATTGTTTATTCATTTTTGTTAAATTGTTCTCAGTCGATTCAATATTCTGCAGTTTCTGAAGTAATATGTTATGTAGAGAGAGATTTTCTACTAAATATTGCAATGGTAAAGCTTTATGTAACACCTTTCACCATCACCTACACCCAGTGGTGTAACTATGTTTAGTGGTCCAGTCGTCAGGTTCTTAGAACAACATTTTTAACCATGGGGCTAACTCTGTGCTGGTCCAAGCTGGTTGTTGGTTGCTGGCCACTTTGATCCACACCAACTCTACCCATACTGTGTTCTTGATCTCAGAGCAGTGGGAAATCAAATGTTGCAGTCTTGCAGCACTGCTTCAAGTTGTGGTGGGTGCTATATTAAGGAAAAAAAATGATGAAAAATAAAACGAGAGATCTGTGGGATTAATCTTCAATTGGTTTATATAGCTCTTGGTACAATAAAATTAATCCATTCCTACATCAATCTCTATAGTGACACTAGGTCTTGACTAAACTTCTGGAGGGCTGGGTTTAAAGTCTTGGATTCAGGAATCTGGTTAGCAGCTGGCATGGATTTCAGAGGCACTCAGCCTAAAATCTCCAAGCTCTCCAAAGTCATCTGCTTATATGCACATTGGTCACAAACTGGCATGGGGCCAAAGAGTTCAGTGATTTCCCCAATTTTTGTTAATTCCTATAAAGATTTTCTGCTTTTCTGCTTCCTTAATCAACTCTCCAAATTTGGAGAATTATCCACCTTCCTTGGGAATAGTCACAGGTATTGCTCTTCCCTTAATTCCAACCTGCTTCACTTAACATCTTGTACTGCTACTCTGTATAAGCAGGACTAAAGTCTGCCCCTTCCTTCTTGGTATTCTAATTCTGCCCACTTCTTGGGGGGTGGGGGCAGCAGCACAACTGTCCTTGTGACAAATATAATTTTTAAAGTGTGTAGGAGAAAGGGCATGGTTTATTCTTCTTGTTAATCTAAATTTTCTGACTCCCTTTCTGGGTCAGTTTGTCCAGAAAAAGCACGAGCCAGATCACCTTCATGACTGATATTCATAACTTCAACCTTAAGAAAAAGAGTTCATCCCTTGTTTTCGTTTTTGTCAATGAAAATATAATTCTTGTCTACCTCTGCTCTCATTAATGATATGTATTTTTCCTAATTTCTCAAGAAAGAGATAAACTTATTTCCCCGTTTGTTTTACCTGCATACCAGATTTTCAATAGTTAAAAATACACCAGTTCTCAGTGCATTGTAACCAATTTGTAAGGCTGAGGAAGACAATCCAGATGGCCTTTTTTTTCACTTTCACATTACCAGGGAAAATGTCTTCCATTTTCTCTCTCCAATTCCTTGTTTTCATTTTTGTCAGCAAAATTATAATTCCCACCCATGTCTCTTCTCGTTAATGATATGTGTTTTTCTAATTTATCAAGAAAGAGATAAAATTGTTCTCCAAACCTGTTTTCATCTGCATGCCAGACTCTCACCAGAGAAGAAAAATGAACTTTAGGAGAGAAGAAATCCAGACGGTCCCATTTTCATCAAGGAAAATGTCTCTAAAGTCTATCATCCAGCATATATTCCATTTTGGGCTTAACCCTTTTTTGCTCAGAATCAACATTTAAACACCTCATGGCCTCAGTGTCACATTTATACTTAAAACTGTTTAAATGTATGGCTGATAGATGATGAATTAGAAAGATAGATAAAATATTAATAATATCTGATAAGAATACGAGACTTTATTTTCAATATGTAAAATAATTGTTTATTCACTTCTAGACTCTGTCAAATTAATATCACTTAAATTGAGGGTATATAGTTTTAGGTCTTTCTTTTAACATTTGATCTTGTGAGGGATTTTGATTGATTGATTGATTCATTCATTTACTTGAGTTTATCAACTTGTTGCTGATTATTTTAAAGCCAGAAAATATTTTTAGATTGTAAGAATTAAAAAAAAAATTTTTGAGATAAAAATGGTTTAGTGATACAAGTCAAACTAATTAAGCCATATTTGGGGAGAGAAGTTGTAGATTCATACCTTCCTTAAGTATATTTGCGCATAAGTTAATATAACAAATTCAACAGGAATTGGAATAACAATTCCACACCATTATACATTACAATGTCTGCACATCCAAGCTTACAGCAACAGGTATTCCCAAGTGGTTACACGTTTAGGTACTGACCAAGCTTGACATTGCTTAACTTCAGTGATTTTATGGGAACCAATGTTTCAATATGATTTGGCCATGAGTCTTGAAGCATTCTCCTCTCCCCTAGTGGATCAGTTGTCTTGTGTGAATATATCTTAAGTTTTGTTGGGTTTACTTGTTTATGTTCTTGCATCCACCAATATCCTCTGAGGCCTGATAATTCATCTGGTGGCTAAGATGTCACTTTCTAGGTTAACACTTGGTGCTCCTAGGTCTTTTGACATTCTGAGGTGACACCAAGTACAAAATTTACTTTGCTATCACCACAGATCAACTCTTCTTAGATCATGGTTTTTGATGGAAATTAAATTTAATTCAGACTTCCTATATTTCCTGATTTGAATCATATACAACATTATCACACCTTAAGTGAAGTAAATATTTATGTAACATCTGATAAGAATACAAGATTATATTTTCAATATGTAAAATAATTGTTTATTTACTCCTGGACTCTCTCAAATTAACTGAATTGAGGGTATGTAGTTTCAGATTTTTCTTCAACTATTCAATCTTTCTGCAAATATGTGAGGAATTCTCCTATCTTTCTATAGGTCAGTTGTTTACATAAGTTCCTGTCATCTGATTACCTTGTGTGTGTATATCCTAATTTCTTATGTCAGCTCATAAGGTTCCTAGTTTTTTTAATTTCTGAGGTAACTCCAAGAACAAAACTTAGGGTGAATCCAATACATATTGGTGTTGACAGAGATTTACTCTTCATGGATCAAAGTTTCCTGATGGACATTAAATTTCTTTCAGATCATCTGGTATTTTCTGGCATGGGTCACATATTACTGATGCAACCCAAGACAACAACTTCATTCAATTTTCTGAATCTGTTTTATGACTTTTAGAGATTTGGGTGAGGTGTCTTGGTTCATCTGGTAATAATCTCAGGTTTTTTATCTTGTGATAAAGAAGTTATAAGAATGCACCCTAAATTAACTTGCAAAAGTTTTTAGAAAATATAAAAATCAATATATAATTAAGTAAAATAAAAAAAGTAAACATAAGTTTGTAGGAGAGTAAATTTTGGACATGTTTTGGGAATTTCTGCCTGAGGTTTTTAATTATTAATTATTATGTACATAGTTTACATTAGGAGTAATGTCCACATATTTGTTGCTGTTGTTATAATGTCTCAGTTACTGAACCTCTAGCCTTCTTTCAATCAAGGTAACCTTCAGGGAATTTTTAACTGAACCCTTTATTTAATCTATGAGGATAGATTGTTTCTGTTCCACTGTTCATGTCTAGGAATATCTCATCTTGTTTTTTCTAGTACTATACAATTATTACTCACCCTTTTTTTACCATGTCTGTGCCTGTTCTACCTGTCCCAGAGATTGTACACACAATTACAATACTGCCAAATTCTTGAACTAATCTTAACTTGTTAAAGTCTAGCATTAACCATTATCTTTTTCTAGTTATACAAACTGTTTCCTAATGTAACCCTCTACCTTGAGTGGCTCCCGAGCCTTGCACAGGGTGAACCTTACTGTAAAAATCTTCCTGATTAGCATAAAATACATTTCAAGAAAGTCCTAATAACTTCAATGTCAAGAAATCAAATTAAGCAGAACAGCAACTCACATCAGGAATGGCTCCAAAAGCAACCTATTAAATCTAAGTAGGGATTTTCCAAGCATAGCTTAGATGTGGCACAAGGCCGAAAGCATGGGGCACCCAGTGAGGGTTGTACTCACTACTCAGTCATAACTGATCTAGCGAGACAAGCTCGCTAGCCATTACACCTCCTTGAGGCACCCATGTATTAAATCTAAGTATTTTTGAAACTGGAAAGCATTTTGTCTATATTCCAGGATTAAACTGAAACACCATAAAATTATAGACACTTATCTAATAGCCTGAAGCTCATGATTTTGATCTGGCATGGAATCTAAATTTGGTTTGATTTAGTTTATGACAAATCAACCTTTTCCAGGTTATCTAATACTGAATTCTGTCATTTTGATAATATCTTGTTCTGCAGTGGGGATGGGGGCTTGGGGGTTAACTTCATTTCAGGGCAGGGTGCCAAATCACGAACAGATACAGTAGACTTCCTAGCGTATGTCAGATTACTGTCAGTTCTAACTGCCATTCCCGAATGTTGGCATTTTTAATTTTGGTACGACTTTTGTTGTTAAACAAGATGGCCACCAGTCGTTGGTCAGCAATTAAGATGAAATTTTATCGCATTTTTAGTTTCTATTGAAAGACGAATTTTATTAGAAAATTTGTTTATCAATTTCGCATAATATGTGAACATGTCCAGTGCCCTTTTTAATGATTTCGAGTTTTCTGGTGAAGGTAGTTCTCTTAAGGGACAAAGTCTTTCTGGGTTGGGCTTAACTCCACTGCCAACACAGTATCCAAACACAGATTTTGATTTGTTGAGGGTAAGTAACTTTTGTAATAGCCTCCAGGTATCGTCGATGGAAGGGAATGCACCACATAAGTTTTCTTTCTTTATTATTCAGTCAATAGCTCTCTGGAACGAGGCAGCTCCATTTTTTACCCCAAACAGAATTTACAGAAATGAAACAAATGACTATTCTCCTCAAAAGCAGTGTATTTTTCATCTGATTCTTTAAGGGGGACCTGATGGTAGTCTCTTTTGAGATTGAATTGAGAAAAAAATGTTGCATATAGCGAAGTCAATTCTTGGCAAGAGTTAACTGTCCCATTCTGTGTATAGGTTTATCATTTGTGAGTAATCTACACACATTCGTTTTTTATGACAGTGGTTACGGTCCTTCACTACTACCAGCTGAGCTTGCCATGATGAAATGCTTTCTCTAATTATGCCTTCAGAAAGCAAGTTCTGAATTTCTTTAGTGATGAAGGACTGATTTTCCTTGTTAAATTGCCTTGACTTGACAGCAATGGGCTTACAGTTCAGTGATAGGACATAGTGAAGGTTCTTCTATTTCTGCTGAGTTTAATGCACAGAATTGATGAGCACTGTCCATATTTGAACATTGCTCTTTGATGCTGACACAAAAAATCTTGCCTGAGTATCATGTCAGAACATAAATCCTTGAAAACACCTAAATGAATAGAAACATACAACTGGTCATTAAGGCAAAGGGTTAGATTTACAACTACGTAGCTCCTTGAATTAGTGTTTAAAGTTTTCTGGATCATGGTGTTATAGACAAGTGTATGGTTGCAAGATGGAAATACAACAACAGCAGAAATAGATTTACATGATTTATTTCAATAGGAACGTGTGGTTTTGGGACAGCTACCTTGTGGTATAGTTCATAAGCCGGCTCCCGGTCTGGGTTGATCTCTCATAGTAGTTCTCGCTGGTTGGTCTGACATTCCTCCTGCTGACTGCTGCTAACTGACCATGATAGGTCAGGTCTCTTCCCTGGCCTCCTGTTGACTGCTGTTGTACTTCCCCGTGTGACCCCTTTTATGGCGTTTTTTATGGCTTAACAGGCTCGTAAAAAAACGCGAGTATAATTAGGAGGGAAACATTTTTATTGGTCGAAAAACAGAAACACTTTAAAATATTACTTTATTTTTTAACCAGAACTCGTGCGTTGGGCTTATGCGTAGACGACGATAATGGTCATTTTGTGACGGGGCCTCGCTCTTAAGTATGTTAGTTTATTTGCCTGCAAATCAGCCAAGATATATCTTATTTTATTTTATAACAATGGTAATACTTTCAAATCTAGTTCCTGCATGATCCTTTCACTGCGATAACAGTCAGTGCTACAAGAATCAAGTGGAGTGCTTAGTTTTTTTTTTTATCATTAACTATTACATGCATCTCAATGGGGTAGAGTTCCTGTGGTACATTAGTAAACATGGTCAGTATATGAGGACCAGCCACTGTTGCTAATAAATTTTGACTGACATGCATGAGCATAATGTTCTTTGAGCATTTTTTACAAGTAGTTACATGAGCAGGACAGCGGTCCTGTGAATGATAGGGAAATCCACAGATAAAGCATTTATGTTTTACTTGATAGGTTGTGGCTACTGCTGATTCGTTAGGTTTCATCAGGGGTTTATAACAATTCTCACATATCTTTGTGGGTTCCAGGTCAACTATTGCTGCCATTTGAGGTTCTGAAGTACTGTACAAGTTGTTATTCCATTCGGCTGAGTCCAATGCAGAAGCTTGATTATAAGCTGTTTGTAGGTCCAGAGTCTTATTTTCCAGGAAACACTTCCATATGGGATGCAGACATGTACCTGTAATGAAGCCACATTCTTCAGTAGCATGGTCTCTGAAGTTGCAGTTCTTCCTCAGTTTTTCCAACTCCCTGAAAAACTTATCCTGTGATTCTCCTGGCTCATGTCATCTCATAACTAACAGGTGCCTTGCAAAATCCTCATTAGGTGTTTTAACAAATAACTTACCCAATTTTGTATAACCATGTTGAAATCTGCAGATCTTTCTATATATTCGAACATGCTGGAAGGCATGCAGCTCAAGGGGGCCCCCATACTTGTTAGGAATTCTTTCTTTGTAATGATTGAAATAGTTCAACAGGATGGTTTGCCAATGGCGATAATCTGTGGCAGCTGTTGGGGAACAGGAGTCAATATACAAGTACTTTGGCTTCCATGCCATTTTCATGTTCGTTTTTGTATTTGTTTAGCTAAATAAATTATGATAAGTAAAACAAAACTTGGAACAGAAGTAAAAGTACTAAGCTTTATTTAGCTAAACAAGCCTACAAAATAAAAGGAAAGTAAATTACAGATTATATAGCACATGTGGGTGACTCTATTGCTTGAACAACATGAGCATAGGATACCACAACAGGGTTATCAAAAGAAGCCATCAAGAAGGCCTTGAAAATAGAGCTGTGGAGAATCATGGAAGAATCTGTCAAGGAATGCATGGAGGCATGGTGGAGAATGATGGGAGTAGGATATTTTTAAAGGGGAAAACTAGTAGTAGTTTGGATTAGACATAAAATTTTGTAACTTCAGTTTTGTTTCTTTTCTGACACACCTCATAGATCCACAGCCTTATGAAGTCTTCTTCACATACTGCCTCTCCACACACTGCTTGTGCAATTCCCTGCTGATAGACTAGATTCATAACCTCAGGAGGTTTTCTTCACACATTGTATCACCACTACTCTGCTGACAGGCTACAACCATAACTTCATTTTTACCAAGCAGGTGATATAACAACAATCTTCAATATTTTGTGTCTCAGATGAGGTACAGTGACCAAATCTTATTAGTAAATGACTATAAATTCCTGTGAAGAGCAGTATATGTCATACAGTGTTTTAACTGATGGGTTTAGTGTTCCCTATACTAAATTGAAATATGATTTGAAGCAATGTTCCTCCTTTTTTTTTCATGTGTTTATGACCTCAGTCAGTTATTCATCACTTATGGGTACCTGTAGTTTTCAGGTGTGGCTAATGTCTGTCCCAAATTTACATACCAGCTCAAAACTATTGCCATTGAAAGGGAGATTTTTGAAATTGTAAACAGGATTTAGGAATTTGAACTACACATGCCAATTTCACTTCCCACACCTATAAGCACCATGCTACGCACATATCTGGGAAACATGAATGTTAGAAAGTGATGTAATGGAATAACCTGTCACCCCCACGAGTGACTAGACTATAAGTAGTAACTACCTATAAGTATCTGTACTACAGAGACTAGCTAGGATCTGTTGAGTACAACCTTCCAAGAATAGCACTCAATACTGGATTGACTTGCAATGACCTTGTGCATAACTGTTACCTTTATTCTTATTGTACTGTTTTTTTACAATAAACCTTTACTTATTTTATCCACCTTGTTTTTCAAGTATATATTCCTATTAGCACAGAGTATAACAAAAAGCAAGATGAGTCTCCTGGGTATTATTTGTTTCAGATCAAGTTATGCACAAACTTGTATTTTAAACAACTTGTTTCTTTGAAAAATAGCTCATATAAATTTTGCTGTTTCCAGGAAAAAGCTGATGAACAAGAGAGAATCTTGAATGAAATCAGCACCAAATTTGAATCTTTATCAAATCCATTTAAAGAGATGGCATTTCAATACCAAGAATGTCTTCAGAAATATTCCTCCATTTACAGAAGACATTCTCGTAAGTTGAGATTTTTATTTCAAGATTGAAATTTGTGTTGTGCCAAATTAATAACTTTTTAATTTATTACTTAAATTACTGTTGTAGCACACCTATGGACAATAATAGGTATGTCCCCATTCACATAAATACAGTAGTAAATACTGTATGTTGGTCTGCAGTTGGAGATTCATTGTGGAATTCATTTGACTCGCTTCTGGGAGTTGACTACTTTTTCTACATGCCGCTGGCAAATCTTATATGTGTTGTTCATGTTCTAGTTATTATCATTCATTACCAACCTTCATGCAATTATTCTATTCAGTAACCTTCCCTATATTACAACAATTACAAAATTAATTACTTTTATATTTATTAAAAAAATACAATTTTTATTTGAAGAGTGAAATTATTCTGTATTGTGCTTTACCACCAAATTAATAACATTTACTTTTATATTTACAAAAAAATGCAATTTTTAATTGATGATTGAATTAGTCTGTGTTTTGCTTTTTCAAAATTAATATCATTTAATTTGATACTTACAAAAAAATGCGAGTTTTAGTGTAAAAATGCAATGCAAAGAAATGCTCCTTTTATAAAGCAATATAAATGAAAAAAAATTGGTGACTTAGTTCTTCCATTCTTCATTATTGATGTGGTATGAAGAACTGGATTTACTAGTCATGTGTTTTTACAATTGCTTTCACACTTACATTGTAATTGTGACATTATGATTGGGGCACCCACATCAAATAGGAGAGTGTAAGATTTTATCTTGATAGGATCTTTACAAAAAAATGTAAATTAAAGATTTTGAGGTCAAGTAACAACAAACCAGACATTGATGATTTCCAGCTGGTGGTGTATATTAACTGTTGTATCCTTAAAGCGGTTACAAACAGACAAAGGTGGTACTTGAGTGAAGGAACAGCAACATGTGCGTAGATGAAAGAAGAGAGGTTTATTGTAAAAGAGAATACACTACTGAAAGACAGGGAATCAGGTAGCAGGCTAGTAATTCCCAAAGCAAGGATATTTGCCAACCACTCTATGTGGTCAGATGTGACACAAGGCCAAATTTAACATGGGGTATCCGAGCCTGTAGACTTGGGCAAAAAGTCCCCGTAGACACTGTAAAAAACGGGGTCGGGTAGCTGTCTGCTACCCCAGACAAGAGTCTGCCCTTTGGCATAGCCTCGTCTGGGTTCCTCTCTGCCTTGAAGGCAGAGAGTTTGACTAGGTTAGCTGGAGATGAATCACCAACTAATTGCCAAAGCAAGCCTCCAAGGATATGCTGTGCTCACTATATATATAGCTACTGATATAGTCAGTCCACATAGGCAATAGGGAGTGTGGGACATTCCATTACAACACCTCCCCTCAGCTAATTTTCGCATGTAATTTTGCTCAATGCCTCTTCTTTTTGGAGTCAGGACATAACTGTTTGATTTTTTTTTCCTCTTCTTAGTACTTTTCCATCTCACCATTAACAGACATGGTAGAGACTACAGTATCCTGTACTGATCCGCTTTTGGCAGAGGGCAGACTGTTCCTTGTGTTATAGACAAGTGTATGGTTGCAAGAAAGAAATATGACAACAGCAGAAATAGATTTATGTGATTTATTTCAATAGGAACGTGTGGTTTTGGGACAGCTACCTTGTGGTATAGTTCATAAGCCGGCTCTCGGTCTGGGTTGATCTCTCATAGTAGTTCACACTGGTTGGTGTGGTGCTCCTTCTGCTGACTTCTGCTGACTGACCATGACAGGTCTCTTCTCTGGCCTCCTGTTGACTGCTGTTGTACTTCCCCGTGTGACCCCTTTTATGGTGTTTTTTATGGCCTAACAGGCTCGAAAAACGGCGCGAGTATAATTATGAGGGAAGAATTTTTATTGGTCGAAAAATAGAAACACTTTAAAATATTATTTTATTTTTCAACTGGAACTTGTGCATCGGGCCTATGCGTAGACGACAATAATGGTCATTTTGTGATGGGGCCTTGTCCTGTTCACATCCGGCTCTCGCTCTTAAGTATGTTAGTTTATTTGCCTGCAAATCAGCTGAGATATGTCTTATTTTATTTTATAACACTTGGTTAGTTCCAATACTGCCCATTTGTAATGTCATTGGTGATGTCAAGATGAGCAGAGAGTTGGTAGGAGTAAGAGTCAAAAGGAAAAGCTGGTCTGTTAGTCCAACATGACATAAGTTGTCCCAAGACAACTACCCATCCAGACAGAGCAAACAAAATCTGGAATAAAACACCAAATAAAATATCTATGAAAATATTTAAATAATGGCAAAAATTAAAAAAAAGCACATGAAGTAATGAAAATACTTCATTTCAAAACTTAAGAAAATAAGTTTTAAATATTAAATTTAAAGGAAAGCTGAAAAGTTTGCAAGTCAGCCAAGAAGCCCTTCCACCAAAAAGTTTGATACTTGATTATTTGATCAAATTTTGGGAAGGGGGTTGGCCTGAAAACTTTTCAGTACATCTAGATATATATTTGCTTACTCCTAGATATATATATTCTTTTTAGCTTTTTCATAAAAATGAAGTGAAATTGATACAATGTTTACTGACTTTGAAAATGGAATTGGTAGAGTTCAAATTCCACAATCCACTTTTTGAGACTTTCATGTTGACAACCTTTGCAGAAAATAGTAAATAATATAAAATGTTTGTTCTTTTTAAGTAAAATAAAAGAGAATCATTTAGTTTTAGCTTTACTGCCTATTTCACGTATATTCAGACTAATATCCTGATCTTGTTATTATTACAGCATTTTGACCATTGAGCCCTCTGACCTTCTTCAGGTGTCTGTTGATTGAGGCAATTTTCAGGGAATTTTGAACTGAACTCTTTATTTATTGGATGTGGATAGATTGTTCTCTTTCCTCTGTCCAGGATATTTTGTCTTGTTTTTTTTAGTACAACTCTATTATTGCTTGCTCTTTTTCCACTGAGTCTGGATCTGTACAATGCTTTAATTCATGAGGGACAATCCTGAAACCTAGAACTTGAAGGCTTAAACCTAATGTAACATTCCTTGAAGGTTACCCAGACACCTGAAGAAGGCTGTAAGGTACAATGGTCAAAATATCAATAAACAACAAAGATGAAGACATTAATTTGAATATCATTAATGTAATTAATGATAACTATTCATCCCAGAAATTCAGACAGAAATTAGCTTAGTGGTTTAAAGCATTGTTTCATGAATTTTGGGGTATAGTAATTGTGAGTTCAATCGATGACTTGTGCAGTGGAAACAGTGTAAGCAATAACTGAGCAGTACTAAATAAGAACTAGATGAAATCTGTCCAGAATCTATCTTACATATTTATAAGTCTACCTTCTGTCCATGCTTTGAATATTTCTGCCATATATAGACTCATTCTCCTCCTATATATTTACAGATTCTTGATAAAATCCAATGAAGAATCACAATGTCATTGGTCCTGACTTACCATCTTGGCTTTAGTCACTTTCCCACTGCTATAATGTACCTTCCCTGTGTTTTTTCTATAAATAATTTCATGGTAATTGTTCTGATGAATTTTCCTCTATGGTACCTAGTCTCTATGAATTTAAGCTCAGTAATAGATTGATGACAAGGTGTGATTATTCTATTCAGTAACCTTCTCTAAGTTACAAAGGATAGAAAATTGTGAAGAGCCGTGATCATCAATGCCCTGAAGAAACTTGGCCCATAGAAACAAGAAAACTGACCTTGAGCAAATGGTGGTGAGACAAGGTTTAAAAAGAGATAACAAAAAAGACAAGATTTATTAAGAGCTACAAAGGACAGGAAATTGTGGAGAGCCATGATCATCAATGCCCTGAAGAAACTTGGCCCATAGAAACAAGAAAACTGACCTTGAGCAAATGGTGGTGAGACAAGGTTTAAAAGAGATAACAAAAAGACAAGATTTATTAAGAGCTACAAAGGACAGGAAATTGTGGAGAGCCATGATCATCAATGCCCTGAAGGAACTTGGCCCATAGAAACAAGAAAACCGACCTTGAGCAAATGGTGGTGAGACAAGGTTTAAAAGAGATAACAAAAAAGACAAGATTTATTAAGAGCTACAAAAGGACAGGAAATTGTGGAGAGCCATGATCATCAATGCCCTGAAGAAACTTGGCCCATAGAAACAAGAAAACCGACCTTGAGCAAATGGTGGTGAGACAAGGTTTAAAAGAGATAACAAAAAGACAAGATTTATTAAGAGCTACAAAGGACAGGAAATTGTGGAGAGCCATGATTGCCAACGTCCTAAAGGGACACGGCCCATAGAAACAGAAAAAAGCGAACTTAAGTAAATGAATGGTGAAGCAAGGTTTAGAAGAAATAACAAAAAGACAAAATTTATTAAGAGCTACATAGGAAATTGTGGAGAGCTATGATTGCCAGTGTTCTGAAGGGAGACAGCACATAGAAGATGATGATTTGGGCTGGTGCTACCCAGTCTTCACAAACATTTACACAGTCTTGTGGGTGATGAGTTATTCTCCACCTTGCAACCATTTTCCCACAGATGAAACATTGCCAGCTATATCACTATTACGATGATATTTGTTTGGCCGACTTACATTCTTTAGTACCACTAGCTTGGACCTTCATATCCAAGACCTGCCATGGTGTATTCACTGTGCAAACCATTCTCATTCCCTTTGTGTTTCTTTGATAAAAAGCAAGTTTCACTAAGCCAGAACTTACTTCCCGAGAGAATGCTTCCCTGTTAACTACAATCTTGGTCTCTTTAAGTCCAGGATCAACCAGTATCTATCCTTCATATCTTCATGGTACTCTCATACTCCCCTCCCTTAAATCTCCCTAAGTAAACCCTCTACCTTGAGTGGCCCTTGGGTCTTGGATTGGGGGAACTAACAGTAAAAAAAATGCCTTTCTCCAGGGTATTAATGCAAAAGTGAACACAAGAGACTAAGCCAGAATTTGAACTTGGCATGCCAATTCCACTTTCAACATTGATAATCTTTATGCCACCCACAAGTCCTCACCCTCAACTAAATACTATAAAATATCATTTTTCCTATGAAATACTATTCAATTCTACACAGAAAACTGGTATTGAACAAAGGAAAATTCTCTGTTTAGGACTTTCCAAACAGTTACTTTTTGACTCTTGATAAATCTCCTGTTACGTAAGGAGTTATTTATTTCCCTAAGTATGAGCATAAAAATAGAAACAAAAAGAACACTTTTACTTAGAATCAGAAAAAGGCAATTAAAATTTCTAGGGTACATAATGAGGAAAGAAAGCTTGAAAAATTTGACACTCACAGGACATATTGAAGGCAAGAAGGACAGAGGAAAGCAGCACATAACCTATCTAACAAGCTTGTGCAAATGGCTGACATAACAGGGATTAAGAGAGATAGCAAAAAGACAAACTTTACTAACAGCTACAAAGGATAAGAAGTGTTGGAGAGCCATGATCATCCAGAAGAACTAGGAACAGATAGCTATACAGTAGGACCTTTAGAGAATATCCAGGATTGTAAAACCCTAAATATAATAATCTATTTGAATAAAATTATTATAAATAATAGTTTCTTACTTCCCCCTTCCTTACAATCTCACACAGTAACATCCTAGCTTGAGTCACTCTTTGATCTTGCATTGGCTAAACTGTCATAAAAAAACACATTCACATTCCAGAAACAAATCATAGTAGATGACCTTTCAATCCCTTTATATACATAGCATTGCCTTCATTAGATAAAGACGAGCTTTTGTATAGTTCTTTTTTATATGCCATGACCTGATCATGGCTCTTGACAACTTCCTATCCTTTGTAATGCAAAGTAGGTTATTCATTGTTTCTACTCCTCTTGCTTTCAATAATAATAACACCAGTTCTCATATGATCACCAAAATTAAGCAATGTCAAGCCTGATCAGAACCTGGGTGGGTGACTGTTTTGGAATACCAGGTATTGTAAGCATAGATGTGCGGGTGGTGTAATGGATAACAGCTTGGAATTGGAAATCAGAGAGATGAGTTTTAATCCCAATTGGATTTATTATATTCACTTATGCAGAAAATACCCTTAAGAAAGGTATAGATTCATCTCTTTTCCCACAACTATGCATTAATCAGTAAATCATTATTATCTCCAAAAAATTCTTCAAATCTAAAAATATTTTCTGGCTTTAAATAAATTTCAAAAGGTTGATAATCCATAAAAAATAAATTAGTCAATCTTGCTTATGTATTCAAGCCCTCTTTCCTCATTGTGACCCATAAATTTCATCTCGTTCTGACTAATGTAGTAATTTTTCCCAGTTGCATGTGTTGCCTGTGTGTGAAAGTGGAATGAACAAGACCCAAGGCTCTAAATAACTGTTTAACTGCTTTTATTTGTGGTTGAAAGAGAGTGCAAAATAGTAATATTTTGTAGGAAAAAGAATTGGATTTCCCAATTAACAAAGTTCTTGAGTAGATGTTTTGTAGAGAGAGATTCCTCTGCTTATCTCCACAAGGAATGAGAAATCATAGTGTGAAACTACCAGGACAAATCTTCTGCAGCAAGGGTTATGGGTAGTCCTTCGGATAGGTTTCTTAAAGGAAGATTTCTTCGCTTTTTGAGGAATGAGAAATCTGAAGTCAAGCTGCCAGGACAGGTCACATGTCTTCTACAGCAAGGATTGAGAGTAGCTCTTTGAGCCGGGCCTTGAAGGTTGTGGCCGCTGAAAAAGAAGAGTGGAAAAGAGGCCGAATAGTGTTATGATTTCTGGGACTTCCGCTTGTACCCTGCTAATTACTTCTGGTGCTTCTACTGCTGAATTGAGCAAAGTAAGGAAGCCCCCACATGCAACAATAGCCAACAAGTGAGATAGTTATTATAACAAGTATCCTTTTAATTTCTGATTTTCCTTAAAACTTTCTCAATGCCTTTATGTACCATCCATGATATTCTCAGCAACCTAAAAAGTAAACACTCTTAATGTCATCTAATGATAAAAACTAAACAAACTTGCCTTTACAATCAGTGCCAGTCTTGACTATAATGTTAAGTGAATGCATGCAAGAAAAACTCACATAACAAACAGCAAACAGCTACAAATGAGCTGCTTTAACAGTTGCCAGCATCGACAAGCTATCAATTGATTTATGTGAAAGAATTTGATTAATAATGTCTGTTTTTTTTTTGTTTGTAGAACAGAAGTACAAATTGAATGAATTGAATAAATCCAAATCAATAGCAGAAGTAGAGCTAAGGATACTTTACAAGCAAAAGGTGAGTAAAAAAAAACATTGGGATGCCGGCCTGGTGAAACACACACTATACAGCCATGGAAAAGTTGGGAATGCATATATCCGCCCCCCCCCGTAAAGTTAAATGGCAGAGCAGTCTGGACTCTACCTACAGTCATTGATGGTAACCAGTCTATGAAATGGACAACTCTGAATTCAAAACCATATGAAGCCCTGGTGAAGCACATACTATACAGCCATGGAAAAGGTATGAATCCATCTCTTCTTCCCCCAGCTATGTGTTAAATAGGAGGGAAGACTGGGCTTTACAACCATTGTTGGCAACCAGTCTAGGAAAAAGACAAATCTGAATTCAAAACCATATGTAGCCCTAGTGAAGCACATTATATACACAGCCATGGAACAGATTATGGAGTCCACAATTAACTGTGGTGAAGAGTTGTGAATGATTAATTTGTATTTTACAGCTTATCAACACTTTGTGGCTTATTTAAAAATGAAACCTATTTTGGATTGTAGGAGGTTGCTTAAAGTACCCTATTTTCTCAAGTGGTCACTCATTTAAGTATTGACTGGGCTTGATGATCCTTAAGGTGTTGAACAAGAACTGGTGTTTTCAGCATGATTTGATCATTGGCTGTGAACTCTATCATATCAACTGTAGCTGACAGGATAGATAGGTAGGCAGGCAGGCAGGCAGGCAAATGACATTTAGACATCTCAAATTAATCTGACACAAGGCCAGAAGTGATGAGCATTAATTCAGGATTAAATTCACCACTGTAAAAGAGAATCAGATCATTTTTGTCTGAATTTCTGGGATGAGGAGTTAACATTATTTACACTGCATTGAAACCTTGATTCACAAATGCTTCTCATCAAGAACAAATTGGTTCATGAACAAATGTTCCAAACAAAAAAAAAAGTTTCGGATAACAAACATGAAAGTCAGTGACAATGTGGGGTGTCAAGCTGGGAGTATCAGCAGAAGAGCATTAGTTGTGGTGTAGCTTTTGCTCAATACCTAAAAGAAAATAATGTGATGGAAAGGACCAGAGAAAGGGAGATTTAAAAAAAAAAAAGTCAGATAAAAAAGAAAGAGAGAAGGTGAAGTACAATGAAGATAATAAGATAGAAGGCTAGAAAATGTGGGAAGGAGACATTGGTAACTATTTGCACACATGACCTGAAAACATTGGTTGAGATTCTTGATCAAATTTAAATTGTTTGCCTTGAATATATCTGAAATCATTTCAAAAGTTTGAAGAACAAATTGGTTCATGAACAAATTTTCCAAACAAAAAACATCTTGGATAATAAACATGAAAATCAGCGACAATGTGGGGTGACAAGCTGTGAGTATTGTCAGAACATCAGTTGTGGTGTAGCTTTTGCTCAATACATGTCCCTGTTCAAATTCACTGTGCCTTCTCTTAAATTTTATTGTGTTTTGTGTTTTTCCTTAAATAAATTATTAAAAACATAGACAAAAAAAAAATCTCATTGGACAAATTTTAGTAAGACAAATCCCAGTGAGTTCCAAGCAGAGTCGAGTGGTGCTAAGAAACAAAAAAGAGCAAGAGAAGAAACCCCAGAAAGATAGTTACCTGATGTTTTTATGGAAGACAACTCTCTTTCCAAACAATAACATCTCTCCACTTCCCTTTTCTCAGCACCCTCCACTTATGCCATCAACTCTCCTCCAGTAAAATTAAATTAAGTTTTCATCTATATTTTATCAGTTAAGTTTATTTTTTTGTATTAGGTTTAATGATTTTCATTGGTTTTGTGTATGAACTTGTGCACAAAGTGCTTCTGTATAAGTTTAAATGAGCAAGCATCTGTGATCCAGAAATGGATTAATCCATTTTGAATGATTCATATGGGGAAAAATGTTTTCAGTTTATGAATATTTTGGATCTTGCGTGGCTTTCAGAAACAAATTAAATATGCGAAACGAGGTTCCACTGTATTTCTATTTGGGCCATTGTCCATTTCCACTAAGTGCAAGTACATACATCTCAGCCCAGGGATTGAACTCACAACTACTATGTCACCAAACTGTCTTATACTTGTATTAAGTGGAAACTAGCAAGCAGTACTATATAAAAATAAGAACTAGACAAGATATCCCTAAACATGACCGGTGGAACAAGAACAGTCTAACCCCATAGATTAAATAAAGGGTTCAGTCTGGAATTCTCTGTAGTTTACTCATGTTGATATACACCAGAAGAAGTCTGGATGGCACAATGGCTGAAATGTTGTGATAAAAACAACAAAGATGAGGACAATCATCTTAATATAAATAGTGTAAATATAAGAACTAGAGCAACATGAAAAATGACCTTGATTAGAGTGTGTCTGGTGTAGGTAAGAGTTGTGTTTTCTTGGCTTTTTGGAGAAGTCAGGCTCTCAACATAGATGGATGTCAGTCAGTATGTTAATTTGCATGAGAATGATGATGCTTGCTTGTCAATAAATCACAGCCAATCTGTGTCTGTAACTACAACTACATAAGACCAACAGGGTTTTTGTTGAGTTGTGTCTATACCTCATTGAATTGCAGTGGTAAGTCAACATATTATAATGACAATAAAGTATACAGGAAAGAATGAAATAAGAAGTTTACAATGTAACAAGTTTATTCACCAACTGATAATACAGCAGAAAATAAAGGAAGTATTAAATTATCTCTTTTTGAGAGAGTTCCTTAGAAAGGGAGATAAACATATCCACAGTTTACTCTAACAGTTTTTAGTGTTGATGGGGGTCAGGTGGTGGAACCATTGGGAGAGTGCTACTTGGATTTGTGACACTGATTTTAGACAATATGAGCAATAACTAAAACCTCAAAGGATACCAGCAATAATTTTAGCCTGGGGACCAAAGATCCATCACCTCCAGGCAACACCCTACATTAAGAGGTGTAATATTAGAGGTAAATTCTAATGTCTCTAGCAAGACCAGAAATTCCAGGTATTATTATTATAATAAGTTTAGTACCTACCGTTTTATGGACAGCAAGATAATCAAATTTCAAATCTAAATTGTCCATTTATAATACTACATTTATTTGAAAATATATTCAACCAGGGATGAAAATTTAAGAAAATGTAATGTAGAGTATAATTTTTTTCAAATTGAAGTAATTCCTAGAAAAACAGGCTTCTTTTTCTTCTATGTACCATTGAGGGCGTTGGTAATCATGACTTTCCACAATTTCACTATTTTAATACCAAAATATTTATATTTATATTAAATTGCTTAAATATTTTTTTCTAAACACTGAATTAATAAACTTTCATTTTTTATTGAATTTTCTTTTTTTTGTTCTAATTTATAAATGTAACGATTCTAGGACAGAGGTAGTACTATTTTAGTATCACTGTCCCAAAATAGCTGTAAAATATGCAAACACATTTCATAAACTAAATGTACAACTATTATAGGACAGAGTGTTATTTTAGTATCCCTGTTACAAAATAGTTGTTACATTTCCATTCAAATACATATACTAAATGTACAAATATTATGTGACACAGGCTGTACAGGGTGCAATGGTTAAATTGTTACCTAAATTATGCAAAAATGAAAATATCACTGGCATTTCATTTTAAGATATATATTTACCAAAATTACACAGAAATATCTTGAAATACTAAAGAGTAAATTTCTTCAATAAAATCGTCATTGGTTTCACCTACGGTATCTAGATGACTTTGGAATCTCCTGCATCTCTTCTGGATAGTCTACTTAATTAGGTTGGTGGATGCTGCCATAATCCTTGCTTCCAGTTCATCTTTGGTATTAGAGTGTTTTTAGTCTCTTGCTCAACTATGCCTCACACATAAAATTCAAGGGGTTGCAGTCTGGGGAGTTATGTGGCCAGGTGTAAGGGGTGATGTGGTCACATAATTGTCTGACAGCTATGACAAGCTTCTCTTACTTCTGTGGCATGGTGCAGAGTTCTGTTGCCAGGCTTAGAGCTTTCCAACAGCCACCCTCTTGACCCAGAGCAGCACTACCTCTTCAAGGCATTTTTATGTAGTCCTCTGTGTTAAGTCAGATAGCTTGTGGGAAGATGAATGGTGGCATAATGTCGCCATCACTAGTGATCACTCCAAACACCTTCATAATCACCATTAGATTCATCTAACTCTTTCTGAATCTTCTGTACTGTCCTCAGATTGACACCTAAACACTCTGAAATATTTATATTGGAGTTTCTGGCATGAATGCCAAGCAGTACAGCATGCCATTTCCAAATTTCTGGTGGAGTAAGTTGTTATAGTGCTCTTTTTCTCGCAGATAGTGCCCAACTGACCCGACTATACTCTGCAGTTGACAAAATCAAAAACAAACAACAGGTATGCGCAAAATTAAAAATGGCGACAATTTACTCATCACACTCTGTATATAAATTTTTCAACAAAATATGTTTGAATAAAAAATAATCTTTTCTATAAGAAAAGATTATTTTTATCCTTTGTTGTTTTTGTATTTTTTAAAAAAATAACTTTAGCTTCATTTCAATAACAGTCTGTCTATTATCAATTTGATGATTCAGTTTTATCAAAGATTAATTTTCAGAAAGCTGATGTAATACCAATGATGATAACAGCCTTAGAATGTTCTGTCTCATGTGCTGTTCTGTGTTTGATCATTTTTAACAGGAAAAACTGGAAAGAGACGTTGAGAAATTAAATGTCAAATACAGCGTTTCATTGAGAAGGCATCTACAAGACGCGGAGGAAATTGAAGGAGAAATCTACAAGCAAGTGTGTCGCTTAAAATTTTTGAAACTGGAAAATCATATTTTCAAAGAAGTAAGTTAAACAAAAATTGGTACTTATAATGCCATTTGGTTGAAAAGTATAACAATCTTTAAATAAATGAGTTCAACACATACAAAGGAACAAACACTTTCTAGTTTCTGGTCATTGGATCTGATAAGGTAATTTAATTTATGGCCTTTCTTATCCTCAGAGATAATGCATTTTCCTTACACAGTCTTCTTTCATTCTGACCTGAAGAAGCTGGAATAAACAGTTTGGCAAAATGCTGTTTATAGCTTTCCCACTTTGTTTCATCATCTCCACAGAACTGGGGGTAATTTCTGTCTGACCAGGGACAATAGCTTAATGTATTAAAGCATCAGATTGACATACACCTGGTGAAGGTGAAAATGTTGTAATAACAAAGATGAAGACAATAGTCCACATGAAAATAGAACTTGGTGTAAATATAACCCAGAAAAGCAGAGAAAAAAGCATTCTTTAACAAACTTCTGAACTTCTACTGTGAGTGAGAAGGTGACTGACAATATGTTTCTTTGGACACTGCATTAGATTACTTGTTTGTTAGATGAGTCATCAGTTTGCATTATCTATGTAGGGATACGTAAATGACTGCCTAATTAGCAGAGCTAAGGCATAGACTATATAAGTGCCCAAGCAGTAAGGGAAAAGCAGCTCTTGGTATACAAGATAAACGACTACCGCTGAACTGATAAAATATGAAGGAAATCCTACTTCATAACATTTTAATTTGTTGAACTGGGATATTTTCTTTTGTTGAAGGAAGATATATATTTGTGTTGGCAATATCTAATTTTCGTACCCCCAAAAAATGGTGTGTGGTGTGAAGATGGAAATAAGCACACAGTCAATCATCAAATGACAAAAAAATAGTTTCTGAGTCAGAGGATCTGCGCATCCTTCTGGTTAATAAATTAATCCTTTGAGAATAAATATTTAGCATTTTTCAACCAATGGGCCGTTTTCCTGCCAACAATAAAAAAACATGCTTTGTGAGTATATAAGCAAAGTCACCAGACCAGACAGATCAGTAAGAAGCAGCAACATATGACAACAGATTGACGATACAGCTTGGTTTAAATTCATCCCCTCATTCACCCATCTTCCTCACCAAACTATGTTCGTCTCTCGCTCAACTGTGGCCCATACATAATAATCAAGGGTTGCAGTCTGGGGAGTTAGGAGGCCAGATGTAAGGGGTGATGTGGTTGCAGAAATTGTCTGACAGCCATGACTGGGTTCTCCTGCTTGTGTGGCATGGTGCAGAGTCCTGTTTTCAGATATATGGTCTTCTAGCAGCCACACACTTGATCCAGGGCAGAACTATCTCCTCAAGTCACTTGTAGGCCTCTGTGTTGAGTTTGAGGCCCTGTTGGAAAATGAATGGATGTATAATGTCGCCATCACTTGTGATCACTCCAAACATCTTCATAATCACCATTAAACTCATCCAACTCTTTCTGAATCCCCTGCACTGTCCTCAAGCACTCTGACATGTTTGTATTGGAGCTTTTTACTATACTGTGCAGTTGATAAAACAAAGGTAATTGAGCTTTACTTTTGAAGTAAGTGAAGTTTTTCATGGCTGAGTGTTCTAAAGCACACCTGGTTTGAAGATGGTTTCACCAATAAAAAAAAGGGACACAATTTCTATTCCTGACAAAAGGCATATTTTATTTATTAAGATTTTCACTTACCTATTCCAGTAGATGGCATTTATGTTGTTTAAAAAAAAACAAACCAAACCACATGTATCCACTAAATATAATATTTATACTAATAATAAATCTTTCCATATGTAAAGTTCTGTGGTGGTGGTGAAGGGGCCGACACCTCATTTTGACTCTGTGTTGTAGAATTTCATTGAAGCATTAAACCTTTTGTTATTCTTAACCAAGTTGTAATGTTAAGTTCAATTAGTTTGTTTTCTTTCTAAAGAAAGCAAAAGAAATTGTTTTTTAACAAAGTTAAAAATGGTAGCAAATCTTCTTATCATAAAATTCTAAGTTTTGTCCTTAATCCATTTGTGATAGCTTCACTTAACAGATAAAATATTAAGTTATTATATAAACAGGAAAATCATTTCATCTTGAACTAACATGATACATACATACACAGACACAATATATAAAGTATAAGACAGGATACAGAATCCAGACATTTGTTTTAATTCTTTATCCTATCTTATACACATATTGTTGACATGGAGAACAAGGACAGACATTAAAACATGAATTTATTGCTTTCGACCCATTCTGAAAATATGATGAGGATTTACTTTAAATTTAATGTAGAAAAGCTGGGAGAATATATAAATAAATTTTAGCAAGAACAAGAAAATTGTAAAGAAAAGATACAGAATAAATATTAACAGCTTTTTTTACAAAAGTCACACAATTTCATTCTTTTCTTTGATCATGAGATGATACCAGCTTAGTGGAAAAAGTACTAATGATTTATTATTTAAGCATACACACAATTTCTTTCCTTTGTTTCTTATCAGATGAAGCCTAGTAAGGGCAACGTGTCATCTTGTTTCAATAAAACAGTTTTTTATTTATATATATATATATATATATATATATATATATATATATATATATATATAGGCAAAAAAAATAAAAAGTTAAAAAACATATCTTCTTGACTTCAAGTTTCACAGATGCTATCCACTTTTTATTATTATTGAACTATCTACCTACTGATGGGCGAATAATATCTATGAAACTTGAAGTTAGGAAGATAAGTTCCTGAACTTTTTACTTTATTTGTTTACTATTAATTGCTTCATTTTCTTAATACTGAACACTTTACTTACAAAATTGCTTGTCTTCAGAAATACATTTTCTTTTGATGAAACACAATCTTCATTATCATACACATACACTCACATATATATACATATATATGTATGAATGCGTGTGTTTTCTATATTCAGGAGGAAAAAGTGTTCAATATTGAAGATGAAGTAGTTGTAGATATAAACAGTGTGAACATAGGAATCAACACTTTATGGTGACTGTTTTATGCTTCAAGCAATCTTTTGCAGGTTCTATATATAGGTTACTGGTGTATTAAGGAAAGTGGGTGAAATAAGAAACCGGCCTTTCCCATTTCTTTTGTTTATAGTAAATACCTTAGGTCATTTATGCTCATGGCCTTTAGCTTATTTATTATTTTAAATTTATTTATATATTTTTTTTTTGTATTTTGGTTTATTAAAGTAAAGATTTAGTTTAAAGGATTTTATTTAGTCTTTTTGTTTCATGGCACAATTGTAAATAGCATAGTAGGAATTTGTTTTTGCAACTCCATTTTGAAATGCTCTATTAATGTTTTTTTTGTTTATTTTTTTTTTATTGTACACATATGAATTTAGTATAAATTCAGTCACTACTTTCAATGATCCTTCCCACTCTACTGGCAGCCTCAGCAGCAATCTCCTTTTAGATATGAGTGACTCTCCTCACCATCTACAAAACTGGAAAAAAAAAAGATGTATCAATAATATAGAAGATGTATCTTCCTCACCATGTGTTTATAAACCAAGATGAAGGCAGTCCAAATGCTTGATTTATTTGTTGTCTTTCAGGGAATTGAAAACTATAAGCTGAATATTGAAGAAACTGTTCAGTACAACAAAAATGAAAAGGAATTGCAAATATCACTGAAAGAACTGCTCTTTCAATTGAAAAGTAAGAACAAAATTTCAATTTCTTTTTGAATCTATAGAATGATAACTCATCATTATTTACACTATTTACATTTGGACTATTGTCCACATCTTTGTTGTTGTTATCACAGCATTTTGGTTGTTGTGTCTTCCAAGCTTCATTTGGTGTATATCAATCTGGGTAACTGTTATGGTAATTTGCCCACACATGCATGCAGCTATAAATAAAAGCAGGTACTGCCTTTTAGAGAGGGAAGTTTCCAGCAGTCAGCTCTGATAGTCGGGCCGAACATTCTTGCTGTAACACTTTCGTTTGTATTACTGTTTCCATTAATATATTTAACTCAATTTCTCTCTTGTGTCTTTATTTCTGGCCCTAACATGGCCACATCATTAACCTACAGGGAATTCTAAATTGAACTCTTTATTTAATCTTTATTTGTCTACCCCTGTAGATTAAATAAAGGGTTCAGTTCTAAGTTCCCTGTAGGTTACCCAGATTGATACACACCTGATAAAGGCCAAAGAGCAAATGTTGTGATAAAAACAACAAAGTTGAAGTTGATTGTCTGAATGTCAATAGTGTAAACAAAATTTCAATGTATATTTAAAAGTTGCTTTGGACATTAAATAATTGAGGGAGACTTGTTTTTGAAGCAGTCAAATCAGCAAGAAACAAAATTTAATTTGGTTGTTCAGAAAATTAAGTATTTTTACAGATGAAATAATGTGATACTATGGACACCCACAATTAAATTGAAGAGGTGGTTTTACCTTAATCTCAAGTTTTTTTGTTTGATACACCAGCAGACAGTTCCTTTTTGGTTCAGTCTTCTAAGTGGCATCCACTTTGATGGAAGGATAACACAAATGTATAGGGTTAGATGAGGGATTTTCAGAGATCAAGTGGCAACAAAACCAGAAATAGAGTATATCTGGGTGCATTTCTATATTAACAGTCATACTCGGGCTCAGAGTTCTAGTCTGTCATAAAGGATGTGTCTATTGAGTGGTTCTGAAGCCTTCATTTCATTGGTAGGAGTAAGCGTTGATATAGCAGAAGTTGCCTCAAGTATCAACTACCTACCCACCCAGATGAGCAGGCAAAGCCCTGAATAAACACTTACATCTAATAAGAGTTTACATTTCTTTCATTGTGTTACCTTGCAAGCATATAGCATTGTTATAGTGGAACACACCTATTCTATAGTTAATAGACTCTCCCACCTATAATAAGTAGGAGTAGTAAGAGTAACAAGAAGGTCGTTCAGTGAGTTGGTCAGTCAGTCGATGTCAGACGACCGTTAGTCGGATATTAAAGTATCAGTGACCACCACTAGATTACTGCGTCATTAGCTATTATATCAAGTTCCTAATGTTTTGTACGTCAAACCTATTTTAGGACCGACTTAGTACAAATACAAGCCTCCACTGTGAAAACACTACATAACAAGCATGCCCTTCCCTAGCTTTCAGTACACACTGACAAAATCGAGAATCAGAAAGCAGTATGGCATGATCATTGGCCAGTTGGCAGAGACTTTGGGTAAGGATTGCATTGTATGCTTTCAATAATAACCCCTTCAAATGTAAAAGACATTTAAATTTATGTATCAAAATATTTCACTGCTAAGAAAACATTCCAGGAATTTGAATAAATTAAAATTTGAAGCTGTTATATACAAAGAATTGAAATGTTGAGATAGTTCCACCCACTTCATGATGAGATTTCATCTTCTCTTGGCTTTAAGACTTGGCTGTAGGTTTGCATTCTTTCTGCTTATCAAATATTGCATAAATCTTTAATATTCACTAAAAATAGGGTACTTCCACGGACTGCTCGCCAAGATCTTATGCAATTCAGGCTCTGGTTTAGAAAGACCTGTTTAACAAGTATAATATTGGAGGAATTGAGACTTACCTCATACAGTCTCAGTTGCGGTGGACTGGTCATATCTTGAGAATGTTTGATGACAGGAAACCCAAGATCCTAATGTACAACCAGTTAGATCAATGTTACAAGAATATAGGATGCCTATGGCTTAGATATAAAGACAAGCTGAAGAGCAAATTGTCAACAGTCAATATACCTCATGACACCCTTGAGTGGATAGAGTGGAGATCAACATGCTTTAGTAGACTCAGCAGTTTTCAATCTGCTAGTCTGAATTGTCTTCAAGAAGTGAGAGCAAGATCTAAAAGGTAAGCCAATCTAACAGTGACCTCATCCCACTATCCTCACTCTTGCTCCAGATGTTGCAAATCACTTGCAAGTCTTAAGGTTATTGCACAAAATTCATAACAAAATCAATTGGTTAAGTTGTCAGATCGTCATATATTGAAACCGACGGGAGAGTCCATTGCAAATATATATATATATATATATATATATATATATATATATATATATATATACACACATTCAACATCATCACTTGATAAAACACCAGAGGTGTTGAAACAAAATGGCTATTTTTGTAGTGATTTTATAACATATTTATGTTATAATTTTTTAAATAAATAATTATATCTGCTCTACTCTGTATTGAGCACTCTTTTAAGAATAGTAATTCTTGGTTATTGGAATTCATTCCATATACACCAATTATATACTTTCAGTCTTAAATATTTCTTGAATGTGGTATCTGATTGTCTAGGTCAATGTATGTGGATGTGTGTACATGTATTTATCGGTGTCTATGTGTATTGAAAGTGCATTCACTTTTAATTGTGTATGTATGCATGTGTTTGTTTCTCTTCTTTTTTTTTTAATAAAGGGCCGTGGAGATGTTCCCAGTCTCATCTCTTTTTGTGTGTATATATATATCTAAATATGTTTGGGTGCTTATGTATTATAATCTGAGTGTGTTTGGGTTGTTTTACACGTGAGGTTAGGACCCCATTCACACACTTGGGATTAAAATGTATACATATATTGTCAGAGGACCGGATGACAGATAAGCATCTATTTTAACGTAATTCCAATGAAGAAATAAATTGAATAACATATGTATTTCTTCTTTTCTCCTCAGTAATTTTATAATTTTAAACTTAATAGTGATTAAATTTGGATTTTAAAATTGGTAATTTTTGCTTTTAATTTGAATTTCAAATTTTATCATATAATTTAATAATTATTGGTTAGAATAAATTCTTTTTTTAATATTACCCCTATTTTAAAGATCTGAATAGCTATTATAACATGACTTCGTTATCAAGCTTTTTGAATTTTCTTATACTTGTATTTTCATTGGTCATTCTAGCTTTTGTAACAACGTTTTCCCCTTGCGAAGGATCGTTAATTAATTTGAAACTTTTGAAACCATTTATTTTACATTCAACATCATCACTTGATAAGACACCAGAGGTGTTGAAACAAAATGGCTATTTTTGTAGTGATTTTATAACATATGTTATAATTTTTTAAATAAATAATTATATATATATATATATATATATATATATATATATATATATTTTTTTAAATTCAGAATCTTAAATTTTATCAACAAGGAATAAAATAATTATTATAGATAAATAAAATAATTAGGCTCATATCTTTGGTAATAATTATAATTTTTTTATGACACATTGGTTTCATTTGAACAAAGTTTGAATCTTTTTTTAAAAATGCAATGTTACTTTCAGGAGGAGATTCATAATTATGGTTTATGGCCATATGCCATTGAAACATTGGTTCCTGTAGAGTAACCGGTTAAGCAACATCGAGACTGGTCAGTACTTAGGTGGGTGGCCACTTGGGAATACCAGGTGGTGTAAGCTTGGATGTGCAGGTGGTGTAATGGATAATGGCTCAGAATTGTTAATTGGAAAACTGAGTTCCAATTCCAGTTCAGTTTGTTATATTCACTTATGCACAAATGCCCTTGGGAAAGGCATGAATCCACCTCTTCTCCCCACAAGCTATGGGTTAATTAGTAAGACTTGTATCACTAAAACCATTATTATGTCAAAAAAAAAAAGTATACAAAATATTTAGATTTCAGAATTAAATAACTTATAGAGGCTAATATGCTGCTTAACACAAACAGCAACATTAATAATTATATAAAATATGCACATAATTAGGCCACCAAAGATGGAGGTGATTAGAAAGTTGATTCTTATTTTAACAGAATCTACAATGTACTTATGAAAAAAGATTTGGATTAGAAGTAAATAGAATTGAAAACTGTATTTATTAAGCACAAGGAAATTTAAAAGAATCCTTTCTGTATTTTTCTTTTTTTTTAGGGGAATTCTTGGAAAAACAGAAGAAAATAGATGAAGTAGGAGAGGTAAGGAAGAAAAAGAAGTTAAAAACTTTCTTTTTTTTAATTTTAATCCTTTTTAAATTTTTTTTTTAAATATATACAAAACAGTCTGTCTGTGGATGACTATATATATATATATATATATATATATATATATATATATATATATATATATATATATATATGTAAATATATGGATATAGATCCAACAGTATGAAGAAAAATATACTGAAAAACAAACGAAAATTGTAATATGCGATTATGCTGTTTTAATGTTTAATGTCAATGTGACGATGACGTGATCATATTTAAATGGAATGCTGATCTTATAAAAGACTAGCAGTAGAGCCTGGCGTTGCCCGGGGATATAACAGTAAGAGATAGATCAAGTATTGACCATCATAAAGGCTGAAAAATAAAATTGACAAAGATTATTGTTTAAGGTTGACGAACACGCATGTCTTAATTAGTTTTTATTTTTTTTTTTTTTATGAATTGGTCAAACCTAAACTCAAACAAAAACATTGTTTTCAATCGTTATGAGTCTATCGATTGAATAGAATTTTATTATAAGCAATTGTCTTGTAAATGGAATTTTTAATGCATTCCGAATGTAAAAATAAAGAAAAAAGTGTGCAAGACAATAAGAAACACTACCTGCCAAAAAAAAGTGAAGTTTTGTTGAAATCGGTTGAAAAATGTAGGAAATCCGATCCCATATATAAACGAACACACACACACACAAACAACCTGGGTTTTATAAGTATAACTCGATATGAGTTGTCCCCCTTTCATTCTCGTGATGCCTCTTAATCGTGTTTTCAAATTGATTTTGTGCAAAAACAATTGTGTTTTTCCAATTTTTGGTGCTGTCAGAACGACTGCAAGGTAATTTTACGTAGTCCTGTGAAGTTTTGTTGAAATCGGTTGAAAAATGTAGGAAATCCGATCCAATATATAAACGTACAGACACACACACACACACACACACAACCTGGGTTTTATAATAAGCATGATTTCAGTTATCTGTTTGGATTGGTATTGCTTTTATGTCCATTGTCTTTTTCATGTTGAATTATATATGGTCTATGTTAATCATGTTTTATGAATATGTCCTGAACATGGTCTATTAGACCAAAACGTCCGACGTTGACATTAAACATTAAAACAGCATAATCGCATATTAGGATTTTCGTTTGTTTTTTCAGTATATTTTTCTTCATATATATATATATATATATATAAATAAATAAAACATCTAGCCACAATGAAGAGCTGTGATACAGCAAAACAGTCTGTCTGTGGATGAATATATATATGTGTAAAAATATATAGAAAATAGAAAAGAACTTGTTAGGTAAATAATCCAAAGTTCTTTAGTATTTTTGTTATTATTTTTAAAAAACAGTGCTCGATACAAAAGTAGAGCCTAAATATAATTATTTATTTAAAAATATGATTCCATCGCTACATAAGAGTTCTCATGTTTCAAAACAAGAGCCAAAAACTTCAATATAATTATTTGAATTAAATTGAATTAAAGTACCAAGCTCTGTTCCATCTTCAAGCGAAATTCCTGAAATTTATGCGTTTTATAAGCATATTCATTATTAAAATTAAAATTACTATGGTAACAGCTAGAGCAATTAATTAAAAAAAAGGGGCGTAAGGGTTAACAATTTGTATCAATATCTCAGTTACATTCAAAGAGGTCAAGTCAGGGTAAGGTTGGGGTGTCTAAATTCAAAGTGGAAGATGACATCGGCTAGTCTGGTTAAGTGTCTATGGAGATTTATTTATTTTTTATTTATTTTTTATTTTTTTTCTGAAAGGGTTTTGTGTATATAAAAAAAACTATCATGATTCGCTAACATTTGTTTTTTCGATGACTTCATAAAGGTTTTTTTTTTCTTTTTATTGGGTACGGCATTTAAACTTTTTATTTAGACTATGGAGTTTTCAGCTCTTGTTTTGAAACATGAGAACTCTTATCTTGGGATGGAATCATATTTTTAAATAAATAATTATGTATATATATATATATATATATATATATATATAACAAAATCCAAAAGTTTATATTATTATTATAGTTGTTCCTACTACTACAATATACAAAGATGCAACTAAAACCTTTCCAAAGAACTGTCCTGGGTATGACGATAAACTACATCCGCGCTCAGGGTAAGACAATAAACTACGTCCAACAGCAAGGCCTCTGATCAGAAGGCTTTGAGGAGCATGGAACCACCTCTTAATTGCTGGTGTTCCCAGGTCCACCCTGACCTGGGGTGGTAGCACCTGTTAGGATCCCAGCTATGGGCAAATAATTAACACTGAAAGTGAGGTAAAAAAGCATTTTGAAAGTGCAAAAATACGTTTAATACCAGAAGTACTTTGTAAAAAAATTATTACCAGAAATAAATTTTTGAAGAAAATAAACTATTACCAGCAATATGTTTTTGAAAGTAATATTACCAGCTATACAATTTTGAGGAAAAAAATATTTCCAGAAATAGATTTTTGACAAAACAAAAATATTACCAGGAAAAAAAAAATTGTCGGCATTAAATGACTCGTTGAGGTTGATATGCTGTAAAACAAAACAAACCAAACAATATTTTACTGCATTTTATATTTCTTTCATTCAGACTGTATTTCCTTTATCTCAGGTTATGAATAAAATTTCAAATGCTTTGATTATTATGTAGACTTACATTTAAATATTTGTTGACTGACTTAAATATATCTTTTATAAAGTTCTGCCTGAATTTCTGGTATGAAGAGTTATTATTTACACCATCTACATGCTGACTATTGTGTAACAACAACAATGAGTACAATAGTCTGCATGTAAATAGTTTAAATGATCTCTTATAAAATACACTTTTCCTGAATAAATACATTTATAATTAAATAAGATTATACTGAAATTCAATAATTATGTAATTCTGGGTAAATGCATAAAATTTTCTTGTCAAAAGTGCAATCTAGTTACAGGAAATCTACTGTGCAAAAAAAAATGTTTTGGAAATAGTTCATCAGGAAATTTAATTTAAATCATTTTTAATTGGGCTTTAATTACCTTATGAATTTAATTTGCTCGCACTATTCAATTTTATTCATTTATTTTTTTAATTAAAAAATTGAGAATCAAGAGTTTCTTGTGAATTTTTTGTTTTTTTTTCTAATTTTTTGTCACTTACTTTTTATGTTAGTCATCTTACTTTTTATGTTAGTCATCTTACTTTTTATGTTAGTCATCTTAATTTTTATGTTAGTCATCTTACTTTTTCCTCTCTTTCTGATCTTACACATTCTTTTGTCTTTTTTTCTTAAATATTTCCTTGTTTCTTTATTTTATTGTGGCATGGGGCTTCAGGGTTAAAATGAACAATTGATTTACCCATGCTAAGAAGGTTAATGGAGGCAGATAATAACAACGGTAACATGCTTGATGTGTCAGTAGCTCGTTTCAGGAAAATAAATTCAGAAATTTTTAAAGTCCATAGTTTCAATGAATTGTCATGAAGCAGAAATGTTCATACAACATATTAAATGATCTGACACAAAATAATATTCAAAACTTTAAAACAAATTAAGAGAGTTGTTCATAGAAGTGTTATACGGTTGTATACATTCAAAAGTAGACAAAGAGAAATTGTTTGAAATACTTAACTTTCTTGGATTGTTGAAATAAAGTTCTCTGAAGTGCCAAGTGCTTGGTTAAGGCTGATAATATTATTAGTAATTTGACACTGACGAAAATCTGAACACTGGACGTGTGAACAGAAATGAAACTTTTCACATCAGACTCTTCTCTTGTTGATTTAATTTTTTTTTCCTTATTTCCTACCAAAAAGGATTTCACATAGGCTCACTATTTTCTTTCTAGGCTCAATGGCTATTTCCTGTGAAAACACTTTCATTGGTTCAAAGAAAATTTTGCATAGGCTTGTGAATTTGTTTTTGTCTTTTTCTCAGCTCACCAGCGAATCTCTGTGAAGTCAAAGTTTTCACTGGTCCAAAGAAAATTTCGCACAAGTTTGCAAATTTAACTCTGTCTTTTTCCTTGGCTCACCTGAATTTGAAGGCAGTGGGTAAAGGGAGTTATTATTATTATTATTATTTTGTACTCACCACAATTTTTCTTTCATTCATATTTCTATCTGCATTTTTTTTTAATTTAGTTATTTGTTTCTTGATTTGCATTTTACAACATTAGTAAATATGTATTTAGTATTTACTAGTAAGTTTACAGCCATATCATGTTGAAACATTGGTTCTTGTCTGATCACCAAATTTAAACAATGTTGAAATTGACAAGTTTTCCCATTGCACTTAAGCAGGCATTAAACAAATGAGAGCATTATTGTCTCCTTGATCTTCTCTTTCTTTTACTGAAACCAACCAGCATCTCTGATATGTCTTTTCTGGTGATCAAAATGGAATAGTCCATTATTGAAGAGATATTGGAAGGGTGTAACATGTGCTAACTCGCTAAGGAACAAGCAGAATTATAATATAATGCTCTCTTATTAATGATTTATGATTTATTTTGCAGTTGGCTTTGCATAGAGACACTCCATTCATTGACCAATATAGTGATGTGTTAGATGTGATCAATTTTAATATCTCACTGATCACTACAGCTTTAGTGCGAATCATCCAAGAAATTGATATGCTAAATTCCAAATGGGGAAACCTTGAAAAGATGAGACCATTTTAAGGTAAGTTCATTCTTTCTGTTCACTCATCAATTTGTAATTCTATGCCAATGTTTTTTTTATTTTTGTTTTTATTTCATTTGTTCAATCAAACTCCACTTGAGCAAGTAGAGATATAAAAGTCAGTTGGAAGATGATCTTGGTTTTGGAAATAACATATTTTCATCTGCTATAGTTTTTGTTTTCAAAAGTAGTGAAAAAAGTGGGGTGGGGTGGGGGGCTCATTTTTTTTTTTTCACAAATAAAATCAATGATTAAAGGGATGTGCAGGTGGTGTAATGGATAGCAGCCCTGAAAAAGAAATTGTTAGATTCACTTTCACATAAATACCTTTGGGAATGGAATAAATAGTAGAGCAAATATGGCTCTTCACCATTGGTTGATAACCAGTTTAGGTGAATGACAATTCAAAACTGTATCTAGCCCTGAGATTGAAAGTATATTTATAAGACCAGTGCATCACAGTCTATATTATAATGATTTGATTTCTTTATTTATTACTGTAGCATATAAAAATCGATAAAGCAATTTCCAATCTAATTTTAAAAATAATCTATTCAAGGGAGATAACTAAATCTCTGTAACATTGGCGAAGGATTGGCAAATGAGAGAACTCATCTGACAGGGATGGTAGAAAACTGTTAGAGTATGCTTCCAAGCCTGTCTATCTTGGGGTCACTCTGGACTGGTCCCTTACATACAAGGGCTATACTGCAATGACTAAAGCGAAGGTTTGATCAAGAAATAACATCCTAAAGAAGCTGGCTAACAATAAATGGGGTGATGATGCTGGTACAACCCACACCACAGCTCTATCACTTTCCTACTCCACAGCAGAATATGCCTCACCAGTATGGATCAGATCATCACATGCAAAGAAAATCAACCCTGCTTAAACACCTCTTGAAGATCAATCACTGGGTGTCTGAAGCCAACCAAAGTAGATGACCTCTACATGCTTCGTGGCATTGCCCTCCCCCTTACATCATAGAGACAGAACACTCCAAACTTGAGAAGTTGAAGCAGGAATTCCTCATCATCTACTCCATTGTTGTGAACCAATGACAAAGAGGCTCAAGTCAAGACACATCTTTCTAGGGTCAAACCACTGAACAAGAGTCAGATTCTGTCCTTATGGTGCGGCCATCTTAACAATGTGGAACACAGGCTCTCTTTCAGCCCTACAGATTCCCTTTCCCTGGCTCCAGTGATGCTTGGCCCTTCTGGTCCTGCCTGAATGACCTCTGAATAGCTGTTGGTCACTGTAGAGCCAACCTTTAGAAGTGGGGGTATGCCACTAATGATGATGATCCCACCTCCCAATGTGGGAAATTACAAACTATGAAGCATCTTCCAGTTTACCCCAATCTTGAAGATTCATGCACACTTAATGACCTTGAAACCTTAACACTCCATGCTGTTAATAGGGCAGGTTGATCTTTTACTTTTTTTTAGAAAATCAAAATTGCACTCAGTGCAAAAGCTGGGGTTTGATGTGATAAGTACTGACAGCAAAAGTTAGCTTTTATTGATCTTTGAGCGTTTAGGTTTAAAGTTCATCTGAAAAAATTTACAGAAATACCTCAATTCTGCTGGTTTTTGCTTACAAACTGACTTCCAAATTTTACTATTTCAAAAATAGATCCAAAGAAAGTCGATATCTTTTGTATTAGATACATTGAATGGAAAATATATCCATATCAGTATTCTAATTATGAATCATCACAAGCAAAACATGCGCTTTTTTTACTGTATTTGATAAGTGAAAACTAAAAATTGTAAAAGATTACAATAAGAGCTAATCTATGAATAGGACCTTACACCATTTGTTTGGCTATAATTAATAAAAACAAAAAATAAAAGTGTATATAACACCAAAATACTTCTAGGCACAAATTATAAGACATTTTTTTAAATTTAAATTGAAAAATCACACTAAAACTACTACACGGTATAACATATTACATTATAATATAGCTAAATTGTTCAGTAAAATTTTCCTTTGAAGTAAATGAAGGTCTTATTCAATGGCACAATGATTTAGTAATAATGTGCTTGTGCCTTGCTTCTTCACCATATACAATCTGTGAAACTTCAGTAGTTAATTTAACCATTCTTTCCACACCTTTCCATTGTGCAGCTAAATTTAGCAACTCCATTCTTTAGAATCTCTTGCAGTTCATTATTTGAGAAATATTCCACAAGCGCAGCTTCACAAACTCCATTTTACAAGAGGTTAATCAAATTTTTGTCACGTCAGAGTCGATTCTTTGTAATTCTTTTTAATCTCTTCTCTGGTGTCTCACTACTTCTGAAACAAAAAAATATTTTTATGGTGTAAATTTTTTAATGTAACATTCTGTATTTCAGTCAACTATTGATTTATTCTCTGGATCATGTTGAAGATATACAGTTGTTTGTTATGGAATTTATTATCCCTTATAATTTCAAACCAACTAACTGTATATATTTCAATTATAAATTTTATAAGGTTGTACAATTGATCATAGAGTTCTGGTAGATAGGAACCATTGGTCCATAAACACATTAACCTGATGGTTAAAGTTAGCTATCTTGTTTGATTTAGAGACCCAATTTTCCAGGCAACAAATCTAGGGTTCACTTTCCCTCAAAAAATTCCTCCTGCATATTCTAAGAGCAGTCTTTGGTAACCACTTTAATCTTCCATTACTCCTGCAGTAAGATAGAAGTTATTTAGAGAGCTATTGATAGTGTTAAATTCTACCTGGAGCAAATCCTGGTAATCATTTCTGCAAAGTTTCCTTAGAGGAACAGCAAAAGTAGTAGGGCTTCTTGAAGTTCCATCAATGTGCTTAAGAACAGCTCTAAATGGATGATCATTTTGACGAAGTAAACAGCCACTGGTCTGCAACTTTCTTTTAAGTTTTTTTCTCCAAAGCTCTAACAACCCCTGTTTCACAACCAGTGTCTGTACTGGTATTGACCACAAGAACTGCCTTGATAGAATTTATGCTGCTGAATTCTTCTGAAACAGCAGTGACTTCCACTGCTAAAACAACACCAGTTGCACCAATGTAAGAGATAATTCTGTAGGTGAGATATCGACTTTCTGTGTCTAACTCTGGGGAAAGCCAAGTGGCACTCTGCTCCTTTGGTTTTCTTTTTTTTTTTTTTTTCAACATTTTCCTTTGTAATCATTTTGTATTAACACCAATGCAGATGATATTTTGATGGGTGGTTACTTTTACTCTAGCCTTTTTCCTGTCAATGATAATGTCCTTAAAGCTTGAATGGAGAAATCCCATATCTTGTAGGTCTAATAAAAAGGTATTAGCAAGCCATACCCCCAGGTAAAGCTCTGTGTGCAACACTAGATGCGTGTGGTGTAGCAACTCAATAATAATAAAAATAAATAAATTAATTAATAAACTGCTAATAAAAGTTGTTCTCCTGAGTTGCCTTCACTCTATCCAGCCATAGTGGCATACCAAAGATTATACATCAAGCAGAAGCTTTTAAGCAAGTAAATCTAAAATGTGGAGGAAATAAACAACAAAACTAATCTCTGGACACATATTAAGTGTTTAATCTCATTTTTAATGTATTTTAAATTTATTCCAAAATGAAAATACATTTTTATATGCTCTTCTTTTGTGTTGTCTAGCTCTTTGACATGATCTATCCTGTCTACAGCAGGTTATGCACTGTGTGCTGTGTCCCATCAGGATGTTGTGGAAAAATTGACAGTTCAGGTGGGAGGAGTAAGGTACTTACCTGGGTTGTTAAAAGTTGTTACCTTCTTTTTACCAATTTTTTTATTCTTACAAGGTCTCGTGACTTGCTATCACGTGATCACTGGAATTGTTATATAAAGGAAATGTTTTTTCCTCATATTTTACTTTTATTATATGACACAAGTTATCTGACAGAGAAGCTACATTGCGGAAGTGGATATTTTTTCTGCAACTTAAGGTAAGTACCTCAGCTCATTTCCCTGGCTTGCACCATCATGGATTTTTTTGTTTTGGCTTGAGAAAATCTCAGCCCAAGACAAAAAGAAATCATGGGCAATCATGGCTCTTCACAACTTCCAATCCTTTGTAGCTCTTAGCAATGTTTGTCTTTTTATTATCCCTCCCAGTTTCTGTTCTGCCAACCATTTACACAAGCTTGTTAGGTAGGTTATGTGCTGTTTCTCTATTTATATCTATTCATTTTCAAAGTGAACTCATATTTTTTTTTGTCTTACAGAAAATTCCGTCAGGCCTATCCTTCCTAAAGGTTTTCAGTTTTTGATGAAGCCAGAAACAGACAGCTTGAAGTTTTACAATTCTATAATATACAAAATAAATGAATATATTCAAATTAACAAAAGACTTTCTGGAATTCTCTATCAATCTGATTAACTGAATTATTTACTTAAAATTGTTTTACTTTAGAATGAAGAAAAAAAAAATCTTGTAACATTAGTTTTTTTTTGTTCATTTAACGATGATAAGATTAAACTCAATGTTCTTAAATAGCCTCATCAGATCAAGACTTTCATATGGATGTCATGCATGACATCTAACTAGTTTAGATATTTCTGAATTATCTATATACAACCATTTTCTCAGATCAGTGATTGAAAATGGCTTCAAACAAATTAACCCTGTAGGTCTTAAAGAAGACAACCCTTCATCAGATCTCATAGACTGGAACTACAGGATCACAAATAAAATAATTTACCCAATAATAATAATAATAATAATCCTGTTACTTGAAGAACAGCAGCAATGACTAAAATTCTTTGAGTCACATGTGCTATTCCTTTTAGTTGTTGCCATTGTTGAAAATCCTCAAGTGATGTGGTTTCTGTTATTTTGTACAGTTCTTTGAAAGTTCATTATAAATTGATCTCCTTATGGAAGCCAAAACAACATATGCTCATATCACATGATTTCTTTAAATAAAAAAAAACAATTTTTTTTAAAATTAGTAATCTGGAGTGCTTTTTTCACATGTTACTATCAATTAAGCACTTCAGATTATGATATGTAAAAAATCACATGTTATGAGCATATTTTGTTTGTCTTGACTTCCATAGGGTTATCACTTTACAATAAATTTACAAGGAAAACAGAACACCAGTATTAAATTTAATAAAATTAAAAAGAAAAATTGTTTGACATTCATTAGCCTATAGTAATTTGAAAAAAAAAATCGTTTTTTTTTTTTTTTACAAGTTTTTTTTTTTTATTATTTCTAATTGCATTGTCTATTGTTCAAATTCCACCACATAGACAATTGTGTCCTATTTTATCCAGGATAGTGCATTGTTAATCTACTTATAAGCAATAACATTAATTTCTCTCATATTTTTTTCTTACATTTCATAACAAGTAGGCATTTGAATCAAAGCAAATGCCAATTTTCTAACCATTCTTATTGTTTTATTGAGATCGTTTATTGCACACCTGGTCCAGATAAATCCCCAAACCTTCCAGCTGTTTGAAAAGCTGTTCAGCAACGCTGTTCACCTGCTTGCTGTTATGATTAAGGATATTCAGGACCCCACTCAATTGGTGCATCATTTCTGTATCTTGACAGTTGAGTGTCTGAAAATAAATACATCTCACCTTTAAATCAGTATGTAGCATAAAAAAACAAAAGGTAAGAATTCCATGATATACTATAAACTATTTAGAAATATAGGGTTCTGTCTAGAAAGTATCCAGAATAGGAAATAAACCATATTTCCAACACAATTGCATACCCACATACATACCATATTAAAACACATCCAAACTTTATTTTCTACGCAATAAAAGACAAGATTCCACAATGCAACATATCATTTAAATCAAAGTGTCTATTGGTTAGAAATTAACAACACCATGTGAAATATTTGACCAATCAGAGAAAACTAAAACTTTATTCTCTCAAGTCTACTTTTGGGAAAAATTACTTATAAAAACCCACAGATCATGACTTTTAAAGAGCAAAGATGCTGCTGTCTCCAAGCCAAAGAAAGATGCAACTGTCTCTCCTGAGCATGTGCTGAAAGAAACATATGCAACTTCAAACAAATCATCTCCAATAACAATAAAGATGGTCAGTGAATCTGTGCTACCACAATTTTTTTGTGGACCAATTATTTAAGTCTTTCCTAAACTTTTGTTGTGTACCAACTACCCAAAGACTTTAACTCAGCTATAGACTATTTTTAATACTTTTTAATTCTTCACACTATTTACATTATTCGGACTATGTCACCATATTTATCACAATGTTTTGGCCGTTGTATGCTCTGGCCTTCTTCAGGTGGTTGGAATGTCAAACTGAACCCTTTATTTCACTCACTGGGGTAGACTGTTCTAGTTCCATGTGCCATGTCTAATGGATGTCAGTTATCAGTTATCTCCAGTTAATTTCCCTCTGAAAGTTCTCCGCTGCATTAACCAGGTATTGAACTCACACTCTTTGGGTCCTGTCACTGGATCTAACTGATGCCTTTATTCACTGTGCCATGTGTCCTTGAGGACATCTGTGTATGAATTTCTGGGTACTATAAACCTAATGTCATCAGCAACCTTTTTTACCAGTGCTCATATTGCAATTTTTGCTGTTATCATTCCATGTTTTTACCAGAGCTCATATTGCAATTTTTGTTGTTATTATCACTTTTCTCTGGCACTCCTTATTACTGGTTCCTATATTGTATTCATTTCTATGCTTGATCGGTTCAGGAGATTTTTGTGGCCTAGCATATGTGCTGATTCCTTAAGTTTACGAATTTTCCAAAAACACCATTGGAGTCTTTCCGTTGCCATTTTCTTTGATCCTTTTGCAGTGGAAAATAGATATATCTGCCCAAAATTTTATTACCATTAACTGTGGAAAGCAGATTTACCCAATGGCTTTGAAAAATCCTCTCCTTATGCTGTAGAAGTGGATATTTCTTTTAATTTTTGATGGAACATCATTACGAGAATGGCTATAAAATTTAATTATGTAGTAAAAGGATTAAGACTTCCATGTTGTTTACTGACTCTGTTTATGTAATTTTAAGTATCCACATTTCTGCTCCCTACAGTTTTCTCCTCATCCATGGGGAGATTGTCCAGCATTCGTTGCCATATAAGAAGATGGATAACACATAGCAATCCAGTAATCTTATCTTTGTTTTTAACAGAATTTTTCCATTTCTCAGCACCTTGTTTAGCTTTTGGGATGCATCTTTGGCTTGTCTGATGCATATTTGGATCTTGGTATCACATTTTCCATCCTTTGTTAAAACACTTACCAGATACAGTGTAACCCGGATATAAGAGAGATTTTATCTGGTCCCAAATTAGAGCCTGTGTTAATGTATATAAAATAGACCAAACCCGGATATAAGAGACTTCTTCTCCGGTCCCGACAACTCTCTTATATCCGGGTTACACTGTATTTAACTTCTGTACTTGCTTCATGTTGATATCTCCATCTTATAACTCATATCTTGTTTTTTTTCTCTTGCTGATGCCCATACCTTCTGTCTTTTTGCAACTGATGTTCTTTTTTTCTTGCTTTCATCTACTTTTTTTTAATCATTTCACCCCCAAGGAAGACATTAAAGCCACTAAGATGCAAAGGACTCTGTCTAGGAGGTTCTGTAGTTTTCTTTCTGAGTCTGCCATCAACACAGTACCATCTGCATAACTTAAGTTAAGTTTATGACTACCAATAATAAATGCTGATAGGGTTTCTAGTTCTTTGAGATTGTGTCGCTGTTGAAGTTGAATAAATTGGGAAAGAAGACACATCTTTGTCTCACGTTCATTTCTATTTTTGTATAGATACTCTATTCATCATCAGAAATCAGCCTCTTAATCCAGTCACTGCAGCAGAAATTTGCATCATTTGCAGTTGAGTTACAGAACTGCAATGAAGGAAGCTCCTGTCATCTGCAGTCAATGGATTAATTTCTAAAAACTTTTACAGTTTCTTCTTGACTCAATGGTAGTTATTATATTTTATAATATTATTTTAGTTTGGTGCACATGTGTACACACTATAATAATTGTCCTTTTTAACCCTGCATCAGTCTCCTTGGATTTCTGAAAATGGACAGTCTCCTGAAGTGTTTACAATACAAAAATTTTATAATGTTACAGTTATGTAAAAAAAATTGTCGTACTACTGAAAAAAAATAGCATAACAGGCAACCTCTGTTACAATATTCATTAAATCAAAACTTTAAATGAAGATATAATTATTTATGGTAATGAAAATTATCATAAATTTGTTGCATAAACACATGTTGTAAATTGTACTTGAAACGCACAAATACAATAATTCATACATTAACTAAACTCATAATTACAGGACTGAATGAGTTATATATATATATATATATATATTCAACTCTCCTGCTATGGGTAAAGAATCCTCTTCTTCTCCCTCCAGCTATGGGTAAATAGCAGGACAGATTGGGTTCTATAGCCTTGGATGGCAACTGGCCTAGGAGAAGGACAACTCTGAATTCAAAATCTGCAGAGGGTTGTTTGGGTAACTAGTGGCACCAGGTCTCTGTATTTGGCCCTGAAAAAATGTGGTTGGTTCTGCACAAAACCTTCACCACTCTTATCAAATCATATGTGCTAGTGTCTGGGCTGTCGGTTCCTGCTTGACCCTCATTTGTCGAATACGATGGGAGGGTCCACCATATATATATATATATATATATATATATATATATATATATATATATATTACCCCACTTTGCTCTCCCAAAAGCAATCATTAGGGGGTGCTTTTTAAGTCTATAAAAAAGCAAGCATATTCTCTCTCTTTCTAACTCTTGTTTTCAGATGTAGTTGAAGATGGGTAAAGTGTCTCCCACTGGGAATGTTCATTTTCATGCCCCTCTGTTAACTGAACTCTCATACATATGTCTATCACATATGTTTATTTCAAACACACACACAAACAAATACATTCTTATTGCTAGTTTCAATGTCTTTTCCTTTTATTTCAGTTGCGTTACACAGGCAATTATTTTTGTTAATACATACATATAATTGCTGTTTGTTTTAAATTCATTGTTTTGACGTTTATTTTTACCCAGACTCACATGAGTTCACCAATATTGTTTGTGGGACAAATGTTCCAGGAGCCCATAAATATTTACTCTCAAATGTTCACACACTCATAGCAATAGTGGTGACTTATTTTTACCCAAACATCATATATAAATAAAATCCATACATAAAAAAAAATAAAAATCATGAAAACTGAAATTCATTAGTCAAATGAGGTGACAGGACACCCCCAAAGAAGGCAAAGTGCAGTCTGTCTCCCACAACAATTGAGCTACAACTGCACCACACCACATGATACACCCACTGACTAAGCCAGGAGAGTGTGGAAAGGAGCAAAAGAAACAAGTTGCCAACTAGGAATTATGAGTACTTAATAAATTTTGGGGTAACAAAACCCCACATGTAACTAATGAAGTGTAAAGCAATGTATATCTCTTGTTTGGACATTTTGATATATGCTAATTTATATTTTTGTATGGCAACATGAACAATGTTCCATAAGAAAATGTAAAATAGAATAATCCTCATTCCTATATTTATATAAGAAGAACAGTAACAATTCAAGGGGAATAACTTTTGTTCCCCCCAGCTGCATACATTTATAAAACAATGGTGTCATGATAAAAAAAAGCTCACAAGCTCACCTCTTCTTTCAGAGTGGTTTCTTTAAAACTGTTTGTAAGTTTTCCTGAAACCAAAAGAAAGTTACAGAATATAAGTAAGCAAACTAAAAGTAATCAATATAGAAAAGATATAAACATTTTTTTTTAAAATAATTTCACTCCAAACAAGGTAATAAAGCCACTAAGACACAAGGGGTTACTGAGTGTTAAAGAAAAACATTATTAAGGAGCAAGAAAAATAAAAAAAAGAGGAATCAAGAAGACAGTAGATAATAACTGGCATTGCTTGTGCTCTAGCCGGTAGATGAAATAAACACTGTTTAAAAAAAATGAAACATCTACTCAAATTTTGGGTACCCCCTAATTATTTAGAAAATACTTTATGTTTCAGATATGGCTTTCAAAAAAGTCTGTACAAGTGAATGTGTATTAAGGCAAATAGAACCTTGCTTGACTGTGGAGCACTCCATAGCCAGATCAGATGCTGGTTTCTCCTGCAAAGGGGGTGGGGATGCTGGTTTCTCCTGCAAAGGGGGTGGGGATGCTGGTTTCTCCTGCAAAGGGGGTGGGGATGCTGGTTTCTCCTGCAAAGGGGTGGGGACACATGTTTGAATTCTGCTAGATGATATATTTTCTTTTTTTTCATATAAAATAATAATAATAAAAAAATAGAATGTGACATTGTTTAAATGAGAGCTTTCAAAAAACTGTTTTGTAACAGTCTTTACAGGACTTTAATCAATCCTGACCAGGCATCTCGACTTCAGTCACTTTCTCAACAACATGACCTAGCTCCCCTCTATGTTTTCTCCAAATATTTTCATGGTAACTGTTCTGATGAGCCTTGACACATGGCCATTGATGCTATCAAGGGAGCCACCCACCCTTACCATTGACCTTCTGCACAGCAATGCCATCATCAGTGCACTGGCTGCATACATAGCTATATAGCCCAGTCTATCCCATTGTACTAGAGGTCTATTGACATTACAAGTAGGTTCATCCACTTTTGGATAAGTTTTGTTTTTAGTCCTGCTGGGTGACTAGCCACCCTCCTCACCAGAGGGAACCAGTTTAGCTGCAGATGATCCCACAATGCAGCAGGGAGTACTGGGTTACATGGTACCAGCAGCAGCAATAGCATTTAAAAACAAATTCCATGTCTTTATTAAAATACATGCAACTTCTTTCTTTCATTGTTGCATTTTCTGGGCAGTAATAATGACTCACTAAATATCAATGACCAAAACAAAACAGCATCAATATGACTAACAATGGGAGAGAGTTTTAAGTTGGTCTTCAGTTTGCACATTAACCACTATTATCCACACTAAGTGCCTCATATTTGTAGCCTTGTGCCATACTAAGCAAACACCTTAGCCATTGACACTTAGTGCAATATAAAAGTATCACTTAGAGCAGATCTGCACAAAATAAAACCTGCAGGCCACATGTGATCCAAGAGGCTACCTATTGTGGCCTGAGAGGGTTTTAAAATAGTCATTCTTTTTGTGTTCATCAAAATAAATTCAGTGAGTGATCACATACAAAAAATTCAGTTTTGTGGAAACCTGACTTTATCCAACCTATATTTCACTTTGTATCAAATTAATCCTTTTAACTCTTCAAAGAAAAAGAAAGAATCTTCTTGCCATCTTTTTCTCTGTATATGTGTGTAATAATAATAATATATATATATATATATATATATATATATAAATTAAAAAAGAGACAACCGTAAGGTACCATGACTGTATATAGGGAATTACTATTCCTGTTTTTAATTTAATTAATATTTGCTCTGTTGTTATATTGAGCTCTCTGGATTACATCCTCTTTGGAATTATCCAAACAGATTACCAAACCCTTCATTACCTAACTATATATATATATATATATATATATATATTTTGAACAATAAAAAATATTAAAAAATTAAAATCTTCAGACACACTGGGTTGTAGATTAATATTATTTCGTTTTTATTATTATTATTTCATTTAGATTCCTCGATTAGTTTCGGCCAAAATGGCCATAATCGGAAGAAGAAATATTTCTGCTTGCTGGTAGCAGCGAACTACAAATTACTTGATAATTGGTAGGGATAATTCTAAGGAGGATATAAATCCAAAGAGAGCTCAATGTAAGTACAGAGCAAATATAATAATGAAAGTGGAGTCCTTAGAAATCCATTGGTAATAGTTTATTTCATGGGATCAGGGGCCCATCTCTTCATACCAAAATATTTTTATTTCACTCATACTTGCTAATTTATTATAAAAATGTACTCTTGTTGACCACAGTTAATTTTCTGCAATCAATGTGGCCCTTTACATTTCTGAATTGTGTGAGCCTCAGTGTCAAGGTATATTTTCTCAGGACATTTATTTTGAGATTTGTTGGATACAGACAACATAAAACTTAGATAGAAAATGGTAAGAAATTAATTTTTATCTTTCCTGCCCCTAACATCATCATGTGGTGAACACCTCTTTTAGGAATTCTATCTCATCTCAGAATTTATTCAGTTTAAATTTTTATCTGAGATTTTTTAAATTGAGGAAAATTCTTAAATTATTACTATATTTTCATAATTCTGGAAAACACCTGTGTGCACACGAACCATTTTGATCCATTAGCCTCCAACAAACCCTGCTTTTTATAGAGCATAACAATTATTAATATCATGTATTTTTTTTTTTTGAGCAAAAGTTTTATATTGGGAAAAGTGGTTTGTGACATTTTAAAAATCTGTATAAAAAAGGGATTTAAAAAAAAATCAACTGACGTCTTGTTTCCACCAATTCTTCTATTATGCTCTGATGTAATTTCTTGCCTTCTTCAATACACTGATCAGTGTCAACAATTCCCTTTTCCAGTCCATCAATGCCCTGAAATTAAGGAAAAAACAAAAAGGTTCTGTAATTTGAGCTTTAATATTTAGTTTGGTTAGTTATTTTTTTAGTGGCATATAAACCATATTGTAATGTCTTTCTTCAAAATAGCCAAGAATTAGGAAGGCTGTAGTTAGAAAGAATATATAAGGAACAGAAGACTAGGTAGAAAAAACAAAGAAGAGGTTTATTAAATACTAATACAAAGAATGGAAAAAGTTAAGTAAATCAACTACTCCCCAAATCCTATTCTAATGTGGCTACTTGCCATATGTGTAAGTGGGAGCAGTCCATTGTCACAGTAGTAGGGAAGAGAAAGAAGTACACTTGAGTCCTACTCTATGACAAACCTGATGGGCCATTTAATGCCAAACTCTGAATGAAAATTCAAACTTTATAATCAATTTAAGAGAATGACATTATTTCCTGATAATTATAATTACTTAGCTCCATTTTTTTTAAACCAAGTAATCCTACAAAATCAAACAAGGCAAGAAAACATTTTTCTCCTTACAAGAAATAAGATTAATCATAGCAAATTTATTCTTTTCAAATTGTTTTGACAATGTATACTATGTCTTCATTTTTACTATTAAAACATATTGCTGGTCATTTTTTAAATGAAAATGTATTGCTGGTTACTATAAAAATGTATTTCTATATTTTCCTAGTCTTTTAATTTTTGTTTGCTGGTTTACTATTAAGCTCATAGCAGGGCCCCTAGCTGGTATTATGACCCTGGATGGTAGCACCTGTTAGCAATTAATGGGTGGTTCCATGTTCCTCAAGACTTCTAATCTCCTGACCTGAGGTCTTTTTAGTAGAAAAAAAAGTAAAGCTTATATCTGGAATAATATTCCTGACCTTAGTATAACAAATAATTATAAATCAACTCTATTCTGGCAATAATATTTACTTAAATTCCTGGCTACTGAGAATCCCCATTCTTTCTGTTTTTAAATAGACAACATATTGACTGAGTGCTGAAATTTAGAAAAATAATCAGTGGTTAAATCAAAAGGTAATCTCAAAAGTTACTCTTTTTTATTTTCATTCATTAACATTCCAAAGAGCTTTACCAAATAAGAGAAACCACATCATTTGAAAAAAATGGATTGCACATGTAACTTGAAGAGAAAATAAAGGCATAATCAAGATGTTGATTTTCCACAGCACCTTAAATAAATGTCTATCTATATTTTAAATATCACCTGAAGAAGGCTGGGGCATACAATGGCTGAAACGTTATGAATAAGGCAATAAAAATGAGGACAACAGTTCAATGTAAATACTTAAATAAAAGGTTAGGAAAGAAACTATCATCAATACTAGAGAGATAAAATTTAATGGGCTTCAGAAGTTTATTTTCCGTAAAAACTTTTTTAAAAAGATATGATAAATTTCAACACCATCTCTACATAGGATGACAATCAAGGCTGAAGAACTGTTTACCCATCAGTAAAACTATCAACAGCTTCTGAAAATTGCCTACCCAATTTCACTCACAAAGATAGGGTCAATATATGGCGTAGTTTTCAGGCACTTGTTGTTGACACCTGCTTCTAGCTCAAGTAAAGCAGTGACAACCAAAATTTTGAAAATACAGGTTATCATTTGTAGAAGTAAAAATGAAATAGAATAAATTTCCACATGGAGATAGTTATATAAAAATACATGAAAATAAGAAATGATTAACAAAGGAGAGAAAATATACTAATGTGTACACAGCTGAAAAGGAAAGGAAAAATATTAAAATTTAGTTATTGTGGGTGTGTGTGTGTGTGTGTGTGTCTAAAAGTTCAGTCAGTCACCTGGGAGAAAGATATCTCTAGAGCTAGGGTGGTATTCATTTATGCATAGCACTTTTCTTGGGCAAGTAAACCTGATGGAGCCCATCCCTCTCTGGTACAAACCACAGTGTCCTCCATCTTGAAAGCTTGCCTTAGTCACAGACATGTGGCTGTTGCTCTAATTAAGGGAACTGTCTACCCAGGCTGCTGACTTCAGTCAAGGAAGCACACCACCCAGGCTGCTGCCATATCATCACTGCATTGGTTGCATACATAGCTATGCTGCTCAGTTTACCCATTGTGCTAGGTATATTTACCCAGCCTCCTCACCAAGGCTGGATGTGACACATTTAACATGGAGAGCATATGGGCCAAGGATAAAAATTGATTTTTGCCTTTTTATAGTGTTAATGGCCACCCATTGACATTACAAGAAGGTTCATCCACCCTTTGACAGATTTTGTTTTTAATCTTGCTGGGTATTTAGCTACCCTCTTCACTAGAAAACCCTGGTGGGGGAACTGGTTTAGTCACTGATGACCTGACCATCTGGTAAGTAGTACTGTGTTACAGGGTACCAGTGGCACTTGTAGAGTAACCTGACATGATCTAAATGAAAGCAGACATAAAACAAATTACATTTTTTAGTGTGTGATTCTCTTCAATGATTGACTTGAGTTTACAGCTTTGAACATAAATGTCTTCTTCCAGTAATTTAGATTCTTCAGAATTGGAATTCAGTATTGACAAATATTCATTTTGGGTGTTTTTGATCTGCTGCTGTTCTTTCTCCTGAAAAAAAAAAAAATTCAAAGAGTCAGTCTGGTTTACCAGTCTAAGAAGAAAGGTTTATTCATCCATTTGTATTTGCTCTTATGGACATTACTATATCTGTGATATAATAGCACCATCATTCACATACAGAACAGAATGACTGAAAGGAAAAGGAATCACAAACATGCTTTATTCTCAGAGAGAGTTTTATGCCACTAAGACATGCACAAAACTACATATACATATATACACAAGTCCCACAGGGAGAAAAATATATCACATATATCTATATGTCAGAGCAGATTCTAAGGAGAAACGAAAAAGAAGGGTCTCACATATAACATGGAAATTCTTCAATATTTCTGGAGAAGCCATGTTTAGGACTCCAGACTCAAACGGGCTGGATTCATCTACTATGTCTCAGGTGAGGACATATTCCACAAAGGGAAAATGGTGTGTCTTGGATTTTCCCAAATTGAGGACTAAGTTTCTTTCCATATCTGGGAAAAATATCTTCCCAATGGGAAACTTCACCATGGACTTGTAAACTGTAGCATTTGCTAGAGGAGGCAGATTTAACCTGGGTCTGTTGTCACTGTATGAAGTGACGTCACTAAGCGGCCATCACGTGACCCATGTGACTTATCTCAACCAAAGGGAGATAATTGCCTTCTGTATCCCTACACCACGTTATTGTTTGTGAAATGATAAAAGAAGGATGTTATGCTAGTGAATCAAGATCTCTTTCTGATTCACAAATACATTTCATCAGACATGTCAGCTGGATGTGAGTGTTAAGAAAGCAAAACACAAAATAAAAAAGTTCGCTTCTGTACAGGGGCTCTGAGCATTACATCTGGTCAGAAAAATAAATCCCCTCAAAAATCCAAAAATGCAATAGCCAATCAAAACATTCTTAAAAAAAAAAAATATATATATATAAAAGGATGTCCCTGGGAGCTTGCACCTGTTGAACCAAAGACATAAAAACAGTACTATTCGCCAATGACAGGCAGTTTGACTTCAACACTTCAGCCTCATCACACAACTGCCAATCAAACACTTCACTGGTGTTGATTTCAATTCTGAAGAATACTACACTAATCCACTCCAGACCTACCTCTTAATCCCAACTGTAACCTCAGCCAACCAACCCAAGAAATCAGTCAACTTCTGGCCCTACCAACAGCACTCTTACACTTAATTGTTCTCCTTACCAACAGCGACTAAGAAACCATATATGAACAATTTTTGCCACCTTTCACACATCTATGTACATATTCTGAATTTTGACTAATAGATGTTGCTGAAATTTTAATATTTGTTTATTCCTTTCCTTTGCAACCAAATGCTCATTATAACAAGGATTATGAAATAAACCACTGAAGATACAAGGTAATAGCTTCAGACAAGTGTTGAACTCCTCATCTCTATAAAACTTGCCATTTAATGTTGTCCTTTGATCACTAAATTTTTTACTATCAAAATTCTTTTTCCTTAATCTTATTGCTTTAACTGTACACCACTTTCTAGATTACTTGGTATATTTGTATTAATAATAGCATTCCAAACATGTGGTTCTGGAATAAAGGATTATGATTATTTGCATTCAGGTAATTGCTCTCATCTTTGTGGTTATTATCATGTTGTTTCAGCTGTTGTCATAGCAACAAAAATGAAGACAATACTATTTTGAGTGTAGATAATGTATTTTTTGAGTTAGACAATATTGGAAGAGGAGATTTTATATGAAATGAGCTTAATTAATAAGCTTCATTAAATCATAATATAATAATAAATAATTAATAAGCTTAATATCAATGATTCTTAACCAGGAGAAAATTTTAAAGGGGAGAAATAGAACAGATTGAAACTGTTGGAGTATTGATCTTTCTACAAACATTTCAACAAGGGCCCATTTGTTTATCTTGGAAGGAGGGAAATGTCATATTAGAAACATGGTGAAAAGAGTGCATGGGCAAAAAGAATGTTTGAAAACGGTTGTCTAATATTTTGAGATTAAGTATTTTCATTATTCTATACATCTTTTTTTTTTTAATATCTTTATATTTTGTTGGTGCTTAATGTTTTTAATTGATCAATTCTATTTTTTATTGAGAGTGATGTTTTTATATTGCTTTAAAAAAGATGAATAATTTACATAATTACTTTTTTTATAAGGTCATTCTTTGACTAGAAGTCATTCTCTTAAATTGCTTGAGGTTTTTTCTTCATTTTATTTTTATTGCTTTTTATTAGTTTTTTTTTACTGCTATATTATTTGGCAAGAAGTCCTTCTCTTAGATTCTTCATTTTATTTTTTTTTTACTGAGATATTCTTTGGCAAGAAGTGATTATTTTAAATTGTTTAAAGTTCTTTCTTCATTTTATTTTTTATTGCTTTTTATCACAATATTCTTAGTCAATTTATTCTTCTTTAGCTGTTAAATTGTATTTCAGATTCTGAAATGATATGTATTCATTATTACAAATATTTTATCAAGACTTTCTCATTTTTTTGTTACCTTTATGACAAGGCTTTCAGCTGATTTATTCTGTTTTTGGCTGTTAAATTAACAGTCATTCTCTTAATTTGAGGTTCTTAGATTAAACTAGCAGCATGGCCTGGCGTTGCCCGTGCTTGATTCAAAAATCGTACGACTTATACAGTAATCGCTATCACTTGACTTAAAATATTTTTGCCCTTCCTTGCCTTTAAAGAAGTGCCCCTTGCCGTGCTGATGTTGCTACATGCCTTACTTCTTGCCTATCTCACACTGCGAATTTTTTCTAAGCTCTATACTAAACATTAAATCTGTTATGAAAAAAGAACTAAACAAAATGAACACAAAATGATCAGCTTTAAAAAAGGAATCGTAACTGGAAAAACCGAATGAAAAAAGAATGTTAACAACAGATATTTTTCTCACCCAACCCAGTTCTGCAGAATAAGAATCAACGTTGAGTTTAAGCAAGCGAATGAGCCAATTGGAGTAAAGTGCCATGCAGATTTAAATTTTTCCCACTTGTGACGAATGCAGCTATCAATTTTTTTTGCATGCTAGCATGCTAGTTAACATTCATGTCAGTCAGCTGTTGGCTCTCACGCTGGCCAATAGAATCTTCCTGTCTATTCGTGGCAGCCAGCTATTGGCTCTCACTCTGGCCAGTACAAAATGGCTGCAAACTACATGAAAACTGCCGTAGAAGCATGAAAAAATCGATTATTTCCACTATCGATGGGTGTTGGGAAATGCAAAGTCAGTCTTGGCCTTCTCGCTAACTTGGAAAATGTGCATGTAATGCAAATCCATCGAAAATTGTAGCCGTGTATTCGTTACCCATACACACACACATCCTGCCTTTTATAGATAGAGATCTATTCATTATTACATTTGTTTTGGTTTTTTTTTTATTAATCTGACTATAATTTTCTTCATTTCTTTTGTTGCTTTGTATCACAATGATTTTAGGCAATTTAGTTTATGGCCTCTGGACCAGGGATATTCATGCAGTGTAACTTGGGATGTTAAGCTAGTGAAATGATTTCAAATTCTGGTCTAGTCAGCTGTGTTTGTTTTCATACTAATATTCACAGAAAAGGTATGAATCCATTTCTTCTCCCCATAGCTATGTGTTAAATAGCAAAGTAGACTAAATTCTCTAGCCTTGAATAGCAACCAATCTAAGAGAAGGAAAACACTGAATTCCATATTGAAGAGAAGGCAACAGGAAATCCTCACTCCACTATCATTCCCAAGAAGGCCACTAATTTACAGATAATGAAGAAAAGGAATTTGTGGAGAGCCGTAGTTGCCTACCTCCTGAAAAGACACAGCATTTTAAAGAATGCTAGAAATAATAATCTGATTGTTAGAAAATAAAATGAAAAACCTTTTGGCAAGGAAATCACATGCTGTTGTGTAGAAAGATCTTTCTATATTTCTGAGATGAGGTATTATGTACACTATTTACATTATTCGGACTATTGTCCTCATCTTTCTTGCCATATTTATCACAATGTTTCGACTGTTGTATGCTCAGGCCTTCTTCGGGTGGTTGGAATGTTGAACGTAACCCTTTATTTCACTTGCTGGGGTAGACTGTTCTAGTTCCATGTGCCATGTCTAATGGATGTCAGTTATCAGTTATCTCCTGTTAATTCACTTCTCCAAGTTCTCCACTGTCTTAACCAGGTATTGAACTCACAACTCTTTGGGTCCTGTTACTGGATGTAACCAACGTCTTTATCCACTGTGCCATATGTTAAGGTTAATGCAGTAGAGAACTTGGAGAGGTGAATTCACAGATAACTGACATCCATTAGACATGGCATGTGGAACTAGAACAGGCTACCTCAGCGAGCATAATAAAGGGTTCAGTTTGACATTCCAATCACCTGAAGAAAACCGGAGTGTACAACAGCCAAAACATTGTGATAAATATGGCAACAAAGATGAAGACAATAGTCCGAATAATGTAAATAGTGTAGAAAGATGACTGTCCTTCTCTACACTAATTGTTTAACACGGCTTCATCCATCAGCTACAAGTAAAACACCTGCTCAAAGTGGGTTGCAAAGTGATATAATGGAATATGCATAAACCTGAGTTCCTCCTCACTGGAATATGATTGGCTGGTGTCTGTCATAAATACAGATGAATGTGTAGGTATGACAGAGTTTAAATCTATGACAATGCCCATTGGACTACGCCATTGGCTATCCTATTGGTCTACACCTATTACCTGCAACTATGATGAGTACCAGTCAATTACTGCTACCGTGTACTACTTGGTTACAGTAACCAAAACCCACTTAGCTACTTCGATTAAATATATCCCTTTCCAGGACATATCACAAAGTATAGTGTTTGAGTCATGCGCATTGCCGCACTGAACTACGGTATTCTCTATAACTGTATTAATCCATGTCTCTAAATTAATTAATGTGATTAAACTTGTTCTTCACTCAAACTTTTGTTTCAGTGTTTCTTTACAGTATCATCAAGCAGAACTACAAGCATTATATTTAACACATTCAATTATTGGTAAAATTAAAATCTAATGTTAACACAATATTGGCTGACAAGATTCATAAATTTTTTAAAAAGTCATAAAATATTCTTACTTGCATCATCTTCATCTCATCCAGATTCTTTTGTGTTTGGTGCAAATTTTGTTTTAAGTTTATCTCATTACGACGCTGAGCTGTGGATATATGAAAGAAAGGAAAGAATATTTTCCAATACAAATACCGATTTATCAAAATAACATTTGAAAAAAGACAAAATATTAAGTTGATGCAAAAGTTTCCAGCATCAACTATTGTACAATTGTTAGGGATGTCTTTAGTGTGAATCTGAAGTTGACTCATCTTATTGTTATTTACAAATTTATACACTTTGAGAGTTAAATGCATATCAGTCACTATTTACTGTTCACATTTAATTTTAGGCAAAAGTTCATCAAAAGTCAGTCAATGAAACATCACAACTTCTGTATTGACAATTGTCTGAAGTTTTAAAAAAAGCAAAAAAACTCTGGAAAACATCTATGGAAGAACTTTTGAAGAAAGATGCATCACAAATATCCCATGAACTTTAAAAAAAAAATTAGAGTTTCAATATTTTTTTTTATCATTTCACCCCAAGCAAGGCAATAAAGTCACTAAGATACAAGGAACTACTGAGTGTGAAAGAATATGAGAAAAAGAAAAACATTAAGGAAAGAGAACAATAAAAGAAGATAATAAGAAGACAAAGATAATTTTTGGAAGATCAAAGTTAACTTGGAAGAAAGTTCCATAAGTGAGAAATGCAAGAGAAGAAATTGTTAGTATATAACTTGGTTACATCTAGAAATTTTGACTGTAAAATGATGAGACCTAGCTACCAATCTAGTACTGTGCTTAAATTCATACAGTTGAGGTATCAAAGAAGAAAGCTCATCAGAATAGTTATCATGAAAATATTTATAGAGAAGGTACATGGAAGCTATGTTAAGACAGTGAGAAAATGGCTGAAGCCAAAATGTCAGGTCATAACTGATAATATTGCAGATTCTTCTTTGGATATTATCAAGAATCTTTAAGTACATAGATGCGCTAGACCAGATATGACAGCAATATTCAATGCATGGATGAAGGGTCATCTTATAAATGTGTGAGATAGATACTGGTGAGAAACAATGTCTAGCATGATATAGTGAACCAATTTTCCTATCAACAGGTGCAATATAATCTTTCTACTTCATGTCAGTTGAAAATGTTAGCACAAGAAAGCACAATGAGTCATTCCCAGGAGGTTAGCATCAGCCATGCTAATGGAAGGCAAATATATATATATATATATATATATATATATACACACATTATATATATATATATATATATATATATATATACATACACACACAGTGTGGGGTGGGAACAAATATCCATACACATACAAATTTTTAATTTATTGCATTTCCAACTAATGAATAAACATACTTTTCATATAATTGGCTGTACACAGATGCATAATAACTAAATATGCATACAAAACAAAGAAAATTAGATTTAATAAAAATAAATCCCATTTATCTATTTTAATGGGTGAAAAAAGTATTCGTACAATGCAAATTTCAGATTTTAAAACTTTTAAATTGCTTTAATACTCTAGATTATTCATGTGGAATATTCTAGAATGTTCCAATAATGTTATCAGGAGTTATTTTTAGCCTAAAGAATATAAACAGAAAATTATGTAATTGATATTCATGCAAGAAGTTTACCATCAAGGCAAGCAGTAAAGAATTGACAAATTCACAAAAAGAACTGATTGTTAAGTTTTAGAAAGAAGATAAAAGTTACAGGATAAACCCAGACTATCGGAATATTCCATCTATTACCATTAGTTTATTCATTGCAAGTTAGGTATAAAAACCCAAATCTGTTGAATACCAAAGAAATACAAGTGCTCCACAGAAGATTTCTTCAAGATCTTTGAGGAAATTAATGTGTCAAATTAAACAAAATCCAATGGTTATTCATCAAGAATTGCAGGATGATTTGCTTTCATCAGGAATCTGTGCCACTAAATGGACAATAAACAACAAAATTAATAGAAACGATCTAATGTCATGCTCCCCCCCAGAAAACTCTGCTACTAATGAATAGACACAGAGATGCTAAGTTGAAATTTGTTCATGAACATAAGGATAAGGAAAAATCATATTGGAAAAGAGAATTATGGACAGGCGAAACCAAAATGGAGTTGTTTGGACGTAATTCTAGAAATCATGTATAGAGGAAAGATAGCAATGTCTTCAAACAAAAGAAAACAGTTCCAACAGTGAAACTTGGTGGTGGCAGCATCATTGTTTGGGGATGTTTTTCTGCAAAAGATACTGGCAACATATCAGTAATAGATGGTAGAATGAATGCCGCAGCATATCAAAATATTTTGGAAGCAAGTTCAGTTGAAAATCTTGAACTTCCTCTTGATTGGATCTTTTAAAAAGATAATAATCCTAAGCACACTGCAAAATCTATGAAGAAATGGCTTGTTGAAAATAATGTAAATATTCTGAAATGGCCAAGTCAGTCCCCAGATTTAAACCCAATCAAGAATCTGTGTGGTGTTATTTGAAAATTCAAATCCAATCAAGAGATCCAACAAACATCCCAGATCTGAAGACCATATGCAAATAAGAATGGAACAAAATACCAACTGAAATTTGCAATTCATTAATTGAGAACTACAAGAGGTTGGTTGCTATAAAAGTGAATAATGGCTATTCTACAAAGTTTTATATATATATATATATATATATATATATATATTTTTTTTTCTATTGTACAAATACATTTTTCACCCATTAAAATGGATAGATGGGATTTATTTCTGTTGAATCAAAATTTTTTTTTGTTTTCTATGCATATTTAGTTATTGAGGATCTCTGTACAGTTAATTATATGAAAAGTATATTTATTCATTAGTTGGAAATATAATAGATTAAAAATTTCATGTGTACAAATATTTGCTTCCCTTCACTATATGTGGGTGTATATATATATATATATATATATATATATATATATATACACACACACACACACACACACTGTGTGCAATGGGTAAATTGTCACCATTTTATATTTTTAATATTGCGCATATGCTTTGTTTGTTTTTGATTTTATCAACTGCACAGTATAGTAAGGTAAGTTAGGCATCATCTGTGAGAAAAAGAAAGCATCATGATGCAATTCACTGCACCAGAAATTTGGAAACAGAATGCTTTACTGCTTGGCATTCATGCCAGAAGCTCCACTATGAACATTTCAGATTGTTTGGGTGTAAATCTGAGGACAGTGCAGAGAATTCCAAAAGAGCTGGAGGAGTCTAATGGTGATTATGATGATACAACAACTTGAAAAACTCACTCTGATGATCCTGATAAGAAAAAAACTCCCAAATTCTTTGGTAAGGGTCTCAGACTGAACATGGAGACCTACATCAAGTGCAGGGTCAAGAGGTGGCTGCTGGATGACTATGTCTGGTAACAGACATAGTCATCCAGCAGCCACTCTCTCAACAGTATGATGCCATACAAACAGGAGAAGTCAGTCATGGCTGTCAGACAATTTCCGTGACCACATCACCCCTTATATCCGGCAACCTAACTCCCTAGACTGCAAAACCTTGATTATTATGAGTGGGGCACAATTGAGCAAGGGACAAACAAAACTCCTTGTAACACCAAAAATGAACTGAAGCAAGGATTATGGCTGCATTCACCAACTTAAATAAAGAGACTGTCCAGAAGATTTGCAGGAGATCCTGAAGTTGTCTGGAGGCCATGGTTGAAGCCAATGGTGATTTTATTGAATAAATTTACTCTTTAGTATTTCAAAATATTTTTGTGTAATTTTGGTAAATATATCTGTTAAAATGAGATGTCATTGTTATTTTCATTTTTACATAATTTTGGTGACAATTTATTCATCGCACCCTTTAGATATACACTGTGGTATATTGTTTTAAGAGTCTAAGAAAATATTTCACAAGTCTGAGAGATATTCAAAAGCTAGAGAAATGTTTTCTGCATGAACTATGAAAGAACTATTGGTCAGGATTTAAACACTTGCGTAGTTGTTATAGAAAATGTGTTTTGTTGATTTATAAAACAAAACAGAAAAAAAATAAATGTTAATATTAACCATTTCTTTAAAAGAAAAAAAATTGACTGAGCAGTCAGTGACGGTCAGCTGAAATTTATAAAATCTTTCTCATGAAGCAATTTTTTAGGAAATAGGTTTCTCAAGTCCAATACTTAGTATTGTTTAAAGACTATATAAATGATTTTCCTTGGGATGAAGGTACTTGTTGTGTGAACCCTCCCAAGCCTTTATTAAAAATGTGCTGTTTCCTTTTGCTTAGTCAGACTAACCACATAACTGGAAATAGGTGCTAATCCCAATTTAATATTAGTTTGTATTTTAATTAATTTTAAAAATCAAAAATTAATTTCTTATTCTAATATGTCAAAAATTATCCACACTTTTATCATAACATATCTGCAGTATAAGTGCAGGTAATTTTTGACTCCCCCGACCCATGTAGATATATTAATGTTAATTATTATATATACAGTCTGCCAAAAAATGTATACACACTTCAGGAAAGGAAAAACTTGCACAAATATGGTAATACTAAATTTATCCAGACATCACAAGATTAATACAAGTTTCCTTTGGCCTATACAATCACAAGAGATGCTCAAAATGGTGGCCTTTAGGTTCCAGACATTTATTAGTATGGCAAACTATTGCTTGGGCAATGTTGGCCAAAGAGTTCAGTGGGATTGATGCACATTTTCAATTTCTTGTCTAAGTGCTGCCAATGTAATGCAATCTGTTGAGAAAGTATTGTACTACAGTAAACAGTGTTATTGCAATTTGATAAAACTATGACAGACAAATTTTCCTTTTCTTGGAGTGTGCATATATTTTTTTGTAAACTCTACATATATATTTATTTATTTTTTTGATAATAACATTTTCCCCAAAGTAATACATTTCTATGGTAAATTTTTGTAATGGTGAATAAATTGCTATGTACAATTTGTCACTATCAGTGCATTTTTATTGTAAATCTTATGCAATGTAATTTTTTTTAGTGAGACTGTCAAAATGAAATTTAATAAAAGAGAAATGACTAAAAATAAAAAGTCTTTGTTGTGTTTTTCAATGTGTTCATTTTTCGTTTATTACTATCAATAGTCATCGTAATTGAAAACGAATGATTGAAACATCTTAAGAAATGAAGAGTAATCTCCCTTTCATTAAACTTACTTGAAAATGCGTCCTTGCGTTCTTGATAGATTTTGCATTGTTGCTGGTATTTTTTTTCAACCTCTTCAAACGATGGCATCTTGTCTTCGAGGATCTTAGTGCGTTCTTTGATGGTCTCTTCAAGGACTGCAATCCTATCCTAGGGACAAGAAAAGTTCGGATAAACAAGAAAAAAAATCTTTTGTTGTCTGGATTTCCAGTTCAAATAATTCAGTGTATAAAGGAAGTGAACATAGAATCAGAGGATGTTTTCCTGATCGCTTCAGTCTTAACCTGTTCAAGTCTAGGGTTTTCTTACATATCAGCATAAACTGTGCCTCTTACTCTTTAACACTCTACCTCAAGTGACACCTGGGTCTTGTACATGGTGAACATCACTTAAAAAAAAACAAAAAATAAAGAGGAGCAGAGGGAAACAGAGAGGGGTTGAAAGAGAAACAAATGTTGCATAGAGGTCAAAAGGACACAAAACAGTAGACTGCTATGATTGTTGACGTCCTGAAGAGACATGGCACATAAAAGATGAATCATCATAGACATACAGGTTGCGATGGATAAATTGTTGTTTAAATTACACAAAAATGGAAATAACACTAACATCTCATTTTAACATATATTTACCAAAATTACACAAAAATATCTTGAAATACTAAAGAATAAATTCATTCAATAAAAATCACCATTGCCTTCAACAACAGGCTCCAGATGACTTTGGGATCTTCTGCAACACTTCTCAACAGTCTCTTTGTTTAAGTTGGTGAATGCAGCCATAATCCTTGCATTCGGTTCATCTTTGGTGTTACAAGGAGTTTTGTTGGTCTTTTGCTCATCTGTGTCCCACACATAATAATCAAGGGGGTTGCAGTCTGGGGAGTTAGGTTACTAGATGTAAGGGGTGATGTGGTCAAAGAAATTGTCAACCATGATTGAGATCTCCTGCTTGTGTAGCATGGTGCAAAGTCCTGTTGCCAGACATAGGGTTTTCCAGCAGCCACCCTCTTGACCCAGCGCAAGCACTACCTCCTCAAGGCACTTAATGTAGGCCTCTGTGTTGAGACAGAGTCCCTCACCAACAAATTTTCATATTAGGACAATAAGAGTGAGTTTTCTAAGCTGCCGTACTTTTGTAATCACCATTAGACTCATCCAACTCTTTCTGAATCTTTTATACTGTTCTCAGATTGACACCCAAACAATCTGAAATGTTCATATTGAAGCTTCTGGCACAAATACCAAGCAGTACAGCATGACGTTTCCAGATTTTTGATGGAGTGAATTGCATCATGGTGCTTTTTTTTCTCACAGATGGTGTCCAACTGACTTTACTATACTGTGCAGTCATCAAAACAAAAACAAACAACATGCATGTGTGAAATTAAAAATATAAAATGACAACAATTTACTCATTGCACACAGCACTGGGAGGAATAATGAAACAAAACTTTGGGAAGTTGGCAATCATGGCTCTCCACAATTTGCTGTCTTCTGTGGCTTTTAATGAATTTTGTCTATTTGTTATCTCTCCTAAAACCTCTTCTGCCATCCATTTACACAAGCTCGCTAGGTAGGTTATATGTTGTTTTCCTCTGTTCCTCTTCACTTCAGTTTCTTCTGTGAGCATCAAATTTTCCAAACCCACTTTCCTCATTATGTGCCCTAGAAATTTCAACTTTTTCTGTCTGATGTTAAGTATAAGTGTCCTTTATGTTTCCATTTTCTCTAAAACTTCCTTGTTGCTCACATGTTCAGTCCATGGTATTATCAGCATCATTCTGTAGAACCACATTTCTGTTGCTTCAAGTTTTTTCTTTATCTGTCAGGAGATTGTCTAGCATTCACTACTATATAGGAGGAATTTTTATTATATAAATGTTATTTTAACAGATACAGTTGTTTGAGTAGACATTCCAATTTTCACAGTGAAATTAATATCCACTGGCCTAGACATAGAGAGTCTTTCTACTGATATTCTGGCAAATTTTAGCTAAGTGTGTTTTTCAGCCATCTATTTATAGAAAGGAGGAGGAGGTGGTTTTATATGCTAACACACACACATATATATATATATATATATACACCACCAAACATAACAATCTGCAGAGGGATATGAAAAAAGACATTGCCAAAATATGTAAAACCAACAAAATCATTATCAAGTCTGATAAAACTGGCAATCACTATTACTACAATGTTGATGACTACCACAAGGCTATCTGTAAAGAAGTTAACAAAATATATAAGAAAGCCCCGGCTGAATGGGGAAAATGATATTAACAATCAGGCATGAATTACAATCAATAAAGTTAAGATCAATGATAGAGTCCATAAACTACACAAGCAACAGGCCTTCATTACTGTTAAGGACCCCAAGGATAATTTCCATAATATTTTGCAGTTCCAATTATTTAACTCTTTCAAGAATAATATAGGCAAAATCAGAAAGGCTATACTAGAATGAGCCTGGGATCGAATAATGGAATAATACAAAGGATGCTATCAATTGATTCTCTAAAATAAAAAGGAAAAATGAATGCACATTTATACAACATTATTTACATTATTCGGACTATTGTCCTCATCTTTGTCACCATATTTATCACAACGTTTCGGCCATTGCACACTCTGGCCTTCTTCAGGTGGTTGGAATTTCAAACTGAACCCTTTATTTCGCTCACTGGGGTAGAATGTTCTAGTTCCACATGCCATGTTTGATTGATGTCAGTTATCAGTTATCTTCTGCTAATTTCCCTCTAAAAGTTCTACACTGCCTTAACTCACACTCTTTGGGTCTTGTCATTGGATCTAACCAATGCCTTTATCCACTGTGCCATGTGTCTGGGTATGAATTTCTGGGTATTATAAACCTAATGTCTTTTTTTTTTACCAGTGCTCATATTGCAATTTTTGCTGTTATCATTGCATGTTTTTACCAGAGCTCATATTGCAACTTTGTTGTTATCATTGCTTTTCTCTGGCACTCCTTATTACTGGTTCCCATATTGTATTTATTTCTATGCTTGGTCGGCTCAGGAGATTTTTGTGGCCTAGCATATATGCTGATTCCTTAAGTTTACGAATTTTCCAATGGTGTTGCTTGTCTATGATCTCAACATGATCCCACAGAGGGCGGTGATCTCCATTATCTCGCCTGATTTTTACATTTATTCAATTCGACATCTCAAATTTTTATCCTGTTAATGGCAGCTATAAACCTGGCCAAGAATTATTACACCATTACTGATGAGGAAATCAACATCATTAAGCAAGCCCAGAAACACATCCTATACCATGATGGCTCTATGTGAACCAAAAAAGACAACCCAAACTTTTCTATAGCAATGGGAACGTTCGATTCTGCAGAAGCTTGTGAATTGGTTGGCATTTTGATTTTGCTACTGTGGAGACTTATGTGTACTTTTGATAGCATGAACACTGGTCTGTAATGAGACGATGTAGTTATCCTTCTACATAAAACCAACCCATAATAGATTGACTTAGAAAACATCAAATTCTTCAAGGATCATGGACTACATATCACCACTAACACCAATGCCAAGGTGATCAACTTTCAATCCAAAGGAATATACATGCCTTATACTAAAGAGCTTTATAACCATAAATACATTAGCAAAGAATCCAACGACCCACAAAGAATTTTAAGCAACTTGCACAAATCGGTGCAATACAGACTCTCAACTAACTCTAGCAACAAATTATTTTTGGACAAATATAAAACCAAATATATAGATGCACTAGAAAAAGTAAACACAAAATTAAACTAGAATACATAAACATTAGTAAGATTGCCAACAATATACGTAAGACTAGAAAACACAACATAATTTGGTTTAACTAAACATTCAACAAAAATGTCGATATCAATATAGCTAAAATTTTCCTTAATTCAATCCACAAATATTTCAGCAATTCATCATTGCTCAACAATATCTTCAACAAGAACAACATTAAAATTAGTTACAGCTTCACCAAAAACCTTGAACACTATATAGCACAACAGAATAATTTAACATTAAACAAATATTTAAACAACCTCAGTAAGAATATTAATACAGACAAAAGTGTGACTGTTGAAAAAACAGTACCTGTACACTAAATCATAAATGTATGAATAAAGACATTATTTATAAGGCTAGCATTAAACATAATGGCAAGATTAAGTTTTAGTTTAGTACCACTGCAAACCACTGGAAAACCTGATATTACCATCATAAAATGTCTCTTAGCAATAAACAATATTCAAATGCCACAGCACTCTTTATCTTTTTAATCAACTTCAACTGCACATTAAATATTTTAGGTTAAATACTTATTACATTCCTTTAACCATTTAAGTGTCTATTAATATGTAACGGGTTACACAGCATTCCTCTTTATTTAAAATTTTCTCTCACCTTTTACCTTCACTATGAAGACTTTTAATTTTTTTAGTTTGTATCTTAATGTTATTAAATGTTAGTTTTATATACTGTGCAATATTACTCCTTTGAAACATAGAGATTATTTATAAACAAAAATACAATTCATCATGCCTACCCATTCCTTTTTAATCATATTGCTTGCTTCTTACACTTTATAATTTCTTAACTTAATTTGTTTCCCCCCAAACGGAAAAACATGTACCATATAAACTTTAAGCTTGCATCATTTTAAAAAATTTTTTTGCTTTGTTTTTCCCAATATCTCCCACCATACACTCTATATTTTGAATTTACACCCCAATAATATATTGAGTTTATATTGAGCTTTGAATCTGTGTATAATTTAGTGTTCCTCCCATGAAACCCAGTATTTATGAAAAAAAAAACAACTGTAATAAGTGGCTCATTCACCATATGTGCCTGACAACTTGGAAAACCATGAAACTTTATGTTGCAAATAAATAAAAAGCTCAATCGCAGTACCTTGTCAGCTGTCTTCAATTAAACATGTATATAAAATAGGGATTGCTGTCTAAATACACAATATATATATATATATATATATATATATATATATATATATATATATACATACACACACACACAGCCATAATGTGTTGTAAAGTCCTTTGGTTCAGCTAACCCACTTACCGAAATTTGACCAAATTTCAGATTTTTGGGGAATCCTTAGTCAAAGAACTTTTCAGTACTTCCTTGTGTGTGTGTGTATGTGTGCATATATATATATATATATATATATATATATATAAAATCTTGCTCTAATTGCAGTTTGATTGCTTGTCCCCAGATTTGTATAAATTCAAGATGGCCAGTCACCTTTGTCTGTTTAATCAATTGTTCCTTCTCTTCAGCCATTTTTTTCATTGTTTCTTCCACAGATTTTGTTTCCTCATCCAGTTTTTGTAAAGCTTCATTTTTCTCTTGTACATCTTTCTGTAGTTCTTTTCCCTGAAACAAGACTTAGAATATTACAAGATTCTTTAAATACAGACATGCACATCTACATTTATATATTATGCAAATTATGACAAAGGAAAAAAAGATTTTTATCTGATGCATTTCATCTTTTAGAACTTCATTGGACTAAAGTAATGTTTACATTCATGTAATTACACATTTCCAAGAAATTAAACTTGAATTTAAAAAAAAAAAAATTTTTCCACTTTATTAACAGATACCAACAGCTCGAAAAAAAAATATTATATTATATATATATATATATATATATATATATATATTAACTGATCTCAAAATGCAGACACAAAAACAAAGTTTTACTATGTTACTTAAAAATTGAAAACTAAAAACAAACAAGAATAAACAAATAAATAAACAAAAATGAGTAAAACAAATTAATCCAAACCAATAAATAGGTAAATAAATTAAGTAAATAATCAACAAATTAACAAACCACAAACTTACATATAAACACAAGTAAACATAATAATAACAATAAAATAGTCAATAATAAATAAATTACAAAAGTTAATAAAGAATGCTATAAATGACCAAAAAACTGTATTTGATTCACAATTATTTCAACTCAATAGCCCCTAGAATAATTCAAATGATAACTATTACTGCCCACTAAAATAACCGTTAGAACAATACAATAGACTATCTACAATGCATCACTAACCTATATATATAGTCGAGCAAAAACACAATACATATGGCCTGACAATTGCATTTAAGCATGAAACAAACTGTTGCCTCTGGTTGATTTCAGTGTCCACTTTTATATTTATATATACCCTATCCATGATACTGAGCACTAACCCATAAAATATAGCATACTTTAAAACTATATTTTATTATATATATATATATATATATATATATATAAGAAAAATGCTATAATGGATAGCTATTCATGTTTTAATGAATGCTAAAGCATAGCTGTTAGCCATAGTATTTAAATGCAAAAGAAAGATTCAGTAATGGATAGCAACACAATTTTTATCCTTACCACTGATAATGATGTCAGAAAGAGATGGAAAGTACTTGGGTAAAAAAGTGATTCTGTTACAGTGCCTTTCTTGCCTCATTTAATTGTAATATATGGAAAAATATTTGTGAATATGAAAGGATTATGATCAAAATAAGAAGGCATAACATTTGTAACTTATTCAATCAGACATGCCTGAAAGAGAATTTTCTACCTATATACACAAATATATATGAAATGGACAAAGTCTGACAATTATTTTAAGACATTTTTTATGTTTATACGTTCTTTTTATAGATACAAATATTTAAATAAATGCTCTGTTTATAATAAACAGTATTAACGATGTTTACCGGCCTGAATGTCTGAAAAATTTTCATAGGAAATATGCATCCTCCAACAGGAGTCAAACCATTCTTTCTACTTCATGTTTTCCTTTTTCTCTTTTCCTGTCATCATCTTATTCCCTATGTACTCTTACCTTATACAATTAAGGGGGCCGTAATAATCAGGAGTAGGGATCAGAATTCTTCTCAAAATGTAATAAATGAGGGTCTTAATAAAGGGTCCTTGTAAAATCATTTAAAGGGTCAATATAAATGATTTCCACAGTCTATTAGACACTTAGGAGTAAACTTTTCCATTATGGATATTCACTAAGCATAGTTTAGTCTAGTATAAATCTAAATCAGGTAGGAAGATTGTAATGCACCAATCTTCCAATTACATTAGGCCTAAGTTTTGAAATTCAGAATCCTGTGCCCAAAACACCAAATACTGGTTTCTATAGGGAGACAACTATTTCAGCTGTAGTGTCTGTGAAGAAAAACATTTTAAAAATCTATATAAATATATAAAGATCTTGTACAATAAACACATTAGACAGATTTAAATTATTGCAGACAATTATTTGAAATTATTCTGTTAATTAGTCTCAAACAAATTAAAACCTGTTTTTATTGCAATTTATTAATAAGATGTATCTTTACTGAGTGAATACTAACATAAAATAGAATTTAATTAACTTATAATTTACAGAGAAATAAAAATTCATGCATTTAAAACATATCAATTTATTAATCTGAAAAATTTTAGCTTTTAAACATATATTGTTATTATTAGAAAATGTTATACTCTTTAAGTAACACACTTTAGAATAGAGCAAAGAATTTTCCTGTTAAATATGTGCACATATTCATGTATCTACTATTATGTGTGTGTGTGTGCATGTGTGTGCCAAGTATAAATAAAAGGACAATGTATCAAATACAGAGTCAGAGTAGCAGTTGTAGTAACAGTCCAAGTTAAAGTAGTAAGAGGAGTTATTAAAAAATTTTCTGTCTAGTCTATTTCCTGTTATATGAAAACTGCCTTCATAAAAAACAAAAAGAGAAACAATTTTTGCAAAAAACCTCAACAATTTCTGGAATATAAGAATTTGGGATTTATACTTGATCTGCTTTTTTTTTTATGGACAAGTTGAATATTTTTACAAGGCCAAATTTCCATACAACTATCAAAATGACAAATACTATTTTTTTCTAATAAACATACTGCAATACTGTTTTTGGTAAACTGTTCTTTCAGCTCAGAGATCTTCTGTTTCATCTTTGATGCATATTTTACTTTCTGTTCTTCAGTTGTTCTCATCTTCTGTGTCAGAGAATCTCGGTCATGTTGTGCTTCTGATCTAAAATGAAGCATAAACATTTCTGAGTTTTAATCTTTTTTGAAAAGAATATAATTTTAGAAAGAAGAAAAAAAATTGTCCAAGGAAAATATTTAATCACAAAATAAAGAAAATGGTTCATGGGAGACTAAAATGAAAATTGAAATCAGCCAAAAAGATTTCTTAATGTAAATTGGAGAAATTTTATTCATTTTTAGGTTTATTTTGTTGGTAATTGCAATTTGGTAAAATGCAAAGTGATGACCAATTTGTATAAGAACTTACAATATCAACCATTACTAATTCTTTGCTCATATTTATTTTGTAGGAGCAGCCTGATTAGTAATTCCTGGCCTTGTATAAGTGATACATTGCAGCCATCCTGTTACATTAAACATGGTAAAGGACAGGAAAGCAATGAGAAAAATTGAGACAGAACAAAACTACTAGAAAAAGTCATGTTATGATTCATCAGCAGGCAAAAAATAAATACACTGGAATGAAGCAGGACAATATCCATGTGAAATAAACATTAAACTAATTTATTTACACTTTTAAACAAGTTTTGGTGAGTGCTGAGTGTGTTTTGAATATAGAGTGAAAATTGTCCATGCATAATGAGAACTAGAAACATAGTCTTTGTTTGATGTTGAGTAAGTAAAGTCACCAGTTTTAATAGTATTTTAATATAGTCAATATTTTTTTTGACTGGTTCAAAAATTGCTTTTGAAATTATGTGGTATGTCTACTACTATGTCTGCATCTGGTATCATGTGATTTGTAAATCTTAACCTTGAACTTGTATTCTGTAAACTTTAGCCTATTTGCCAGGATCCTCTTTTTTATGTTTATTCTTAACTCCTATAGCTTCATCTTAATTTTAGTTGCTTTTTGTTTCAAATTTACTCAGATTTGAAATCTACAGCAGCAAGATGACATCCACTCTTTGAGAGACATGATTTTAAGATTGAATTTATCTTTCAGAAATTGTATTTTTCTTAAGAGACATTAACTTAAAAGAATAAATGTTCAATACAACAGTAAAGGATTTCATGAAAGATCAGCAAGTTCTCAAAAATCGATTTAAAATCAAGTGTTTCTTTGGTTGAGGTTGCTAAGTAAAATGTTTGAATGGTTTGTTTGTTTTTGTTTTGTTTTATGGCATATCAACCTCAATGGGTTATTTAATGACAACAAGATTTTTATTGCTGGTAATTTTTTTTTTTAAATGTATAGCTGGTAAATTTATTCTTTTACAAAAATGTATTGCTGGTAATAATTTTTTTTACAAGTATTTCTGGTATTAAAACCTATTTTTTCACTTTCACGTTTTGACCCCAGTTTGGGAGTTAATTATTTGCCCATAATGGTGGACCCAAACAAGTGCTGCCACTCCAGGTCAGGGTGAACCAGGGAACACCAGCAATTAAGAGGTGGTTCCACGCACCTCAAAACATCCTTGCTGTTGGGCGTAGTTTATCATCTTACCCAGGACATGGATGTAGTTTATCGTCATACCCAGGACGCAGATGTAGTTTATCATCATACCTAGGACGCAGATGTAGTTTATTGTCATACCCAAGATAGTGTTTGAATGAAATAAAGAGTTAATATGTTGAGACTGAAGAGCATGTAAATGTGTAACACAGTGTCAATGTAATGTTCTTAATCTAAATGGAAGTTTGGAATTTAAAGGTTATGTGTGTTGGTATATATTGTAGGTGGGGGTGAGGGTTCATATGTAAACAATTAAAGAAGAAGAATACAGAAGCTTGGGTTAATTTATTCTCATTTTTTTATATAAACTCTAGTGAAAAAAACTTTCAATGTCTCTTGAGTATGTCCATTTTATTTTCGGTCCAGGAGTTCGTGTAAGTAAGTATAAACATCATATTAATGGTTGAGCTCAAGTCAGCCTTTCATAGACTTGAAACAACCAAAGAAAATTTTGTGCTTACTTCATCATTGGAGAGATGCCAGGTCAGGATCAATAACATTGCAGATGATTCTTTGGATATTTATGATGTTTTGTTTTTTTTTGCTGTCAATATTTCAATTATTACTGAGAGATTCTATTTTGATTCTATTAATTTAAAAAAAAACAATTTTATTATTTTGCTTCTAGTCTATGAAGATCTGTGACTAAAATACAATCTTATACTCTTTACCAACATTGATGGGAGTAAATTTTAAGTTGACAAAAATTGTATCTCACATTTCTTCACTCATTCTCTTCATTAAGTCTCTTCCCAAAGTCTAATAAAAGACCCAATGTATATTTTAAGTTATAGTGTTGCAAATTGTTACTCGTTTCCAGGTATGCTCATCTGCTAAAAGAATTAGTTAATCCCTATTGCAGCTATGCTGAGCAGACCATAGTTATATTTTCTGGCTGAGAGCACATAATCTGGTGTGATCAGTAGTTAAATGAGGCCAGTACATTCAAACTCTAAGTCACAATAACTAATGACTTTGTGTTAGCACTGCCATCAATGAATTCTGAACAGTTTTGTCTACCCAATTTAATTCACAATTTGTCATTTTCAGACACTTGTCAAAGTTACTGCACACTAAGATTGTTTCCCTGGACTGATGTTATCAAGAAGTCACCTCCTTGACAAATCTAGCATGGGGAGGTTCAAACCTGGGTCTCTTGAGTGGAATGCTAAAGTTCTAACTCCTTGGCCACATATCCACAGTATTGCAAATAGCAGCTACCATGAAAATGGAAAACAAGAATAAGTAAAATATAATTCTGAATAATTTTTGTTTGCTTGTTTTAAAACCATGTTTATAGATTATTTATTCAACTCATAAAAAGTACTACCTCCCTTTCATAATAAGTGACCAGATTTTTAATATATAAAGCAGAATTAGTCATTCATTATGGAATGGAGGTAGTTTTAGTTTTCATGAAATATAAACAGAGAAATTAATTTTAACGAAAATGTAGAGAGGGTTCTTTTGGAAAAAGAGCTTGTTTTAATTATGCCACTGTCTAGTTAATCTCATAAAGTCTGTCTTGTCTAGATTACCAGGTATCAATTCTGGATATAAAACCATTACCTATCAAATTGTGGAAAAATAAGGCAAGGGTGTTTGGAGTCTGGGGAAAACACTTAACAGATTGTTGTCTTAACAAGAGGGAAGAGGTAGAGAAGGGAGAGAGATGGGAGAGAGAAGGGAGAAAGAAGGGAGGAGAGAAGGGAGAGAGAAGGGAGAGAGAAGGGAGGAGAGAAGGGAGGAGAGAAGGGAGGAGAGAAGGGAGGAGAGAAGGGAAGAAATAAAAAAAGAAACTGAATAATGATAATTAAGACCTCTGCCTCAAAAACCACAGCATGACATGCAGTATATAACTTCCAAAACAAAATGCACCAAGGAAATGTCTTTACAAGACACTGAATAGCAAAGTGAATTTTGGAGAAAGCAAACTGCTGACTGTTGCTTTTTCTATTGCATTTATTGATGTGTAGTGGTTGACAAAGACTTGCATCTAGACAAGTTGCAGAGAAGTCCATATCTGGATATGTCAAGCTGTTCGGTTGCTAACAGAGAAACATGGATATGACTTTGACAGACATGTCTGCATGTGACTTGGGGCCTCTTTTGCATCTGCATTTTCCCACACAAGCAAAGAAGAGTCACCTCCACAGATTTAATAAGGATTTGGATTTAAAGAAAAAATATAATTTGTAAACAGAATTCAATAAAAACAAACCAGTCATCTAAAAGAAGTAAACATGCTTCTTAATAAAAAGAATTGTAATTTTGATTTTGTAATAATGTTAAAATAATGACTAAAATGATGAACAATAATAATAAGAATAGATAGTGTACAGAATAAGAATTCTATAGATTAATATTGGAAAGTATAGTTTAATAAAAAATAATGTTGAAAATCTTTCTCCAACTAACCTTAACTGTTTTTCTTCTTTTAAAGCAGATTTTCGCTTTTCAATTTCTCTGTTGAATTGGGCTATCAAGAGACTGAAAAAAAGAGGAAAAAGCTGATAATTTCAGATTAAATTCTGTAAATGAAAGCCACAACTCTTTCCATTCTGTACAGGTGACTTACATTCAAAATGGAAGATCCCGCTGACCACACCTGTAGCTTGGAACTGGCCACATACAATATCACTGATTCAAGCTTTTCTATTTGATGTTGGCCACATTTAATATGGCAGATCTGTTATCTGAAAACAACATTATTATTCTTTTTTCTTTGCAATTGAGTAAAGAAAAGCTTAAGTACATCCATTTTTATTTTGGGGACTTCAATGCACTTTTCTCATAATTTGTAGCCAGCAAATTTATAAATTTTCTTGCAACTCAGTAAAAAAGTCTCAAAAAGAAGAGAAATTTTTCTTACATTTCAATAAAAACAAAGAGAACCATTGGAATTTGGCAAAAAAAAGGGAGACACACTCATTGCAGCTTTGTTAAAAAAATGTAATTTTTTAAGCAGTACAGTAAAAAAGAAACTCATTGCTGTTTAGTAAGAAACCATTTTCATTGGGTTCAGTGAGAAACTAGAGCAGTGTTTTCAAACAGTATGGTGTGCCTCATAGGTGCAGTGGAAGATAGCAGGTGAGGCAGAATGATTGAAAGACAATCAAAAATTTAGAAACAGTTTAAAAAATTCATATGCCAAAAACAAATATGATTTCAAAATCTAAAATTTTATTATGGGTTACTTGTAATTTGCATGCATGTGTCCCAGTATAAATAGTTATAAATAATTATTGACCAATTTTATCATTGTGATATTTTTGCATTATATAAATTATTAAGAATATACTAACTAGGGTCTGCAAATTGTGGGAGAGTGTTATTAATGATAATATTCTGACTTCAAATCTGTGGTTATCTCCTTTTAACACTCTGTTTTTTTTTTTTTTTTTTTTTAAATGTACTTTTAATCACATAAATTTGGTGATGGGCAAGGAAATTTTCATTCTGAAAATGCACAACCAGAGAAAAAAAGTTTGGGAACCACTAGACTAGAGTTTAAAATACAAAGATAAGTGGTTTTAGACTGGTTACTGGTTATCTGTTCAGGGGATAGAATTTATTAAAACTTATTATTTAATAATCTAACACAGCTGAAAGATTTTTCAGTGAGAATACAAGAAAATCATTCAGATGTATAAAACTTGTTTGTCTTTTCTGAGAAAGTGATCCCACTTTGTACATAATTAGTTTTAAAATTTTTCTATAGGACAAACAAAGTAAAATAAGATGTAATATCAAGTAACTCGAGATAATATAAAGGTAGATAATTTTGAATCTTAAAACAAAGCAATTTTGCTTTTTTATTGGAAAAAAAGAATTTAATTGAAAATTACGAATAATGACTTTAATTTGGATTCAATTTCTGGCACAAAATACTTTAACTAAAAATTATGGATTTTACAAAATGTGTCATTTTACCTAATTACACACTTTATAAAATCTAATGGAGTAAGTCAACATTTTCACACAAAAATTGGTTAAAATTTCAGAATATACTTATATTTATATAATCATGATATTACATGATTTTCACTTTTAATATCTAATAACCCATGAAAATTTCATGATTTTATTTTAATATTCTGAAGAATCTTAATTCTTAAGTTAATGATTGAGTAAGCACATGGTGAGTTCTAAGATTATATAAAATGTCCATAGAAATTCCCCTATCGCATCGATAGATATTTGAGCTTAACAACTTTAACAAAATATTGCAATAACAATCGTAATTATGAATGCTGGTCATTATTTTAAGAAGTGGGTACAAATGAAAAAAAAATTGAAATAGATAACTTTTTCCATTTCACTTAAAGACATTAAACACTTCTCTCTTTCCTTTCTTTCTTTTATTTTCTCATTGAAACTATTTAGTGTCTTTTCTCCACTTTCCACACAAACGAAATGGAATGGTCCATTATTAATGAGATATTGGCAGAGCATAATGGTCATGCGAACTAACAAAGGGTGGGACAAGCACAATTATAATAAGATCCTTATGAAAAAATACTGACAAGTTGTGTGGTGGTGGTGGGGTGGTAGTGTCAGATTTTATTATGCGAACAAGCCAAATGCAATATAAAGTTTTATTTATAAATAAATCCAAAAAATATAGACAAGAAAAGCAAAACAATATCTTAGAAACATGAAGAAATTATTTTAATATTCTACATGCTAACATAGGAGTGAAGCACTGAATCAGCAGGAATGAAAAACAACTGACATCACAGGGATAATAAATATCACAAAAATCAATAGATATCCCATATCAGCCAAGCAATTGATATCTGATGATGACCAGAAGATACTTGGTCGAAATGTGTCTATAATAACATCTATATCAACCAAGATAAGAACAATAGTTTGAAATGACATGAGTATTTGTTAAATTTGTTAACAATTTTATTGTGAAAATATTGACATGTGTAATAAAATATGACACAGTGTATATTATCATTTTCTATTTACTGTGTTCTGTTTTCTTGTTATCCATGAAAGCAGAACATGAAAGGAGAATACAAATAACATTAATTTACCCATGATTCTCTATCATCTTTCGTATGGCATCTTTATTTCGAGTGTTTTCTGAATCAAAGCTGGCCAATTTCTCTGTGTGTTCTGAAAGCTCGAGCTGTTTGCTATGTAATCTGGTAATGAGAGAGAAAATTTAAAACAATCTGAAATTAAGCAAGACTTAAAATATGACAAACAAAAACAGTTATGGACAAAAAGACATGAATAAAATGAAACATACAAAAAAAAAAGGTATGAACAAATAGTCATGAACAAAAAAGACACACACAAAAAAGACATCAATAAAAAGAAACATGAACAAAAAGAGACAAAATAAGTGTCCAACATATTTGACAATTTTACTGGTAGATACAGATTGGACAACAAACACCAAACTATATCTTCCAGTCCAGTTTTTAGTATATTGCTTTTACTTTTCTAAATGTATCCAGCATCCACTTCTGACATCTTTGACTAGCAGATCAGCTTTTCCTCTCATCCAGTGAGAATTTTGACTTTCTCCTACCAACTCTCTACTCATCTAGGCATCACGATGTGTGGCTGGCAACTCTCTGTATGTAACTAGTAAAGGGTAGACCAGCACTACTTCAATCCTAACTGTAACCATTAATATAAGTCTGCAATTGGATATCTCCAGCATCCGGTTTTTTGTCACTTGTTCCCTAAAGTTTTCATGTATTTATCTATTATTTTATTCTCTTTTAGTCAAGTGGGCAGTCACCATGAAAACCCAACTTTCAGACTTTACTGTTACCCATAAAAACACAAAACACTGAGATAAAAATCACTCACCATCTCATTCTATATAGATGTCTCAATCATAGTCTCACACATATAGACAAGTCAATTCACAAGCTCAAATCCTTTGAGAAAAAAATCATTATGTTTTTCTTGTACCCCTTGTATAATAAGGCCATATGACTTGTGATAAGTTCAAGTAAAAATGATTTTACTAATTTGTAAACTGGATTAATAAAGTACTTCTAAACAGCAAGTTTTCCAAGCTAGTTATTGCCCCAAAAGATTTAAATCTTTATTTTTAATAATATGATTAACAACGGTTATGATTCATTTGCTAAAAGAAAAATAAAAAGAATCTATGCTTTTAACCTTATTAAGACTGAATTTATTTCTGATTTTTACCAGTTTTAAGGTAACTCAAATTTAAATCCATCTTCTGAGCTATCTATACAAGTTAACCCCTGAAATATATTAAGAGAATCTATTTTTATGAATTAAACTTCTCAGAGGTCTGGGTCATTTAGATAAAAGACTTCTTTGAAGTCTTTTATCTTGTCTTTAAGTCAGACGATGTTACAAATGGAGGGCTTTCATCCAGGTATTCGTATTCATTGATTGGCACCAAAATTAAGTGAGTTGGCTGGCAAAGTCAGTTGTTGTAGAAATCTACTTCAAAAGAGTCCATTTACTACCATTTGCTAACCTGACATGTAAACTATACCACAAAAACCTAGCAACTCCAGTTACTTTGAAGTATTTCCGACTTCTTGCTGGTAAGCCTTTATAAAGTTTCCTTTTTAGTCACTGACCAAATAACTAAGATTAAAATAAAACACTTTTTTGTTTACTGTAAACTTAGTTGGTATTCTGGTCATTCTATTTGCTTTTGTTTATCTTATTTCTTTTGTTGCACATGTGATAATATATTCTGGAAGGATTATGCTCAGGCATAACAGATATATTTTTGCTTGTGGATATCTTTTTTTTGGTGATTCCTATAGAAACAGAATTCAATAAAATTGCCAAAAAAATGCAAAATGTATTGTAAATATAATTGAATCAGCAACATATTCTTGATTCTCACATTTGGCCTACTGCTAATGATGTTGAAGTCAGAGTCATCATCATCATTATCAGAATCGAATTAATCTATTTTCTCTTCTTCAAACTTATTATCAGAGTCAAGATTGGCGTGCAAGATCTCTTGTGCATTCATATGTCTATGTCTTGTTGTCATGGTATCATAATTCAATCATCTGTTAATGAAGAAATCATAAAATAAATCCCTAATTTCACAAAGCATGCCACCACTACACAGAAACCACCGTGTTGCTGAGATTGATTCAGTAATGTATACCTCTCTGCAACTAATTGATATTATTAGATTTGGTTGTAAACAAGCACAGGTTTGGCTGGTCTGTCAAAAAAGGCCTAACATTTTGTCCCTAACATTTGAGTTGCAAACCAACTAGCACTATTTCCCAGTGTTAAATTATAGTAGTGTATACTATGATAGATTTTCTTATGTACTTTTATTATATTGTATATTGGGGATATCATTTAGCTAAGTCTGTATTGCAGAGTATCTGATTGAAACCAAAAGAGTAGTGCCCATGAAAAATCATTATCAGCATTTTTATAGACTGGTAAATGACATTTTTTTATTTTCCCCAAAATAGGTCAGCACAGAGTGTTATAATAATGAGGCAGTGAAAGTGTTAAATACTTGAAAATAGTTTTGAAATGGAGGTGAACCAATTCTCTTCCAAGTGTTTTCAGATTATAATTCTTTTATTGGACCACAAAGAAGAATCTGCAACATTATTGGCCCTGACCTGGCATCTTGACTTCAATTATTTTCCTATTGTCATAATGCAGCTTTCCTGTGTCTTTTCTATAAATATTTTTATTGTGATTCTTCTGATGAGCCTTTCTCTTTGGTACTCTGACTTCATGAATTTAAACATAGTACTATGGATGTGTGGTATTATAATGATAATGGCTTGGAATGAGAAATTGGGAAGATGAGCTTGAATTCCAGTCAGGTTCATTACCTCTGCTTACATGCAAATATCCTTGGGAAAGGTATGAATCCATCTTTTCTTTACCTGGCTATGGGTTGAATAGCATGACAGACTGGGTTCTATAGCTTTGATTGGCAAACAGACTACCGAAGAAAGAAACGGCAGCCTACCATGATAAAATCATCTGCCATTTAATTGACTGACTAGACTTGCAGTTAGGTCTCATCATTTTATTGTTGAACTTGTTAAGTATAAATATAAGTTCTATTCTAATAGTTTCTTCTCTTGCACTTCTTGCAAGTGAAACACTTCCTGGTTTCTTGCTTTCCTGTTAACAATGATTTTCATGAATTTAAATGAAATAACAACTCCCTTCAGCTTTAGATTAAATAGCAGGGTAGACTAAGTTCTCTAGCCTTGAGTGGCAACCAGTCAAAGGTCTATAAAACAATAGGAAAATGTTCTATCATTCTGAAGGGGTCCTGGCAATTCAAACATATTAAAGTAAAAATATTGGTCCCTAGCCTTTACCATTATAAACTAACCAGTACATTGCTATTTCCAAATTAGTATAGCCATATAGTGGTGTACACTATGACCTATTTTTTGACATATTTTTATTATATTGTGTGTTGGTGGTGTTGTTTAGTTAAGTCTGTATTGCAGAGTATCTGACTGAAACCAAAATGGTAGTACCTATAATAAATTGTCATCAGTCAGTTATGTGCCATGTGTGATACATGCTTAGGCATCTAATACATGACATCTTTTGATATATGACTGACGAGGCAGATTTTTTCCTTGCAGTAGGTTGCCATTTCTTTCTGTGGTAGACCAGTTGCCATCCAAGGCTATAGAACCTAGTCTGTTCTTCTATTTACCCATAGCTGGGGGGAGAAGAAGAGAATTCATACCTTTTCCAAGCATATTAGCACATAAGTGAATGTAATGGATTTGACTGGAATTTAAACTCTGCTCTCTGATTCCTCAATCCGAGCCACTATCCATTACTCTACTGTGCATCCTTATTGTCATCAGCATTTTTATAAATATTTATTTCCAGTAAGTGGCAATAGTTATGAATAGCCACAATCATCTAAGCTATGAAAACAGATGGCAATTAAAATAGGTGGAGAGTAGTACCAAAATATTTCATGTTCTGTAATATATTTTTAATATTAGCTTAAGTTTCTGACCTTTCCACTCAAGTTATTTTTGAAAATATCTTTATAATGGCTGTAGCCCACTTGGAAGTCATTTTCTGATTCATATGAAAATTATTTTTACAGAATTTGTCATATCTGCAGTTTAGCTTGGATCTGTTTTGATTGATGTCACTTGGAATATAAATACTATTAATTTTGTTAATGGAGAATTAAGTTTTAACTTTCACTGGGATCTTTCTAATTTCTTTGTATAAACCTGAAATCCTTGTCATCAATTGTTATATCAGTAAATCCTGGTCACTCAGTCCTACTTGCACATGTTGGACAAGCAATAGTTTTCTCTCTATTATATTAGTGAGTGAGTGTTTTCTTCATAGAGCCAGCGATGTTTTATGATATTTTGGGGTGGTACAGAATAATTCCTAAGAATCAAATCATGTTTGTATTTTCTGAAGTTTTCTGAAAATGTTGACATTAGTTAAAGGTCTCGACATCAGTGTGGTTCACACCAGAGTCAAAGGCATTGATATCATTCTGGTTCACATCAGAGCCAAAGGTGTAGATATTAATCTCATGAACACCAGAGTCAAAGGTGTAGATATTAGTCTGGTACACATCAGAGTCAAAAGTATAGATATTGGTCTGGTTTGCACCAGATTTAAAGGTTTAGATACCTGTCCAGTTTCCATCAAAATCAAAGGTGTGAGTCATTCTGTGTTAAATCAACAAGGGTCTGACCATCAAATTTGTTACACTTATAGAGCTTCATGATGGAAATTGAATAGTACCTATTTTACATCTCTAGGTTGAAGAGTTCCTTAGATGTGACTCTTTGCAAAATAGGTAAATTTTAGAAAATAGTTACAAAGTTTAAATATCAATATTAATATCTAAGTCATTTTTTCACTCATAAACTTAAATTATATACCATTTTAAAGTACTTGGATAGATCTAAAAGATGATCTATTTATTTTTTGTTTAACTGCCAAATAAAATAATTTGACCTTGACATTTGACCTTTAATTTTTTAAAACCACATCTATAATTTTTTTAAAAATTTGATAATAATTTAATCTGCTTTATAGCAAGATATGTACAAAATTTTGTGGTGGCCTTTTGATTGCGGCCTGAGTTACAAGGGTTTTACCGAGTTGGGCCAAATTCAAAATGGCGGATTTTGGTATTTGCCACTATATGCTAACATTTTTGTATCACCCAATATGGTCAAGTTGTATATCTTTAGAAGGCTCTTTCAATACTGATTAATATTCACATATAAAAATTATGATCATAAAATGAACAGAATTTGTGTTATTTTGATTAAATATTGACCAGTTCAGTGGAAAATAAATCATATTTTTGGTTTTGTTTACATTTTTATTATACAACAAATAGATTTTTATATGAAAAAGTGACATAATGAAAATAATTATTTTAAAAAGTGTCATAAATTAATGTTAACATAGCATGAAATAACATGAAAATATGCAACATATGGTGTTAATGGTTAACAATTTTTTGTTGACATTTGACATGGTAAATGCATAAATTTTCAGTATTTTTATATATATTTAAAAAATTAAGTTTTGATCTGAAAAAGTGATACATTAAAATGAAATTTTAAAAAAGGATTCCTAACATTTACAAAGAGATTAACATGTAAACTTATTTTTCTTGTTGGAATACATGTTTAAATAGAAAATAAAAATATGGATATGCAAACCACTTACTTTTTCACTCAGATTTATTGTGATGACCAACCTTGATTGCATCTTTATTTAAAGTTATTTCAAGAAATTTCCTTTCCTAAAATATTTGAAGCTTTTTCCATCTCAGTTTTCAAAAGTTTATAAGTTCTTCCAGTGTCAGTTATTGGATCAACTAAACTAACAATATCAGAATAATTTAAGATTAATATAACTGGATGTAATGGATAACAGAAAGATGAAGAAGGGCTCTTAGGTCATAAATGTCAATTTTACCTCATCATTATCAGGATATTTTTTAAGTACACATCCTAACTATAATTCCTATCATAGATTGCTGTAACAAACCCCTTAATGTTTTCAAGCTCTATATTGTCCTGTTTTATAATTTTAACTGTTTTTCTTTCATCCTGAGTTGACACTGTTTTTACTTCTACCACTTCCTGAGACACAGGAATAAAACTATGTAGTTTTTGAGTTCCTGTAATTGAAGAGACATTTTTAATCTATTTTCTGCTAGATTTCTGCTTTATTTGTCTATTCATTGGCTGAGGAACACAAAATATTTATGCCTGAAATCTTTTTTCTTGCATAATCAAACAACTGTCTTGGTGTCATTATTTGTTCATTACAGGCTTGCTTTTGCTGCTAATTTATTAGTAGTGCCACCTAACCCATCACGTGATCCTTTTCCATGAGATGTAGCAAAAAAGTGCCACTTTGCATCAATACCAAAGTCAGCCTTATGGTTGCATAATTTGATACAATTTTTATAATGTGAAGTGGCACCATCAGAGAAATAGATCAGATTTTTTATTTTAAAATTAAGATTTTTTCAGTACTTCAATAAGTTTTTTTTGGAATAAATAGACAGCGCCTATGTGATGCTTGAGACAATCTGATATAATTACAATATATATTCTCTAGCTCTTTTTCATTTCGGTAATAACAGATGAATGGATATAATGTGACTCAAGAATTATTCCATTGGAAGCCTTGTGCAGCAACCTACAAAATAAATGAATTCTCAGCAAAATCTGTAATAAATGACTACACCATCCATCAAAGAACTTCTTAGAATAAAATTTTGATTGTTCTTTGGCAATGAAATTATGCTTTTTCAATGCCTACACAAAATGTTTCAATAAATTCTTCTAGATTTTGATACAGTTTGCAGTGTGGTTCTATCAGTTGATAGCCACTGTAGATAAAATCATCTATTAAATTTTTATTTAGAATTTCTTCTATATATAATACAAAATCCTCCATCAAATTGCTACAAGTTGAGCAGTCACCCAAATGTTGCTTCATTGCATGTAACAGCAGCTATGCATTGATGGTAATCTGTTAAATGACATTATTCATCTTGAGTCAGTGTACCAAGATGAGCCCCCACAATCATCTTTCATATTTTGAAAAACTGTCGTATAGTTATCTTTCCAGGCATCACTCTGCTGATTTCTTCACTTATAAAACAGTGCAACTTTATCAATTGTCCTTTGTGGGAATCTACATTTTCATATATTTGGTAGAGATAATATTCCTTGTTCATATACAAGTTTTTTGGCTTGTCTTGCCATGTATGTTGTGGTGCCAAATTCCATTTGAATTCTTTGGATACTCCAGCTTTTAGGAAGTATTGTCAAAATTTGTACTTTTTGAGGGACCTCTTTTCACAAGCTGAAAACTCTTCTTTTAATTGTGTAATAATTTCACTTTCATCAGATCTTTTGTGCACTTCTACACTGGTAGATTCTTGATGAGAAATTTTAGTTGAAATTAGTTTAATTTTCTTTGATACTGCTCCTTTAATTTTTCCTACATTTTATTCCTCATAACTGATTTGTTTTTCAGGTTTTTGATGCTTGATTGGTGATTCACCAATGATTAACAGTGATTCATTAAAAAGTTGCAATTCATTTTCAATATTTACAAAAATGCTAGAAGGCTGTGACTGGTCTTCAGCTGTTGTCGACATACATTCAGAAAACTCAAGTAATGCTGTTAATTTTATTCAACAATGGTTTTGCTTGTTAATCTCTTTGTTAATGTTAGGAATCTTTTTTATATTCATTTTAAGGTATCACTTTTTCAAATCAAAACTCAATTTTTTAAATATTTATAAAAATACTAAAAATTTGATTATTTTGTGCATTTAGTGTACCATGTCAAATGTCAACAAAAATTTGTTAACCATTAACATCATTTGTTGCATATTTTCATATATTTTGTTATCTTTTGTTATCTTAACTTCAATTCATAACACTTTTTAAAATAATTATTTTTATTATGTCATTTTTTTCATATAAAAATCTATTGTTGCATAATAAAAATGTAAACAAAACCAAAAATAAGGTTGTTTATTTTCCACTGAATTGGTCAATATTTAATCAAAAATAACACAAATTCTGTTCATTTTATGCTCATAGTTCTTATATGTGAATATTAGTCAGCATTCAAAGAGCCTTCTAAAGATATACAACTTGACCATATTGGGTGATATGAAAATGTTAGCATATAGTGGCAAATACTAAAATCTGCCATTTTGAATTTGGGTCAACTCAGTAAAACCCTTGTAACTCAGGCCACAGTCCACCACAATATTTTGTACATATCTTACCATAAAGCAGAGAAATTTGTTGTCAAATTTTAAAAATAATTATGTTTTTTGAGAAATTAAAAGGTCAATGGTTAAGGTCAAGGTCAAATTATCTTATTTTACCTTTAAACAAAAACATAAATAGATCATCCATAGATCTTTCCAAGTACTTTAAAATGGTATATAATTTAGATTTGTGGGTGAAAAAACAACTGAGATATTGATATTTAAACTTGACAAATTTTTCCAAAATTCTCCTTATTGGCAAGGGTCAAAGGGTCATATCTTGGGAACCCTTTAACCTAGACATGTAAAATAGGTATCATTTAATTTCTCTGTCTATATTTCTGTGATGAGGTATTGTAATTATTTATATTATTTACATTGTTCAGATTGTTGTTCTCATCTTTATTGCCATATTCACAACATTTTGACTGTTGTATGCTCCAGCCTTCTTCAGGTTATTGGAATTTCAAACTGAACCCTTTATTTCATCCACTGGGGTAGATTATTCTAGTTCCATATGCCATACTTCTTCCAGATGTTTCAGTTATCCAGTTATCTCCCTTTAACTCAACGCTCCAATTTTTTTGTTCACAAGGTAGCCAGCTATTGAACTCTTTGGGTCAAGGACACATGGCCCAGTGGATAAAAGCGTTGGTCGGATCCAGTGACACCTGAAAGAGTTGCAAATTTAATATTGGGCTACTGCAGTGGTGAACAAAACATTGGAGAGTTGAGTTAAAGGGAGATAACTGAGATATCCAGAAGAGGCATGGCATGTGGAACTAGAACATTCAATTTCTATCATGAAGGTGTACCAAATTTAAAAAAAAAATCTGTGTCATTGATGGTCAGACCCTTGTTGAGTTAAAATGGAATGATTTGTGTATACCTCTGTTAGGTTTACACCAGAGTCAAAGATTCAGACATTGATCAGGTTTACACCAGGTTGCAAATATTCAGCCAAAAAGTAGCCTTCTTTTTGTTTGTGTGTGTGTGTGTGTGGGGGGGTCTTACCTCACTGAAGGAATGCAGTTGGTATATTCTATGACTTACCAATTAGGCAATCATCTGTGACACTACTTGGCATTGAAATGCTAGTGAGTGCATTTGTGTATTGTTTGACTCTCACATAGACAATGATATCTCATGCAGAGGTTTTGACAAAACATCACATCCCCCACCCCAGTTCTATCAGCCAGGTTTGTTTTATAGTTCGGTCTTAGCTCCCTCAAAATTTTTTTTTTACGCATTTCACCCAAAGCAAGCTGGGAGTGCCACTAGCATGCAAGGGGTAACAGAGAGTGAAAGTAAGAGTAAAGAGGGGGGGTGTTTGAGGAAAGGATAAAGAGAAGGACAAGGATCAAGATTAAGGCATCTGAAGATGTTGATTGACATTACATTTAAAGTTTTGAAGATTATAGTTATCCGGGAAACAAGTAAGAGAAAGGGAGTTCCACTGTCGGGAAGTGCGAGAGAAGCTGTTGGAGTAGAAGAGGCGGTTACATTTAACTGTTTTGACAGTAAAAAGGGTGGGACCAACATGCCAACCTAGTAGCACGCTTTTCATGCAGTTGGGTACTAGTAAAAATAGCTCATCAGAGGCAGTTGCCATGAAAATATTTGGAAAAAGTGAAAAAGTGGCTTACTTGGTTTCTGACTCTTCAACTTCTTTCTTGGCTTTCTTTTCGGCATCTGTGCACTCAACAATGACTGTAAATGAAAAATGATTCTTTCTTCATGATGAAGTAGACCATATTTTTAATTTATTAATTCCATATTGGTAACTGGTGTTAAGGAAAGTATTTTTTAATACTGTGTCCTTTCAGGATGTAGGCGATCATGGCTCTCCAGATTTCATTTCTTTATAATCTGTGAATTGCCATCTCTTGTTAGAAAAGATAGAAGAATGGTTTCTCATTGCCTTTTCTATGATTTGGAATTCAGAATAGTCATTCTCCTAGAGAGGCTGCTACCCTGCTACTTAACCCATTCTTAAATGTCATGGCTTTTTTTCTTTATTATCTGTGAATTGCAATGATTTCTTGGGAATGACTTGTGAAATGATTAGTGGAGTGATTTCTTGTTCCATCTCCATGGTTTGGAATTCAGAAATTTTTTCTTACTCTTAGAATGGTAGCCACCCAAGGCAACTCTGCTATTTAACTCATTGCTGGGTGGAGAACTGAAATTATTTTGCAATCCACAAAATATTATTAAATTAACTAATTTGGGTCCATATTACAAAATCTCCTACAGAAGGTAGCGACAGAGAGTGAGAAGAAAGGACTAAGCATAAACTACAAGAAGACAGAATGCATGGTCATCAGTAAGAGGATGAGCCCGAAATGCGATTTGCTGGTCAGGAACACTAGAAACAAGTAAACATGGAAGTTTAAATACCTGGGAAGTGTCTTGAGATCCATAGACGTATTGGGATGGCCAAGGGCACATTCCAAAAGCTGAGCAGAGTATTGCGAGACAAGAGGATTTCTTTGGTAACAAAGAAAAGAATACTGACCTGTTACATGATATCTGTTCTTCTTTATGGCAGCGAATGTTGGATGATTTCCTCAAAGGAGAAGAGACCTGAGGCGACAGAGATTTGGTTCTACAGAAGGATGCTAAGGATATCATGGACCGAGCATGTGAGCAATGATGAGGTCTTAGAGAGGTTACGAACAAGGAGAAGGCTTATACTTAACATCAGAAAGAGGTAGCTGAAGTTTCTGGAACACATAATGAAGAAGGAGGGCCTGAAGAATCTTATACTCATGGGTCGAATAGAGGGACAGAGAGACAAGGGAAAGCAGTCTGTGACATACCTGATGAGCAGGTGGATGACAGACCGTAGTCTGAGGGAGGAAGTAGAGGGAAGATACTTGCTGACAGCTACAAGGGATAGAGGGTGGTGGAGAGCCATGATCACCTATGTCCTGAAAGAACATTGCACATAAAAAGAAATAGAATTTGTGTCCATGTACTGAAATTTCAACTTTGATTGGTTTGTTTTTTGCTGGTTATCAATCTTTTGCAGGTTATTTAAGCCAGAAAATATTTTTAGACTGTAAGAATTTCTTGGGGATAATAATGATTTGCTGATACAAGTTTTAGTAATTATCCTATAGCTGGGGGGAGAAGAGGTGATTAATTGATTTGTTTAATGGCATATCAATTCCTTATGGGTTATTTACTGCTGAAATTTAATTTTTTGGGTGTTTTGAAGTAATAAAAATATGATATGTTATTCTGCTTTCACAATTGAATACATGGTAGATGTTACCTAGCTTTTGTGCATATATATGTTTGTGTGGACATAATTATTAGAGGTGTTGATAGGTGTGTTTTATGTTGTAGTTTTGTTGAAGTTATATTTTTGAAAATAGTCTGATTTAAGAAATTGTAGGATATTATATGGATTAATGTCATGAAAGAGTTCTTGTCAGGTTGGTTGTTTGATTTTGTTTAGTGGCATATCAACACCTCTGTGGGTTATTTAATGCTGAAATCTAAATAATCTGAGTACTATTTTATGGCTTCAACCATAGATAAAATCTACTGTTTTTCATTTTCTATAAATAGGTAAAGTTGGTCATTTTTTTATTGGAGGGAGCACTATTTCCCCATAGCTTCAACCCCATCAGGTGCTACCACCCCAGGTCAGGACTGGAGAAGAGGTGTATTCATACCTTTCCTAAGAGTATTTGCATGTAAGTGTATATAATGAACCTGATTGGAATTGGAACTTGGCTCTTTGATTTCCAATTCTGAGCCATTATACTTTACACCACTTGCATATCCAAGCTTACAACACGTGGCATTCCCAAGTAGTCACCTATCTAGGTACTGACCAGGCTCAATATTGCTTAACTTTGGTGATTGTACAAGAACCAGTGTTTCAGCATGATATGACCATAAGCCTTCATGTGAAAAAAGCAAAGCACTTATTCAGAACATAAGAGTTTCATCAATGTTTCTTTCTTTTTGATTTAGGGAAGGTAAAAATTGAATAAAACTGTTTTTGTTTCTTTAGTAAATAACACTTCCTTGGTTGGGTAATTTTCTTTATATTTAATAGGAGTGGATAGGTTTGCCTACCATTTGGTTCACACTCCTCCCCAGTCTTTTGAACAGGAGTACAGGTTTATCCCTTGTTTCCTGTTCAGGATTGGACTTCCAGTTCCTTCTAAAGTCTTTTCATTCTCTTCGACTTCCAGCAGCCCCTTGCATCTTCATGGAAAACAGCACCTTGCTTGGGGTAAACTGATTAATATATATATATATATATATATATATATATATATATATAAAGAAAGAACAGTAAGATATATAATCTGGTGTTCTTATAGATATTTTTATTTTTACAAAATAGTGCTCAATGTAAATTTACAGAGCATTAATATTATAAATTAACTGAATTAAAATATGGTTTTTCACTACACAGTTCTAACCATGTTTCAAAAATGGAAGCTAAAAGCTTTGAATTTAATTTTGTAATTAAATTAAAGACATTAGTTCCATTTCATCCTCAAGTGAATTTTGGAGTCAGTTAATTTATAATATATATATATATATATATATATATATACACACACACACACAAAAAGGCACTAATTGATTGTCAGTATTTCTATTAGAAAGAGAATCTCTTTTTAGTAAAGTTTACATCATCAGAGCACAAAGCAGACCTCGTGGAATTCTTGCAAAGAAGCTTCTTCAATTGTTCTTGACATCATAAACATTCTATGGCTATAAGTCCATTTTGACTTTGAAACATTAATTCAAATTTGTATGCAGATATTTCTCTTAAACTTATATCAAAATAAATATTAATAATTTAAAGACAGAAGCATCTAAATATATAAGATGTACATGAAAGTTCTGTCCTCATTTTATTTTAAAACTAGAGGTTGAATACACAAGCGAATACTTGTCTTGAATGTTCCGTATTCAGTGCTGATTTGTTTAAGAAGAAAAAAGAAAGAATTCTATCTGACAAAATACAAATGTGAGTGACACGAAATCTTGTTTCTTTTCAAGTTGGGCAAGACAACAACAAAAGTCAATATGATGATTGATGAGGCCTACAAAGATGGTCGGAAGCACTAAATGTTGTGAATGGTTTGCAAAGTTTAAGAAAGGAGAATTTGAATTGGAGAACAAACCATGCAGTAGTAGTTACAAGTCCATAACTAAGTAGGGAGGCCTGAGGGAACTGGCCCCTTAAAAAATCATTTGCACCTCCCCAACAGAAAATTTTATAAATTTCTGCTATGTATATACAGATGCTTGATAAAATGTTATTGGTCCTGACCTGGCATCTCAGTTTCAGTGACCTTCTCACAGGTGTAATGTAGTTTCCCTATGTCTTTTCTATAAATATTTTCATGATAATAGCTCTGATGAGCTTTCCTCTTTGGTACCTCAATTTTATGCGTTTAAGCACCAGATCAGCTTCTAGGTTTCATTATTTTATATAAATTGATAGATGTAACTGTATCTTCAAAAATTTAAATGCAGTGGAACTCTCTTCTGGATTCTTGTTTTCCATCTTGTCTTCAAAAATTTTAAATGCTTAATTCATCTTGTTTCTTTTCCTGTTCTTTTATTGTTCTCTCTCCTTAATAATTTTTATTCTCATATTCTTTCACACTCATTAACCACTTTCATCTTAGTGGCTTTATCACCTTACTTGGAGTGAAATGATTAAAACTAAAATTAAGTATGTAAATTCTTACTTGCCTACCCTTTAGAATTCAACTTGCCCAAACCTGTCCCATAAATATTGGCTCTCAATGTTCAACATGCTGTAACCTGTCCCATATATACTCTTCCATATGTGATGACATCATTGCAAATAACACAGGATGTCATGTGAGACTTTTAAAAGCTGATATTTACAGGGTGGGTTTGAGCGTGTTGAATGCTAAAGGTTGTCTGCTACTATTTAAAACCATCTGGTGATTAGCCTGGGTTGTCTATAAGAATTTGGAAGTGAGGCTTGGAAGCTCTTTTAGATGATGGCCTCACTTAGTCAACAATGGAATTGGCTGAAAACCTTATTCTATCACTTGACATTTTTGTAAAATATGGGTACAATTCAAAATGCAAGAAAATAATTGAATTTATGCTCAATATATCATTTTCTATTAGACCATGATTCTTTTCATAGTTTGCCACAATAATTGGTAATGACTCAAACTTGTTTTTAGTCATTTATCATGTATGTGTCCATTTCTTCTACCAGATCCATAACTTTTGTTTTATTAAATTTTCAAATCAATTTTTGTTGCTAAACAAATTTGACACACTGTTCTAGTGGCAACTTTAGTCATTTGCCAATATTCCTCATTTTCAAGGCTGTTTACCAATTACATTTGGATCAAATCCTCGTCAATTGACTCATTTTCTGCTCTCAGTTTCTCAAATTCACAATTTTAAGTGGCATGTTTCAAACAAAGAACATAGTCAATAACTGGTTCATTCATTTTTTGAGAAATGTTCATGAAATTATCTCTCTCTGTATTCACTAGCTTTTTTTGGGTGCTATGTTTTTCCCTATTAGTTGACTTATATCATCAAATATCATTTCCTCCAACTATCTTGGGTGTGCAATTGCTGATAATTTTATAATGGCCTCACAACCAGCAGTTGTCAAGAAGAGATCAGTTATTTGGTTTTCTTCTGCAACTGATTTTAAATCCTTCAGATCTTTTTGTTCTAGCTTTAGCTGCTAGACTCTTAAGTCAGGCCTGTGCATACTGATAATTATCAAGTGACTAGCAGCATGACCCGGTATTGCCCGTGCTTGATTCAAAAATCGTACAACTCATACAGCAATTGCTATCACTTGACTTTAAATATTTTTGCCCTTCCTTGCCTTTAAAGAAGTGCCCTTTGCCATGCTGATGTTGCTACATGCCTTACTTCTTGCCTATCTCACACTGCAAATTTTTTCTAAGCTTATACTAAACATTAAATCTGTTATGAAAAAAGAACTAAACAAAATGAACACAAAACAATCAGCTTTAAAAAAAGGACTCGTAACTGGAAAAACTGAATGAAAAAAGAATGTTAACAACAAATACTTTTTCACACCCAACCCAGTTTTGCGGAATCAGAATCAACGTTGAGTTTAAGCAAGCGAATGAGCCAATTGGAGTAAAGTGCCATGGCGATTTAAATTTTTCCCACTTGTGATGAATGCAGCTATCGATTTTTTTTGCATGCTAGCATGCTAGTTAACATTTGTGTCAGTCACCTGCTGGCTCTCACGCTGACCAATAGAATCTTCCTGCCTATTCGTGGCAGCCAGCTATAGGCTCTCACTCTGGCCAGTAGAAAATGGCCGCAAACTACATGAAAACTGCTGTAGAAGCATGAAAAAATTGATTATTTCCACTATCGATGGGAGTTGGGAAATGCAAAGTCAGTGTTGGCCTTCCCGCTAACTTGGAGCATGTGCATGTAAATTTTGGTGCAAATCCGTCGAAAATTGTGTCTGTGCATTCATTACACACACACACACACACATCCTGCCTTTTATAGATAGAGATAATTGTTAATTTGGTTCTTTAGATATCAGCGACGCCATTGTAGTGTAGTGTTACTGACTCATGGGAAGTAGTATGCACTCAGCTGCCACATGGGTAATAGCCATAGCTATTTATAGTCTTTGTGACGTCCTATGTAAATGAGTCACCTCACTGAACAAAGCGTTGGACAGCATTTCAACAATTGCATTTCACTGGCCAATATCAGGCTACTGTTTTTCTTTATCATAAATTCTGTTTCTTTTAAATCCTATCCAGATAGCCAAATGAAGTTGTAGTTATCCACAGTACATGTTTATGGATTCTGTGTAACATATGGAATAAACTAATTAATTTCTCTAAGACCCCATTGGCATAAAATCTTTTAGCAACATATTTATAAAATTTATTTGGTAAGTAATTGTCAAGACATTTCATATGAATAATAAAAACAGTTAATTTACACTTTGATTTAATTTTTTTCATAATGATGTTCACCCAAGCATGTATTGTCAGTGATAGTACCTTTGCAGTAAAACAATTGATGCTACTTTACTCAGATGAATTGGGACACTTGGCTTCAAGAAGTTGCATGGGTATTGTGATGGCTATACCCAGATTGATGTCATCAATCTGCTAGCTAAACTGTGTGAGAGTAGTTGGAAGGGTTTACTGATTCAACCAGTGAAGAAGAACAACTCTGCCAAACCTAGCTGTGCCAAGCAGCCATTGGCCAGTCACCAGCCTGGGCATAGGAGCTGCACCTTAGAGGTAAATGGCTTTACCAGTGGGCAGAGGAACTTCTGAGAGGAGGGACATGGTAACCTCAACATCCCTAGTTCAAAAGGAAGCCATTGCACTATTTTGCTTTGAATGTCACTATGAACCACAATTACAGCAAGTAGAGGAGTGATCACAGTTGTTCAAAATGTACTAATTGAATAAATAATGCTGATGATGTTCATCCTGTATAATGCCTAGGAGCCACTCAAGGTAGAGAGTTACAGAATAAGATGTACTGTTTACATGGATATATATGAAGATAATGGTTATCCCCTAGACTTGAATGGGTTAAAATTGTAGTGATTGGGAAAGCATTCTTTTGGGAGTCAGTTTCACAAAGTAGCAGTTCATGGGAAGAAGCTGTTTGAGTGGGACTTATATCTCACCAATGAAATACAAAGGGAATGAGGGTGTTTTGCTACAATGTGGGTAGCATAGGAGGTCTTAGCCATAAAGGTTAGAACTGGTTGAACTAATGGAAATATTGATAGAGCAGTGAAAGGCTTGTAAAATTTCATGTGAGAAAGGGGTTGTAGGGTGGAGGATAATTTGTCACCCACAAGGACGTGGAGATGCTTTTTTAATAAGGAGAAAGATGTAAGTCAATCAGTGAGTAAAATCAAAATAATGAACATCTTACCTCTTTGTAGGTCTTCTTCATGCTGTTGTAATTCCTTACTTTGTTTTGTTTCATAATCAACTCTCAACTTTATCTGAAAATTGAGAAGAATTTAATTACTACTTTTTCTGATGCCAGTCAGTTTATAGTCTGATTTGAACCTGCATCATTCACTTCAAATGTCCATTACCATACATTTCATAATAACAATAATTATCAGAATAAAAGAAATCCAGGCAAATTTGAACCTACATGCCTGCAAAAAAAAAAAAAAAAAAAAAAAAAAAAAAAACAGTCTAAATGATGGTTTTCCCTTGACACTGCTATTATTTATTAACTACCTTCACTCCTTGGCAATATTTATTGTTTTAAAAACGATTACAATTGTAATAAAACCTAAAAATATGTTGAAACTGAATTTATAGTTTTTCGTTCTTGAGAATTTACAAAAAAATATTAAACTATTTGTTTATTTACAAGAATAATTTTATATAAATTGAATACAATTAAAACTAATGCAATACAGTATTTATCATTTACTAATTTACCAAAGTACTGAAAGCTTCCAAATTTGTGCTTTTTTCCTTTCTATTTGTAGATAATGTTCTAAGTTTGGTTGGAATAAATATGGAAATATTAACAAAATCAGCTATATTTTTCATAAGTATTTTCAATAGTTTTTTTTTCAGTATTGTTTTCATTCCTTTTTGTGCTTGGAAATTTCCTTTGGAAAAGATAAAATAGATTAAACAAATCATAAAGAAATCTTACATCATCTAAGATTTTCTGTTTTTCACTGAGGATACCAGCATTTTTTTTTGTTATTTTTCCTAATTTTTCAGTGAGTTTCTTTCTGAAAAGCAAAGACACAGATAAATCAGTTCATGACAAATCTATTTAACATCTGATTATGGAAAACAGGTTGTGAATCTTTCATGAAATCCTGAAATAAAACACATATTTTCATTAAGTAGAACTGTTAACTGACTTTAACTCTCTGCACAGTACTACATTGGCCAGCCAATTCTGAATATTACACAAATCATAATAATCTTGTTTACATTCATTTTAAAGCAAGAGATGAATTCGCTAATATAAAAAAGAAAGCTAATCCTTTCCTCTGTTATTCATTTCCATCTGTAACGCATTTCTGTATTTTCAGAACATATTTCTTCATGTCATTATTTAGTGGCACCATACATTAAAACTGACTCTACAAGCTCTGTCTGAAGTTATCTGGTAGATCTGATTTCCAGATTACATCCATTTTATTCAAGGCAGACATTAACTAAAACCCTTGAGTCTAAGCTTGATGGAACCTACACTCGGATGCTGAGAGCTCTACTTAACAAGGACTTGAATTTGTGAAGTCCATGAGCAATCAATTCACTAGACAGTGATAATAATCTGCTTGACTAGCATGCTCACCATTGTACTTTATTCTTACATTATTTGTATTTCTAATGAGCTTCCATGTTTAGATATTTTTGTATTGTAAGTCTTCAGCAAAACTCTTAACTAATTTTAATTGCTAAAAAAACAGAAAAGAAACCTTACCAGTGAATTAGTAAACAATGTATTCTGTACCAAACATTCTAAACTAAATTTGAAATTTCTTATTCAAAATTATTGATTTATCATATTTTCCAAATTGTTTCAAAGAGAAAAAAAAAAAAGGTTATTATGATTGATGCTCATTTTGGATTACAACGTTAAAAAAATCCTGAATTATTCTGGTAAGGTTGCAAATATTTTCCAAATTAATTTTATCGTTAATGTTGTGTACGATACACCTAATTTACATAAGTGGAGTACTGACCATATAAATATGGGTTGGTACCGGAAGACGGGGGGGTTAGAAGAAGACATCGAATCCAGAGACTCTGCCCGACTGCGATTTAGTCAACCCATTATGCAGGAACAGTCTTCCCAAGAATATACCAAAACTAACTGTAAATATTGTGTACCTTTTCCTTGTTTCAATACATTTTGTTTACGTACATTTTGTGTTGTATTATTATTATTCCATGCTTATCCAAGTTTCAACAGTTAATGATGACATAATTGAAGAGCTTAATGCTTAATTTCACTAATATTTTATAAAATGTCTTAATTATGGTGGTTTATTATTAAAAAGGGTGTATGTGTACATAACGTAATGGTTATCAGTCGAAAAAGTGGGATTGGTGTATAAAGTTCAAACTTCATCTGAGACTGTTGTATTTGCTTTCATACAATTACCTTTGAGAAAAATAGGAATCTATCTCTTCTTGCTTAGTTAAGGGTTAATAGCAGGGCAAGCAGGGCGTTCTAGTCAGAGCACTTTACAGGGAAGTAGCGATAAAGCAGTGTGTATAATATATGTGTGTGTGTGTGTTTTTACTGAAGGTTCATGCTGTACAAGGCCTGAGGGTCACTTCAGGTAGAGGGTGACCTTAAAGGGTACTTTATACAGATTAGATACAGGTTAAGATTGCAGTGATCAGGAAAAAATCCTCTTGCTACAATGTAAGAGACATGGTGGGTCTGAGCTGTGAAGATTAGACCTGGTGGAACCAAAGAATGTAGTTTTTCTGAGTACTTTCCAAGTAAATAGAAATCAAGTAGTGAGAGGCTTGCCATGTCTTGCTGAGGGTAGAAATAATTTTTCACCCACGAGGACTTGGAGACGCTTTTGAACTCTATCATGACTGGAAAATGAGGACTGGGCAGATCCCAACCGAATATGACAACAGTACTTAATTTTCAGTCTGATTTGGTTTTTGTAAAGGTAGAGGACAGCATGAAGAGTCAGGTACTTACTGGAGAAGTACAGGGAGATGACTATTTTACCTGCATATTTAGCAATAGATTGTATGTACAAGTTCTGTTTGAGGTCAGGTGTGAGATTGAGGCCCAATAGCCTCCTTGAGGGGACATTCATTCATTGTGACTGGCAGTAGTTTGGGGTCTAAACAGTGCTGATGGAATGTAACTAGTAATGTATATACAAACATTACTAAAGAGGAAGTGCAATGAGGCATTGTCATATTTGCACAGAAAACAGATTCTGTAAATAGTGTTTGAGCTTTGGCCAAAACTGCTTACTTTCACATAATAACAATGCTGTTGAGAAAAACATGAATACAATTTTCCTCCAAGGGCACTTGGAGTTATTTAACTATATAAGGTAGTCCAGCTAAGAAAGATTACAATAAAAAAATAAATAAATCCTACAACTTGGCAGTTGCCTTAGCTGGACTGAAGCCATTGTGAAGTTGAGTGAGCTGGGCACTGTACCAACTTCTGGGCTCTATAAAAACCTGCATCTGCTACAGAAACAATGACTAAAATCTGCAATGAACAGATCTCATATTATTAAAAAAAAAAAATGAATAAAAATGTTGCCCAATAAACCTTGAATGTATTTATGTTACATATTTACATACAATATGGGTACTTCAACATGGTGTAATGGTTAGCAAGCTTGTCTCATTAGATCCATTACAACTGAATATTGAGTTCAATCCTCATTGGGTGCCCCATACTACTGGCCATGTGCCACATCTAAGCTATACTTAGAAAATCATCATATATACATACAATGTGCTGACATAGATATGGACTGATGATTGCATACAAGCATGAAATAGACTGTCACCACTGGGTGTTGACTTCAATGTCCACTTTTACATTTAGATATCTTACTATTAAGATTAAAAAAAATCTTATAAGAAATAATTACTTTGTTAGGACAATTTAATACCTTATTTATAGTGGTCTGTCAGGTTAATACCATTTTCACCTGAAGTCTTTTTCCCCTCATGGAATATACCAAACAAGAGCTGAAAATGGATGCTTTACAACCATATCACATTGAAACTACCATTTCCCATAAGATGAGCAATGTTGAACCTGATCTGCATGTAGATGGGTGACTGCTTGGGAATACCATGTGTTGTAGGCTTGAATGTGCAGGTGGTGTAATGGATAATGGGTCAGAATTGTTAATCAGAGAACCGAGTTCCAATTCCAGTTGGGTTTGTTATATTCACTTACATGCATATACTTTTGGGAAAAATGAATCCATCTCTTTATCCCCGTAAAGCTATGTGTCAATTAGTAAGACTTGTATCACTAAAAACTGCTCATCAGTGTTATATGTAAGGTATGCTGGTGTGGGTAATGGATAGCGGCTCCCTTAACTATGGGTTAATTAGTAAGCCTTGTATCACTAAATCATTATTATCTTTGGAGATAATAATGATTTAATGATATAAGGCTTACCAAAGAAAATTCTTACAATCTAAAAATATTTTCTGGCTTTAAATAACATGCAAAGTGTTGATTGGCTGTAGAAAACAAATCAATCAATCAATCAGGATGAAAAATGGTTTGGTCAAAATATTAACATCATTATAAATTAACATATTAACAAAAGCAAGTAAAAAAAGAAGGATTTTAATTGTACAAATAATATTAGGTATGTTAATGATAGTTAAGCAAGTAAAGAAATAAGGACTTTAATTGTACAAATAATATTAGGTATGTTAATGATAGTTAAGCAAGTAAAGAAATAAGGACTTTAATTGTACAAATAATATTAGGTATGTTAATGATAGTTAAGCAAGTAAAGAAATAAGGACTTTAATTGTACAAATAATATTAGGTATGTTAATGATAGTTAAGGATAGCAGACCAGAATGAGAAATCAGAGAGACAACTTTGAGTCCCAGTTGAGTTTGTTATATTCGCTTACACACAAATACCCTTGAGAAAGGCATGAAACTATCTCTTGTTGCACTAGCTATGGATTAAATAACAGTACTTGTATCTGGAAAAATCATTATCACAAAAAAAATTGTTAATGCTATGTGATTGTAAGAATATTGCTTTTTGTGATAATGATTTTTCCAGATACAAAAAAAATTATTCTTACAATCTAAAATGTTTTGGCTTCAAATAATCTACAAAGGTTTGATAAACTGTAAACAACAAATCAAACAAAGTTATAGATAATAATTACTTTGTGTTTGTCAAATGCTCCTGGGCAGTTCTTTCAGCCTGAATCTGAAGAATCAGATGTTGATTCTGTTTTTTCAGATCCAAAAGAGCCTTTTCTTGGATTTTTTCATTCTGGAAATAAAAAATACAAGAATTAAATTTACATTGAGAAAATAGATATTCATACTTTTGAGTAAACAATAATATTGTACTTTTTTTTAATAATGAGTTCATGAGATCTTCAATAAGCCCTACTCTTTAGATCAGTCATGGGCAAACTGTAGTCTACAGGCTGCATGTGGCCCATTTGGCTTTCTGAATGACATGCCTGATTTCAAGAGAAAAATAATGTTTAAAAGTTTCTTTGTTTTATTTCATTCTTCCTTGTTCATTCACACACTCTCATGCATAACAATGATTAAATATGTTTCTTGAATTTTGTAATCTTTTGTTGAAGATCTTCAACATTTTAAACCACTGACGATTTTCACTAAGAAAATCAAGTATGCAAACATCTTTTGTTTTGAAGTTGGTTCTCTGTGTTGTGCCAGAAAGTCTTTCTCATCTGAGTCCATCCTTCAAATCTATAACTCAACCATCTGTCCTTGCATGGAGTATTGCTGTCATATATGGTCTTGTGCTCCTGGCTGTACATTTCAAGGACCTTGACAAAATCCAGAGATGAATATGCAATGTGATAGGTCCTTATCTGGCATCTAGTCTACAATTCCCACAGATGTGCTGTGGATTCCCTCTGTCTTTTCTACAAATATTTTCATGGCAACTGTTCCGACAAGCTACTTTTGCTGGTTCCCAGACTGTATGAATTTAAGTGAGCTACCAGGCTGGCATCTTGGTCCTACCCTTTCACTGCTGAAATGGTTAAATATAACAGTCTCTTCTACTCAAACAGCTTCTTCTCTTGCACTTCCTGTCTGTGGAACTCCCTTCCCCTTACTTGCTTCCCCAATGACTATAATCTTCAAATATTTAAGTGCAATGTCAATCGAGATCTGACACCCTGAGCTTGTTCCCTGATCTTCTCTGTATCCTTTCCTCAAACAAACCTCTTTACTCTTGTTCTCAATCCTCTGTAACCTCTTGTGTGCTAGTGGCAGTCCTGCCTTGGTTTGGGTGAATTGCTAAAAAAAAAGAAATAGGAATTGTTCCTATGGTAAATTGCAATGTACAAGTTGACCTCAAGATTTTTTGCTCAAAATTCTGATTTAGGCCTATACTTACTGTATAGGTTGACCCGCAAGCATATGGTAGGCTACCAGTGGCTCAAAACTTAGGCCTACTGGTAAATGAAAATTATGCTACAGTATAAGATAATCTGCACCAAAACTAGATAAGGTCACACCATTTACCTGTATATTGAGACACTAATCATATCTTTCTATATGTGTTATATAGAAAACAACCTACAACACACATTGATAGGTACCATCTAATGTATTGGTATAACTTAGTGAACATTTAAAATTTGTCAGGTCTACTAATAAACACTTTAAAGTCAACAACAACTCCTATAAAATATTAATGCCATAGATTATACATCATACCAGTTAGTTTTTTTGTTTTTTTTAATAATACTGCTATGTATTGTATGTTATTGTAAAACACATCATCATTCATTCACCATTTGTATCAGTGATGTAAACAAACAACCAGTGACACCATCAATCTCATGCGGCAAACTACAAAACTGTGTGTTCACTACATTATCGACATGCATACCATACCTAGTTGTCTGAATGGCCACCTGAGTTAAAAGGCACTTCAGTCAGTGTCGACACTTAGTGTATCAGCCGTTTGAGGCAATGTGTGCTGTAGCATTAATAGAATACTGAATTTAGGTTACTATTGTATTATTTTATATTAATTTCTGTATTAATATGTTAAATATATCTCACAAACTTTAATAGGATATATTTGTTTGTTTTTTTTTATTTGTTTGTTTAATGGCATATCAACTCCTTATGGGTCATTTAATGCCAAAATTTAATTTTCTTGGGAGCATTAGTAATTTCTTTGACAAATGTGTTGCTGGTAATTTTTAAAAGTTTTTTTTACAAAAATGTATTGCTGGTAATATTTTTTAATATGAAAATGTATTTCTGGTAATATTTTTCAATATGAAAATGTATTGCTGGTAATATTTTTTAATATGAAAATGTATTGCTGGTAATATTTTCTATAAAACTTTTTATACTTTCATAGTGTTTTGACCCTAGTTTGGGTGTTAACTATTTGCCCATAGCTGGAAATCTAACTGTGTCAGGGCAGACCTAGGAACAACAGCAATTAAGAGGTGGTTCCATGCTTCTCAAAACCTCCTGATCAGAGGCCTTGTTGCTGGATGTAGTTTATTGTCATACCTAGGATGAGGATATATTTGTAACAGCCTACATGAAATATGGTAAGTGGTGTACCGTAATTGTTAGGAGTGTTTTCCCCACTTGTTTACAACTTGGTGGTAAATGTTTGTAATTTATAACTGCCATATAAGTAAACCCCTAGTTTTGGCACAATTTATAGTAATAATTTTTTCTTTTTAGAAGAAATATATTCTACTTTTAAAATTTTTTTTCATATATTCAATGAATAAATTAGAAATAAATCTCTTACAACAGAGTGTGTTAATCACGTGGCTATCAGTGACAATATTATACAAGGACTTCATTTTTTTAATTATCAAAAAAAACTTTCTTTTTTTTCCCCCCATTTCTAAAGGCTAATGCTTAAGCATGTCGTCTTCTGTATGGAAAATGTCTGAGGTAACTTCAACAAAAAATTAAATTGAATTCTTTTGTAGTGCAGCCTGCCTTATGTAGCCTACTGCTTGAAAAAGGTTACCTGTGTCTGCTTTAGATCCTATGTATTCTCATACTGACTAGTTCATGGGACCTTCAATAAGCCCTACTCTTTAGATCCAGTGTATTTTTATATTAATGATTTCATATCTTCAATAAGACCTACTCTTTAGATTCAGGGATTGAACACACAATTACTATATCACCAAATCCCTGGAACAATAGCCTAGTAGTTTAAAGCATTGGTTAATGAATTTCGTGAAATAGTAATTGTGAGTTCAATCCATGGGCCAAGCAGTGTACTTGGATTCAGTGAAAAAATAGCAAGCAATAACTGAGCAGTACTAAAATACAAACTAGATATCTCTAGACATGAGCAGTGGAATGAGAACAATCACCCCCTGTAGATTAAATAAAGGGTTCAGTACAAAACTTCCTCTAGGTTACTCGGATTACACCTGATGACAACCTGAAAGCATAATGGGCGAAATGCTGTGATAACAACAACAAAGATGAGGATAATAGTTCACATGTAAATAGTGTATGAAAAGTATTTTCACTTTTTTTTTTTTTTAAAAAAAAACAGACTTTTGCACCAAAGTTTATTCCATGTACACATCTAAATTCTATCTATGACTAAACTATTAGTAAGTTATGGCTGGCTTCTTGTTTCTGAATATGTCTATCTGCTAGAGTAACTAGCTAATCTCAGGCAGATTTGCATTTCTTCAAACACACAGCTGATCTATGGTTTATAGCACCACTATTCTAAAGGTACCTTTGATACAGTTTCTAAAAGTGAGCATATAATCTGGTATGATCAGTAAGTGAACAAGCTCAATATGCTTGAACCCTTGGTCACAATGACTTGTGATTTTATGCTAGCATAACTATTAACATTCCAAACAGTTCCATCAATTAGAAAGCTTGAGTCAACCTGTTGTACAGCTTTCAGGCCCCTTCCAATGACGTTGCAAGCCTTGGCTGATATTATCAAGAAGTTACCATCTTGAAAAATTGACAATAGTGAGATTCTAACCTGGGTCACGTAGTCAGAATTCTGACATTCAAGCCAATAATATGAATACTGTTATTAAGTATTTAATTATCAATACAGTTCAGCTGTAACTTTTATGTCAGATCTTATAATAGCAGCAATCAGTATTGAGATTCTGACAATGTTGATTAGGATTATTGAAAACATAAGTTAGAGAAGAACTTAAGCATCAGCATTCAAAAACTTTCAAAAATTTTCAAAAGATACAATATAGAGAACATTACATAAGCTTAAAAAAACATGTTTGTGACTTATTAAATAAACTGTTTATTTCTAGAGTAGTCTATGGTAATGGTAATATTAGCAGTTTCCTTATAAGGAAGCATCCAGCATCCATTAACCAAGCAGCCAGTGCTATTTTCAGTAGAAATTTATAAAATATTTTTCTTAAAACAATTTTTCAGGAAAATAGGTTTCTCAAGTACAGTAGCTGTTATTACTCTTTCCAGTATTGATGGGGGTTTCCTTCTATTTGAAGTAGTCTTGAATGTTAACATCTTGATTAAGTCATTATTTTCTCTCCGAGTTACATGTGCTATCCATTTTAGTTGTTGCCGCTGTTGGTAGTCCTCAAACAATGTAATTTCTGTTATTTGGTACAGTTTTTTGTTTGTAATTCTGTAGCTCCAGTCCACAATATTCAAAGAACAATAGTCTTCACCAAAATCCACAGGCTTTACTTGCTCAAAGTCATTTTTAACCATTGATCTTAGAAAGTGACTGTATACAGAAATACAGACCTTAGAAAGCAGTTGTATGTATTTCTGAATGGGTTTGGTACCATGCATGGCATCCATATTAAAGTCTTGATCTATTGAGGCTATTTAAGAACATTACTTGAGTTTTCAGCTTAATGTTTTAGTTTTGTAGCAATTTGCAAGGTTGGGTGAAACTATCTCTAGTGAAACTTATTTCCTTATCCTCTATGCTAAATTTGTTTTAACTGATCCATTCACCAAGCTATATGAAGTATTTAGTATTTACTAATTTCACATTCTGAATTTTATGACATATTCAGGGTATGTGCCAACACTGCTTTCATTCTAATTACAGATCATAGTTTTTGTTTTGGAAAGATTTTGATTTCTATTTCTTGGAATACTTGATAAATGAAACAGCAGATAATTTTTTTTTAACAAACTTCTGCTAAAGTTTATTATGTGGGGAAAATTGTGAAAATAGCCTACCTTGGAAATGCCTGCGAATCTGTGCAATGTGCAAACTCCAGTTTGCTAGCGGTAAAAGGAACCAAAATGGCGGTGCCCATGTTTTATGCCGGGCGGTCTCGGTTAGTTAACGCGAAATCTCGTTGTCTCGTCATTCGCATGCAAATCGTGGTCAGTCCTCAGCTGTATAAAGCAGGCGCATTTTTCTGTTTGAGATCAGAGGGCTTTTGGCTCGTGAGAAGGCTGGACGTGTGACACCGATTTTGTCGGTTACCCTCCTCACGTTTTTTTGTTCCTACCTGCTATTATCAGTTGAGTTGTTGTGTTACCCCCACACATGCATACATCTGAAATTTATGTGTCTCCTGTATATTTTGTATATTTTATTACTATATATATATATATAGATGTATCATATTATCATAGATGTGTCATTTCATTATCATGTATGTATCATATTATTATAGATATGTCATATCATTATCATGGACATATCATAACATTATCAATACTATTCATCTGTTACTTTTGTTTCAAATGTTATAATAGCAGATACAAGTATTAAAATTCTGACAATAGTAAGGTATTATTTATAACTGTGTTGCAAAGCTGATGAAGGTTTTTCTTACTAAAGTTCACCCAAAGCAAAGAGCTTCATTGACATTTGCAACAATTCATCATGATTAGAGTAAACTTAGATGCTGCTCAGTGATAATGAAACATTACTAGCTTGGTTTTTGAATGTTACAAGTCAGTCTTTCCTCCATTGAGCTGCCAAAGCTAGAGTAGAGTTCAGCTGATGATTTTGATTTTTGGTGGTGCACTCATAAACTGCCTGTGGTATCATCTGCATAGACATTTGCTAATGTTCTGAGACTTGCAGAATTCGAGAAGTGGAAGAAATAAAACAATATCTGACTTTGTTGCCCAAAATTGGTATATGCCATTTAAGGATGGTTATTTGTCTCTTCAAATAAATCCCAAAAGTGAACAACCATTATTTTTTGAGGATGATGCTTTAAAATGCAACATAGAGAAGAACTCAATCACTAGCACTCAAAAACTTTCAAAAGAGCTAAGATCAATAAAAGATATCATATGTAGATAATTACAAAAGCTTTAAAAAACATTCAGTTGATTAATAAAAGGAATAATTTTATACATCCCAATTTTTTATATGCCACTACTCAATGTTGATCGTTTTTTTGTGTGTGTGGGGGGGTATTGGTGAGCAGGTTAAGAAATTCTATAGTGTATCATAAAGGTACTAACTCTTTGTAACAGACAAGGTTGCTGTGTTTCAAAATAAATGAGTTTAATATGTGGAGGGCTTTTATATAAACAACATAGCTCACAAAAGAAAATTCATGTGTTTAGATGTAGTGTCTGTGTGTGCCACATGGTTGAGTGAAATTAAGAAGTCAGCTTGCTATGCAACTTAATTTCCTGAAAGAAGATGACTAGACATGTCTTCTTGCTACCACATCCTGGGGAAAAAAAGAGGAAGAGTGTTTCATATCCATTCCTATTATAGTCCTGAATAGTATGCCATTTAGTTGGCATCCTGACAGACCAGGTGGGGCAATTCCCACAATAGCAATAACCAATTTTGTTGGTGTCGATTCAGTTGTATTCCTTCTCTAACAAAATTTGGATTTGATATCTCTTATATACAAAGCAGATGCAGCAATTAACAAGATGCATTGTGACATACTACACAGTGCATGATATATAATAATGAATAGTAACTTTTTCTTTGTTTTTCTGTCCATAATTTCTGTCATTCTAAAGCAAATATGGAAAAATAACAAATTAATCCTACACAGTTTCAGTAAGAAGCAGTTGAGTGCCATTTCCAAGGCACCAATGTTTTGCTGTTTGAACAGCAGGGTAAAATTAAATTGCAAATATTAATATGCAGAACACATAGATCCTAGACTAAGATCACAGATACTACACTGATCCCAGCACAGATACTCTGATCATAGACAGAAATACTGATCCATATTGTTACATTACATGTTATCTCTGGATTGCAGTTGGCTGCTTGCAATTCCTCAATGCTGCATCAACAGACTGAATCAATAACAGATAATTTTCCTCAGATTTTTTTTGTTTTACTTTGAGGAGGACATAGACATTTCTTGGGGGAAGTGAAAGATACAGGAAGAAAGAGCAGATGTCAGCAATAGTATAGTCAACTATAGCCAATTTGAAAGGTTATAGCATTTTTGAACAAATTCAGTCAAATCATGAAATGAAAGTTATCCTAGACAGCCACTCTTTTAGATCTTTTTGTACTTACGTAGGTGTACCCCAGGGCTTCTTGGACCTAATTTGTTCCTAATTCTCATCAATGATTTCCTGATGGAAGCTGTCAACTTGGTATCAATGCTGATGGCACAAACATTTATTTCTCTCTCAATAGTAAGTCTGATCAGATCAATAAGGTCAAATTGGTAGCTGATCTAAAAAATTACCTACAGTCTGTTGACTTCTTCCACACCTAGTAACCCCTTGTATCTTAGTGACTTTGTTGTCTTGCCTGGGGTGAATTCGACTTAAAAAAAAAAATGTGTTTGGTAGGACTGTGTTGATTTGGCTCACATTTAGTTGCCACCAGTCAGTGTTAAGATTGCAGTAGATACCAATTATCAGATGTTCTTCTTCTATGTGCCATGTCTTTTCAGAATGTGGGTGATCATGGCTCTCCACAATTTCCTGTCCTTTGTAACACTTAATAAATTTTGTCTTTTTGCTACCTCTCCTAATCCCTGTTATGCCAATAAGATTGTTAGGTAGGTTATGTGTTGCTTTCATGTTCCTCTTGCCTTTAATATGTCATGTCAGTGTCAAATCTTCTAGCCCTTCTTTTATTTAGCCTAGAAATTTCAACTATCTCATTCTTTGTTCAAGGAATTTCAGCAGTCTTTTCCTGAATTTCAGTATAAGTGTTTTTTTGTTGCTACTTTCTTTAAGACTTCCTTGTTGCTTACTCGCCCCACCCACAAAAATTTTAGTATCCTTCTGTAGAACCATATTTCTGCTGCTTCCTGTTTTCTTCTCATCTATGGGGAGATTGTCCAGCATTCACAGCCATATAAGGGGATGGATATCACATAGCAAGCCAGTACTCTTTTCTTTCTTTCTCACGAAATTGTTCTGTTTCTTAGCACCTTGCTTAGCAAATGATAACTCTAAAAAGAACATAATGGTCATGTAAGTGTTCAAATATCCAAGATGGCAGTGAATGTGTTAAAATTAAAGTTAGAAAAAATTTATTTCATCAGTGGTGGTGGTAGGGGGAATAAAGATAAAATTTTTTTTCTTCTTACATTTTGTAATTCCTGCAAAGCCAATTTGCTTTCAGTCAACTCAACATTGACTTCACTCAGTTGCCTGTAAAGAAAAATGTTTTAAAATGGAATGAGTAAATATTAAAATATTATACAATATTTGAATGTTATAAAGAGTAATTATTGACTTCATTTGGTCTGGTCAAGAATTCTTGTCTATTGCTGGTACCTTAAAATCTAATACTACTTGTCATATAATATCTAGGTGGGGAGGTAAGGCACTGTCAAGTCACTTGTTTTTTTTTTTACTCATTTCATCCCATGCAAGTTAGTAAAGCCACTAAGACACAATGGGTTACTGAGTATGAAAGAATAAGAAAAAAGAGAAACATTATTATGGAGTGAGGACAGAAGAGTAATCAAGAAGACAGTAGATAACAGTTGACATTACATTTAAATTTTTGAAGATCAAAGTTGAGTTTAAAGCAAGAAGCTGGAAGAAAGGACTTATGGTTATATCTAGCCATTTCAACTGTAAGATGATCAGACCTTGCTGCCAATATAGTTCTGCACTTAAATTCATGAAGTTTAGGTACCATACTTGAGAGCTAATCTAAACAATTACCATGAAAACATTTATAGAAAAGGTACAGCAAAGCTACATTATGGCAGTGAAAAAGTGGCTGAAGATGAGATGCCAAGTTAGGACCAATAATATTGCTGATTTTTTGTATTTTATCACAAATCTTTAAATATATAGTAGGAGCACTGGGCCATATGTGGCAGCAATATTCAAAGCATGGATAATGGTAGATTTATAAATATGTAAGATAGATTCTAGAGAGAAATATTGTCTAGCACAACACAGTGAACCAAATTTCTTAGCAGAAGACCTAGCAATTGATTCAATATAATCTTTCCATTTCATGTCAGCCAAAAATGTTGGCTCGAGAAGGTGCAATAAATCACTTTCCTGAAGGTTAGCATCAGACATACTGATTGATGGGAGGCAGAAAGGGGGTTGATTAATAGAGAGAAGTTTCATACTGGAGGCATTAAAATTAACAATCTATTCCTTGTCCCTGTTAACAGCAGATTATAGATAATTTTTGAGATCAGCTGTCAGTTTGACCTTATTGAACAGATCAGACTTATTATTGAGATAGGAGTAAATAATTGTGTCATCAGCATAGATACCAAGTTGAGAACTGATGCCATCAGAAAGGTCATTGATGAAAATTAAGAACAAAGTAGGTCCAAGGATAGAGCCCTGAGGGGCCATCTCCAAAGTGTTATTTGTATGTACTAAAGTACAAAAAGATCTAGAAGAGCAGCCATTCAGGATAACTTTCATTTTGTGATTCAATAAGAAAGACTGAATCAGTTCAAAAATTTTTCCACAACCTTTCAACTTGTGAAGAAGACTGGTATGCCAAACCTTGCTGAATGCATTAGAGATGTCCAAAGCAACTGCTCTAGTTTCACTATCTAAAACTTGATACTCCAACATTCCATAAAGGACATTATATTTCAATGACTTCTTGACTGACCAACCAACATTTAGCTCATTAGCCACCATCCCATTTATAGGACACTGGACATTAATGTGCCATAAGTAGAAACCTATAATTAATACCTGACTTAATATTAGATTTTTACAAAAACCTATAATACTAGATTTTGTTCAGAAACCTATTATTAATACTGAATTTTGTTCAAAAACCTATGATTAGTAATATTGATTAATATTAGATTTCTTCAGAGAACTATAATACCAGATTTTACAGTAATCTATAATGCCAGATATTTTCAAAAAACTATAATACTGAATTTTTATTTTTAGAATCATTACCAAATTTTATGGTGAAAAAAATATTTGGGTGGGAGGTAAATTATAAATGAGCTGAATTTCATTAAGATATATATATATATATATATATATATATATATATATATATATATATATATATATATATATCAAATATATGGTGCAGTTCAATTTATATTACAATGAATTATTCATACAAAAAGTAGATTAGTAAAGTTAATGATAACTACCTGAATTTTACCAAAAAACAAAATAATTTCCATGCCTGAGGATGACTGAATGTACAGTTGAAAATACTTGCATATTAAAGAAAGACCTTATACAGTTTATAATTTTTAAAAACAAGGATCATAACATTCATCAAGTGATTTGTAGGTTAATGTATCTTTAAAATTTTATCTGTGAAAGGATTTCAACATTTTATATCATTAACTTTACTAATCTATTTTTTGAATGATATTTATTATATAATGATTCATATATATATATATATATATATATATATATATATATATATATAATATTATATTAAAAAAATTTACTTGTATATATTAACTCTGTGCATTTTCTTTCAATCCTCACACAAAGGCCACATAAATCTAGGGTAGGAACAGAAATCATATGATAACCTCCACCAATTCACTATATATATATATATATATATATATATATATATATATAATGTATGTATGTGGATTATATAGTAAACAAATATGGCATCAATATTTGAAGAGAATGTCAATATAACTATAGATTTGTGCAGAAAATACCATTTTCCCTTGTAAGAGGCTGAAGGTGTGTGCTTGCTGATGTCATTTGCAATGAAAGAAGTGTGCCTATCTCCATTATGAAACTGAAGCCAATTCTATTCACATATAAAGTTTGAGAAAACAACTCGGATTTACCACTTAGAAGATTTACATACGAACATTAAAACTGGCATATAGTTATATAGCTTTCGAGCAAGTTGACAACAGGGATAGTGATAGCAGATGAGAACTGGCAAAGTTAGCAGTGACAGCATGACCTTGTGAACTGTTTTTGTTCTGAGAGAGCCTTTGTGCACAGTTGTGATTATAATTTTCAGACAAAACTGTGTTGTTCAAGTTGACTTATCGTAATCCTTCATACATATCTACAAATAGTTTTTGTGATCAGATTGGTTGAGGTGGTGTTCACAAAAGAAAAGCTACTGGAATAAGAGTTCTTGTTTGTTTGTTTAGCATCATATCAACTCCTTATGAATCATTTAATGCTGAAATTTAATTTTCTTGGGAGCTTTAGTAATTTCTTTTACAAAAATGTTTTACTGGTAATATTTAAGTTTTTTTTTTTGACAAAAAAAATTACTGCTGGTAATATTTGTGTTTTTTTTTTTGTTCAAAAATATATTGCTGGTAATATTTATTTATTTTTGTTACAAAAAGAGTTACTTCTGTTAATATTTGTTTTTTGTTTTTTTTTTTCAAAAATATATTGCTAGTAATATTTATTTGTTTTTTTTACAAAAATGTATGGTTGGTAATTTTTTTACTTTTTTTATAATGCATTACTGGTATTTTTACTATAAAAATATATTTTTATACTTTCATAGTGTTTTAACACCAGTTTCAATGTTCACTCTTTGCCTACAGCTGGGACTCTAACAGGTGCTACCTTCCTGGGTCAGGGTGGACCTGATAACAACAACAATTAAATGGTAGTTCCACGCTCCACAAAACCTCCCGATCAGATGCTTTGCTGCCTCTTTATCTTGACTTCATACTACTTACTTTAGTGGTTGGAGGATACTTAGCTTAAACGGTTGTGATAAAGACAATAAGCTGAAAAAAAAAATTTAAATATACATTTGTAAGTGTAAAGTAAATAAAAAGAATTCCAAATATTCGCTGATACTTACTGACTTACATGGAGATTTTTCTTATCCCATTGTTCTTTCTTCTGTTTTATTTTTTCCTGAAATAAAGAAATACATCATTTAAAAAAGAAAAATCACCAGCAGCCATTATAAAGACATTATTATCTGTCAGCTTGTAATTGTAGAAATTCAGAATGTATAGTGATCAAAATATTTTGTAGAATATTGCTCCCACATCTGGTCTGGTGCTTCTGCTACATATTTAAAGATTCTTGCTAAAATCTAAGCAGGATCTGCAGTGTTACTGTTCCTGACCTGGCATCTCAGCTTGAATCACTTTCCCACTGTGATAACATAGCTTCCCTGTGCCTTTTCTATAAATACTTTCATGGTAATTGTTCTGATGAACTTTTCTGTTCATATTTGTAAATACACATTGGGGTTCTGATTTTAAATTGTTGTTACATTCCCCTCCCCATCCCCACAGAGAAGACTTGTACATACGGGAACTAGCTAGGACTTTCATAGAGACAATGAGGTATTATGGTGGATGTAGTAAGAAAGGTAAGTAAGAATGCATTGTTTTGGTGTTAAGAATATTGTTGTATGTTTGGGTCAGTGATTATGGCTAGCTAAGTTTAATATTAAGACAGAAGAAGACCACTCTTTTTCCCCCCATTCTCCATTTTGACCTTATGCCATATTTTGTATTTTATATACGAATACCTAGACATTATGAATTTAAGCACAGTATTAAAAGTAATGAATTGCTACGTGATGTTTGTCCTCCTATATGGCACTACATGCTGGACAATTTCTTCAAAGTTAAAGAAGAGACTTGAAGAAACAGAAATGTGGTTCTACAGAAGGATGCTGAGGATACCATGGATCAAACGTTAGCAATGTGAAGTTTTAGAGAAAATGGAAACAAAAAGGAAACGTATACATAACATCAGGAAGAGACAGTTGAAATTTTTAGGGCACATAATGAGGAAAGTGGGCTTAGAAAATCTAATACCCACAGGAGAAATTGAAGGCAAGAGAGACAGAGGAAAATGACACATAACCTACTTAGTGAGCTTGAGTAAATGGATGGCAGAACAAGGTGTAGGAGAAATAACAAAATGACAAAATTTATTAAGAGCTACAAAGGAGAGGAAATTGTGGAGAGCCATGATCATTTACATCCTGAAGGGACAAGGCACATAAAGAAGAAGGCTAGATTGGCAGCAAGGTCTGATCATCTTACAGTTGAAATGGCTAGATGTAGCTGTAAGTTCTGTGCTAACAGTTTTTTATATTGCACTTCTTGCTTGTGGAACTCTCTTGTTTTTTGTTTTCCAGTCAACTTTGATCTTCAAAATTTAAATGCAATGTCAGTTGTTATCTTCTGTCTTCTTGTTCTTTTATTATTCTTTCTACTTAATAGTGTTATTTTTTCTTATATTCTCTCACACTCAGTAACCCATTGTGTATTAATGACTTACTGGGAGTGAAATGATTAAAAAAAAAAGATCAAATTGGTTAATATATTTTTCACTGAAAATATTAGTTTCATTAACTAATTCATTGGTACAAAAGAGATAACTTGTTTAACCCTAATCAAGACAGAGGGTTGCTTTTTTTTTCCCTTGCTCATGCACAATTATAGGTATTGATTTGAAACTCCAGATATGTTACTAAAAATAGACCGCTGTGAATAAATTTTGTTTAGTTATTCTGAAGATAATTGTCAATACATTGAATATTCTTATAATTTTCTTTTATATAATTGCTGATATCAGTATACTTTTGCTGATATAAGGATTTTGTAATTTTAGAAAATTACATGTAGTCTTACAATACATGTAGCCTTCCAATACAGGTACTTTATGACTCCAATGCACAAATATTTCAAAGTACATTCAGCACGAATTCTTTGCATTGTAAATGAAGCTATTGCATTGAAGCATTTGGTTTATTTGCTTTTTAAGCTCTCACATTTTTACTGTTGTTTTATGCAGATAAAACAGTAAGATGAGAATTTAAAATAAAAGGTGAAAGAATAATCCTGCAAAGTTTCAAGCCATTATTTAGAGGTTTATGGCATTTTTGGTAGGCAAAAATGCCCCTTAAGTTTTCACAATAACCTGCCTGGGATAGAATTAAGTTCATCACCATTAATTCACTGCAGAAAAGTTCACTGTCATCATATCACCATTGTGAAAGTTCACCATAAAAAGAGAAAAATTAAACAATTTTTTAATGGGTTCTAATTTTATTGATCAATATATTTAAAATATTTTTAAAATAGGGTAAAAGTAAATAATAACTGACATTATGCATTTTAATTTAATTAATTTAATAATTAAAACTTGGGTTTCTAATAACTGATATTATGTGCTATCCTTCTCAAGTAGTCAGGGATACAATTACAGTCATTATAATTTAGAACAAGTCTTCGAATTTGTCCAGCAGAAATTTTTAATTTTGGTTTGGTTTTAGTTGGTCTTTATTTTTTGTTATACTCATTTCAAGCTGTTTAACCATTATGGAAATTTCTAGATTCAGATTATATATTAATTATAAAATTATTAATTATAAAATCTAATGAATTCATATGGTGAAGTTTCTGAACTGTAAACTTTTTTCACAGTGAACATTCTTCCCAGTGAACTCTACTCATGGTTATTTGATGGCGGTGAACTTTCCTCCGGTGATTTGATGACAGTGAACTTATTTGTAAACAGGATTAATACCACAGACAAGATCACTTATCTTAAGACAATGTTCCATACTTTTGTAGGATTTTAACAAATTTTTATGAACAAGGGTGTATCAGAGGTTTCCCCAAACTGTACTGCCATGATTGTACCCTTAAAGTGAAAGACATACTCAGCTAATGCTCTTTGGTACCCAAAGATTTGAGTCAGTCTGCCAATAAGCATTGTGCGAACTACACATATTCAATTATTACACAAGGTTTTTGTAATGCTGTATTGGAATGGTTCTATGATATTTATAGCTCACATATTCATGTAACATGTCTGCATGAAACTAAGTGAAACTTGGTAAATCTGCTACTGATACTCTCAAAATTCTTCATCAAGATTTTAGCAAATGTGAACACAGGTTTTCAAGTGGCATGTGCATTTCAAGGCTGTTCAAGTGATGGTTCAAGATGATGAGTGTACAAGGTAATCAATAACCAGCAAAATGTCAGGAAATTTGAAAAAAAAAAAAATTAATGAACTCATTCATTATTATAGAGTCAGCCTGGAGATCATCATGGAAGACCTGAACATACATCACACTGTTGAAGTTTATCCTAAGAACATGACATTTTGAAGCATGAAAAAGGTGCTGGGATTGCTATTTCCATCTTCAATAAGTCTATTGTGAAAGGATTAGCAATCAAATTTGAATAACCTATAAAATCTTTATTGGAGTAATAATATACTTTCCTTTAAGCCTAATGTAAGAACCTTTTGCTATCATCTTATATACTACATTTATTAGATAGTCTGTTGTATATATTGATTGGTTTGTATGAAAGTACAACAATTTTAAACATGCAAAGAAGTCTTTCTATTTTAATCAATGTTTTTGTTTGTTTTAATGAGAAAAACCCAACATTGAAAGCATACATGGTAATAGTAATGGTTGGCAGCTCATATCCAAGTATGCCTGTCTACTAATACGGTTAGCCTATCCCTGTTGCAGATGCTTACTCAGGCACATTTGTATTTGTTCAACACCCAGAACCCACCTGTGGTTTATACTGCAAATATGTTGAGCAGACCTTAGTTATAGTTTCTGGGAGAGAGAGCATTATCTGGCATGATCAACAATATCTGAACAAGACCAGTATGCTCAAACCCTCAGTTACGATTACTTGTGACTTTGTGCTAGCAATTTAAATTAAAACTTACAAAAATGTATGATCTTACAAAAAAAAATCTCTGCAATATAGATATATATATATATATATATATATATATATATATATATATATATGGTGGACTTTCCCATTGCATTCGATGTATGAGGGTCAAACAGATCAGTTCCTAGGAACCGACAGCCCAGACACCAGCACATATGATTTGATTATAGTGATGAAAGCTTTGTGCAGAAGCAACCACACTTTTTGAAACGCCAAATACAGAGACCTGGTATACTACATACCACAAGGTTCCCAAACAACCCTCCACAGGTTTTGAATTCAGAGTTGTCCTTCTCCTAGACTAATTGCCATCCAAAGATATAGAACCCAGTCTGTCCTGCTATTTACCCATAGCTGGGGGGAGAAGAAGAGAATTCATACCTTTCGAAAGGGTATTAGCACGTAAGTGAATGTAATGGATTCAACTGGAATTCGGACTCGGCTCTGATTTCTCCATCCAAGCCGCTATCCACTACTCCACCGTGCCTATATATATATATATATATATATATATATATATATATACACACACACACACAAAACAGTGTAAACATAGAAATCAACATTGCATGGTAACTGATAGTTTCATGTCCCATCAGATGATCATCAGATGTGTGGAAACTGCTAGTCACCATACAATGTTAATTTCTGTGTTCATACTGCTAATAACAACATATCATTACAAATATTGAGCACTCTTTCCCTACACACACAGACACACCGACTGTGTGTGCAAAATACATTCTTTTTGAGTTTGGGGTCCATCCTTGATTGTAATTCTCAAATTTTTCGCCATCTGAGAATCACTGAAACTCATGCGTTAAATGAAACAGAATCCTAGAAATGATCAAGGAAAATCTATAGAAGAAAAGGCAAGAAGAAAATGGTAAACATTATAAATAAATACATACAATATCACATTTGTAATTTTGTATCTTTCTGTTAGCTTGGTCATGTTCATCATCAAGTTTAGCCTTTAACTCCTGGATTGTCATTTCTGTTTCCACAATCTACAAACAGAAAAGTACATCAACATTTGAATGAAAAAAGTAAATCAAGTTTTATCATTATATTTACTAAAGTTTAGTAAGGCACAAGGTCATATATTGCTTATAGTAGCTGATGGAGTTTGTAAGTGGCCACTCATCTAATTATTAATGATTAACTATGGTTAGTAATAGAAATATCTTCTTTTATATGCTGTTTCCCTTCAGGACATAGTTGATCATGGCTCTTCAAAATTTCCTGTTCTTTGTAGCTCTTAGTAAAGTTTGTCTTTCTGCTATCTCTCCTAATCCAGAATTCAGATAAGTTTTGTTGTGTGGCTCATTAGGCTGTTCAATGGACTGATCAATTCATTTCCTACAACTTATCAACCCTTTTGCAGGTTATTTAAAGCCAGAAAATATTTTTAGATTGTCACAATTTTCTTGTTTTGGGAGAAAATAATGATAATAAAGATCATAATAGTGGTACAAATCTTACTAATTAATCCATAACTAGAGGGAAAAGAGGTGGATTCATTCATACCTGTTCCAGGGGCATTGCACATAAGTGAATATAATGAACCCAACTGGAATTAGAACTCGAGTCTCTGATTAACAATTCTGAGCAATTATCAATTACATCACCAGAACATCCAAGCTTACAGCATCTGTTATTCCCAAGTGGTCACCCATCTAGGTACTGACCAGACTTGACACTGCTTAACTTTGGTGATTAGACAGGAAGTAGTGTTTCAACATAATGTGGCCATAAGCAATTGTACAATGGAGTCCACATTTGTTTGCACTTGGCTTCTTGGGTAACATTATGAAAGTAGATGTTTTTATTAGATGAAACATTGTTGATTATTAATTTTCAGCCAGTATTTCTTTTATTCTTAATTTCATTTGCTTTATTTATACTAGTATCATTAGTAGAAATATCTTGAATTTTTATTAAATGATGCATCGGTAATGATTATTAATTTTTGACTAATATTTTATTCATCTTAATTTTAGTTGCATTCCATTGCATTCAGTCTATGGCTTTTTTTACAGTGGTGTTCATCCTGTAAAAGGTCCTGGTGCCACTTGAGGTACAAGTTTACAGAGTAAGAGGTACAGTGAATATGTGCAGAAGATAACAGTCAACATTAGACTTGAACAAGTTAAGATTGGAGTCTGTTCTACAATGCAGCAGTTTGTGGGAAGAAACTGCTTGAGTGGAACTTACATCTCACCAGGAGCATAATGAAGGGAATGAGGATGGTTTTCTATATTGTTCATGGCATAGTGGGCCTTAGCCATGAAGGTTAGAAGGTGGAACTAAGGAGTGTAGTTCATATGAACACTCCTCATAGAAATAGTGATAGAGCAGTGAGAGGTTTGCGACGTTTCATCTCTGAGAAAGGGGTTGCAGAGCAGAAAATAATTTGTAATCCACAAGTATGTGGAGACACTTTTGGATTCTATCGAGAATGGAAAGTGCTGACTAGGCAGCTTTTGCCTATATATGGCACCAGTACTCCATTTTTGGCCTGATCTGGCTCTTGTAAAGGCAGAGAATAGCAGGAAGACTGTGGTAATTGCTGGATTTTTCTAGCATCTTTTGTGATGGATCATATGTACAAGTTCCACTTGAGGTCTGGTTTCAGTTTAAGTCCCAATAGGTGCTCAAGGCATGGGGCTTCCCTGAAGGAACATCTGTTCATCATGATTGGTGAAAGTTCTGGGTCCTCTTGGTGATGGTGGAAGTTCACACTAGTTTGATCTTTGAGGCATTGAATGTGACCAGCCACCTTTTTTACCCACTGAGCTGCTAGAGTTAGGTCAAAGGAGAGATCAGCTGCCAAGCCCTAGTCATCAAGAGTTTTAGAGGTACACCTATATAACATTGTATCATCAACATAGATATTCACAAATGATTAGAGTATATTCTTATGCAGATCATTTATGTAGAGTAGGAAGAGGATTGGACCAAGAAGTGAGCCTTATTTGGAATAGAAATATGTATGTATTTTGAACAAACAGGGGTGTTTGTTCAAGATACATGAAAGAGAACCAATATGAATCCTATATTCAGCAGGACAAAGGTTACATTTTTTAAAACCTTTTTTTGTAACATTTGACAATTGTATGATGTAAAATAAAAATAAAAAAGATAACATTAATTTAACATTAAACATTAAAATATTAATAAATTAATTACATTAATAAAAATTAAACATTAAAATGAATTAATTACATTAATAAACATTAAAAAGATAACAAAAATTTAACATTAACATTAATAAAAAATAAAAAATATAACATTAATTTATTTGGAATAGAAATATGTATCTTGAATAAACAGGGGTGTTTGTTCATAATACGAGAAAGAGAACCAATATGAATGCTATATTCAGCAGGACAAAGGTTACATTTTTTAGAACTTTTTTGTAACATTTGACAATTGTATGATGTACAAAAAAAATAAAAATAAAAAAAGATAACATTAAACAAACCTCCTGATTGTGTTGTCGAATCTTCTCTCTTGTCTCATTTACATCAATTTGTATCCTACACAAAAGGTAAAAGAAAATTTAATGCCATGCTATGGAGCAGTGTTTAGCAAAATAAACTTGGTGGCCATTACAAATATAGTGAGTTTGATACTCACCAGGTGTCTCAAACCTGTGAACTTGTATTAGAGTTAAGCTTAGTAAATGTGTATACTTCACCATTGATGGCTATTGGCGTGAATAATTCTCCCTAGGTATTCATACTTGTACCATATAAAGCTAAACTTAGCAAATATAGCTGCCATACCATAAAGTGATCCTCATGAGGTATCCCACTCTGGTGGCCTTGTATCAGACCAGGCAAAGCTGAGGAGACATCAACAGTGTTGATATCTCACTATAAAGTAAAGATCAGCATAAATAGTTTTATATAATATTAATACTGCAGTAAGTATGATTTTCACTGAGTGCTCCACTCTTGTGACCTTATAATATATGAAGCTAACCTTAGTAAATACTAATGTCTGTTCATTGCTGTGGAGAAATGGTTATTCACTAACTTCAGATTGTCATCTAGACTAACCTACATACCAATTCTTTTTTTATAACACATTATGGAAACAAAAAAGACACATATATTTAGTATAAAAAGACAGTTGAAATTTCTAGGATATGTAATGAGGAAAGAGGGCTTAGAAAATTTGATATTCACAGGACATATTGAAAGCAAGAGAGACAGGGGAAAATGGCATATAACCTACCTAATGAGCTTGTGTAAATGGTTAGCAGAACAGGGATTAGGATAGATAACAAAAAAAACACTTTAATAAGAGCTACAAAGGACAGGAAATTGTGGCAAGCCATGATCACTCCCTCCCCCTCCTGAATAGAGATTTGAAACACTTACAATAACAGGAAGATTAGAAAGCTAGTGTTGCTTGGCCATTGTTTAATCTGCACAAAATCTGCTGCTTTGTATCCTTGAGGTAAGCTAAAGAAAGCTAAGTATATATCATATATCATGCCTCATGTTTGAAAAGGAAGCACACATGGATAAATGTGCCCACAATAAGATGTAGTGTCAAAAGGATGTTTTTTTCCATGGCACCACGTTTTTTTAACTAGCGACACACTTTGGCAATGTTCATCATCTTAAAAGGTGACAATTAGAATTGTAATAAAGCCTAAACATATGATGAAATTGAATTTATACATTTTTTTTTGTTCTTGAGATTTTACAACAAAAATATTAAACACTATTTATTTATTAGATTGATTAAGAATAATTTTATATTTACAACATTGTAAAAACTAATACAATTAAAACTAATGCAATATTTATAATTTACCAATTTATTAAGAAATAAATGTGAAAATTTTTATTTATAAATTTATAAGCATTTACGAAATGATTAAAATATATGAACAGACTATAAGGAAGTTCTTATTTACCATTTTATAAAATTTGAATCAATTGGCAATTAACCAATGTTTTGCCAACCATTCCAATAAATAATATAATAGTGTTTGTTATTTTTGTTGTCAATTCTCAAGAACAAAGAAAATGTATAAATTCAATTTCATATGTTTAGGTTTTATTACAATTCTAATCATTGCTTTTTAAAACTATAAACATTGATAAAGAGTGAAGGTAGTTAAAAAAAAGTGGTGTCCTTTAGAAACTCTGTTTTATTGTGCGCATGTTTACACATGTTTTCCAAAAAGACTATTCTTCCAGGTAAATACTTGAAGAGTCAGGTATAAAGCAGACATATGGCTACTTTTTTTTTTCTTACTACAAGTGTAAAACCAAACCTATGGCTACCTCTTGACTTGAGTGTAAAACCAGACTTATGTCAACCCATTCATTAACTCATTGTGAGTTTTGCCCAAAAAGAGTTATCTTCAACATTAAATAACCTAAGAAGGTTAAATATGTGGCTAAATTAATTGACAACTTAACCATTACAAAAACAGAGTGCTTAAGTCAAGGTAAAAAACATGATTTTGAAAGCTCTCTCTGTTTAGAAGATTCATATAACACAATATTCCTTTCTTCATTTGGCCTTGTGCCACACTAAGCTGATTAAAAGTATTTTCTAACTTTAGATTCTTCTGGCATTTGGACACATGTATAGAGTGAGGATTGAATTCACTTCATAGTCATAATGGTTTGATATTACCCCATGTCGAGGCACATCACTCAGTTTATATCTTAGGAAAAAGCTTAAAGATGTAAAATAAACATGCTAACAAGAGTTATCTCCTCCTGTCCATCATCACAATTTAGCTAACTATCAATTGTATGACAGGGATTCTTCAGCTATTTGATAGAAAAGAAGTTATTTTCAACAAGATGAAGCATCTTTCCATTTGTTAGGTCTTATTTTAACATAATATTTCTAGGCAAATGGGTTGAATAAAAAGGCAGTGTTTCACACCAGACATATTCCCTTGAATTTTTCCCCATGAGATACTTTAAAGATATGGCACAATATACAACACCTTTACAAATAAAAACAAAGGAAAATAGTTACAAAATTATGGGAGTTATGTCAATTGATGTTTGTGATTTGTTTTAACAAATTGAGCTAACAAGTTGCTATAGAAGGAAGCTATTTTGAGCACTTAATGTTATTGAAACATAAATGTCAAATGTTTTTCTTTTGAAATTTTATAGCATTTATTCTTTATTAGCTGGAGCCATATTGGTGATGAACTAAAGTTATCTTTTAGTTTACCTGTATTTTCTCATTCTCTCCCTTATCCCTCCAATGAGTTCATGTTTTGAACTAAACTGGTTTTAACCTATAGGAATTAAATTCTATATTTTTTAACCAATTAAATCCCATCAGAAGGTTTGTTTGATAAACAAATACTGCCAAAATACTTGGCGAATGTAGTTGTAAACCTACCACGTGTTATTTCTGGGTCATTTAGAAAATAAAAACAATAATTTCCTTCACCAATCCTGCAAATTTGAGTAAAAGATTTTTGTGAGCCAGTGGGAAATAATTTTCTAACCAATGAAAACCTTGTATTCAGTAAGTTCACATCTCTATGTGAAATTAGATTTTGGATCTCCCTTACAGATATAAATATAAAATCCTACTGCTTCTCAAGGATAGGAACAATTTTAGAGGCCAGTTTGATCTACATATGTATACAAACACACAATGGAAGAGAGACAGCCAGCAACCTCTGAATAAGGACTTGTCAATGCACATAACAGAAGTTATTAACCAGTAACTGCCTACTAAGTCTTTGTTTACAAACTTACAAATACATTAGGCTCACCATCATAAAGTAAGTCTGTTCACACATTTCATACAGTACTAAGAACACTTAATTACTTTATAAAACAAATGTCACTGCAAAGAACATTTTATTGCTATTGTATATTTCTGAAAAGAATATATGAATATTATTTCAACTGGCATGCTTTTACATTTCCTCCAGAAAATAACCTTTTATATGTTTCATTTAAAAGATGTGTTGTTGTTAAATGTTTGGAATCCTGACAATCAGATAGCAGCAAAAACCTGAGAAGACAGATCCCAACAAACCTGTGAAAATTTCATGTTTTTCCTATTTGAAAATTTTGAGGAATCTTAATTCTTCAGTTAATGATTGAATAAGCTCATGGCAAGTTCTACAGCAATAAAATATCTGTAGAAATTCTCTTATCACATCGTTAAATATTTGAGCTTAACAATTTTAACAAAATATTGCAATAACAATAATAAATATGAATGCTGGTCATTATTTTAAGTAGTAAGGAGGTACAAATGAAAAGGTTTGAAATTGATAAATTTCACTGAAACAGCTGTTAAACACGTCATTCTACCCTTCTTTCTTTCATTTACTCACTGAAACCAAGTAGTGTCTTTAATATGTCTTTTGTCTTATCATGCAATTAAAACAGAATAGACTATTACTTGAGATATCAGCAAGAGGCATTAAACACTTTCTTTTTTTCTCACTGAAACCAAGTAGTGTTTCTGATATGTTTTTTGTCTTTAGATGTAATCAACAGTCTATTATTTATGGGGTATTGGCAGGGCCTAACATTCATGCAACCTAAGGCATTAATGAAGGGAGGGACAAGCACATTTTTTATATGATGTTATAAAAACATGGATTATTTATCTTTTGATATTTTACCACCAAGCATGGATATCTGTTCACTATGTCTTTCTTTCATACCACACTCTTAAAAATACATATTTATGCTCATTCAACACCCACAGAACCTACCCATGGTTTATACTGCAACTATGCTGAGCAGACCTTAGTTACAGTTTCTAGGATAGAGTGCATAATCTGGTGTGATCAACAGTTGTTTTTTTTTTTTAACAAAGCTACCTCAGTCACGATGACTTTGTACTAGCAAAATCATTGATGACTTCTGAACAGTTCTGTCTATTCAATTTCAGTCACCAAACTTCAGTCAACACATGGCATGGTTTTCAGGCACTTTCCAAATATGCTGCATTTTGGGGTCACTCCATAGGCTGGTAACATCAAGAATCACAATCTTGACAAATTGATCAAAGTGAGATTTGAACCTGTTTCTCATTGTTGAAAAGTGAATGTTTTAAGCACTTGGCCATGTGTCATATATATTTTTCTTTTGTTGGAACAATTATAACCTTTTCCCTATATATATATATATATATATATATATAGATAGATGAGGGGTGTTACAGGTGGTGCCATGATAAAGTCTGTGGAGCCATTGCAACAATAGTCCCAAGGAGTCTCCAAACAAACAGATATGAATTGAATAAGATGATGATGAATTTTGTCAGAGCCGGGGAAAAGGTAAAGACATTACAAGAGAAAAAAAACATCCCTCCTCAGTTCTGCCCCAGACTGGCAAATGATAGTAGATATAGGCAGGCAGCTAAAATTCCCAGTGGAAATCATACAGACTAAGCTTGTCCAGACATGATTATCTATTCTGAAAAGACCCAGCAAATCATCATGTTAGAATTAACAGTCCCTTGGGAAGAAAACATAGAGGAAGCCCACAAAAGGAAACTTGGGAAATATTTACATATTGTAAAAGAATGCAAAAGGCGTGGTTGAGTTCAGTGTGAACCGATTGAAATTAGATGCAGAGGCTTTGCTGGGCGGTCACTATGTAAGATGTTGCCAAAATTAGGTGTAACAGGTTTGGAAAAAAACAAGGCTATTTACACAATAACAATGGAAGCAGAAGAAGCATCTTGATGATTATGGCTGAAAAGATCAAATGATTGATAGTAAGTCAGGAGATGGAAGGATGCTGCAGTTGATATTTTAATTTTTATTATTATTTATTTAATTTTCAAGTTGGTGGGGGAGGTCTTGGGAATGACCTAAAACTATACCCGACAATGAAGTCTCAATTAGGGGACAGAATTAGGGTACCCCAAACCATTGTTACCTATGGGTGATCTATGGCTAAGATCAAGCACCTATTTGCCCCCTTACCAGGGTTACAGTTTTGTAGATGTGTATGTTGGTATGTGTGTGTGAGTGCATAGATAAGTGTATATGTATATAGGTATAAGTGTATGTGCAATTGACACAAGAGGAGGGGCTAATTTTTTATTTTTTTTGGTGGATGATTAACATGAATGGAAATGGGATAAGAGTAAGCAGAATATAATTCATGTGTGCATTTGCATGTGTGTACATGTATATCTATCTCTGTGAGTGATACAAATCATTACTTACCACCTCAATCTGTTCCTGAACAAAACAATGGTTATGCTTACTTCCTTTTTTTATGGAAGAGCGTACATTGCTGGTGAACCAGAAGTTATTTGTGACTGGACTATAAATTCTCAAGAGGAGTTGCAGTGTGTGATTGGGAAGATGGAGAAAATTGTAGCTAATGGATGGTATACAAATTGATACCTGATCAGTATTGGCCGGGTCACCGCGTAGAGGGGGTATGATGTTGTGAGACCTGAAACCCCTAATAAAGCTTGGCTTGAAACATCACTGATGCATATATATATAATATTAGTGGAAAATATACATACATATGCAAAATATATAAATACCCATACATGTATAGTTTTAGAAAAAAAAAAAAAAAAATTCCAAGAGGAAGAATCCAAGTAGAACTCAATGTCTAGGACAGAGTAAGGATATAATAAAAAGGCTTAAACACTAATATTCCATGGTCATAATTTATTCCATTGGAATCGTAAATACGATCCAATTCATCAGACTTACAAATTCAAAAAGAAAAAAAAAAAACAACTCCAGAAATAAAAACAGAATTTAGAGAGAGTGGAAAGTATGAGGAGGAGGGAGATTAAAACTTAACAGAGAGAATTTTAGGAGAGATGGGTGGAAGGGTTTTAATTAAGAGAAAAAATGAATGTTGACGGATGTCTAATGCATAAAGATACATTTCGTGGTGACATACACACACCATAGACAATCTAATGTTAGAATAAGAGGGAGGGAAAGATATAGGTGGGGAGAGATGGGACGAAGGAAAGTAAAATTGCATTTATATTAAAGGGCCACTTTATGTAATTGAGAAATTTGACAAATTTAATATATATATATATATACATATATTACAAATCAAATATAAATATATAAATATATATATATATATATATATATATATATATATAGATAGATATATATATATATATATATATATATATATATATATATATATATATATATATATACATAAATGTATAAAATATGATAAAAGTTAATTGGTAATTCATATGGATAATTCAGGGAGGATATAAAGCTCAATGTATATAAACAGAGTAAATAATAATTACTTAACAAATCAGAGACTTCCATATAAACCCATGGTAATATTTATATTTATATATATATATAGATGAAAATCAATAATTTGATTTTGCTTTGTCAGATATATAATAGTTTCAAAACAATGACAAAGGAAAATCGAATTATCGATTTTATGAAATAAAATATTAACATAGCTTTCTTATAGATGAAGTCTCCAATTTGTTAATTATATATATATATATATATATATATATATATATATATATACACACATATATATATATATATATATATGATATAACAAGATAAATATTTGTATAATTTTATATATCAACAAACAGTATTTAGAAAAATATAGCAAACTGGAAAGGTTTTTTCGTGATGCATTTCATCTGTTAGGATTTCATTGGACTGGGTTTTGATAACATTGCCACGTCTACACATGCACACTATGATGTGGCATATATATATATATATATATATATATATCATCAAAGTTCAGTCAAGATAATTTTGAATTTTATATATCAACAAACAGTAAGAAAATATAAAACTGGAAAGGTTTTTTTCGTGAAAAATTTCATTGGACTGGGTTTTGATAACATTGTCACGTCTACAAAAATGATGGCAACATATCATCAAGTTCAGTCAGTTTGTCAAATTTTTTCTTTGTCAAATACACAATATGCAACCACACACTTGCTTTAGTGAATGGGAATGCTGCAGACCCAAGATCATTAAGCACTTCCTCTGCATTAGATCCCTTTGTGGGGTCTAATCATTCTTTTGCTGTTGAACACTAACTCACTAATACCTACTTTTATTCTGCAGATTTTAGTTGGTGAGCGCATTATATAGATACTAAGTAGCTACCCTTATTGTAACATCTTGCAGTTAGGCATTAGGCTCATATCACCAAAGGATCACTGTTGACACCTGATGACTGCTTAAAAGTGTATGTAAAACTGTCAGTTTTAGTGTACATTGAGGTCAACACCCAGCAGTAACGATTATGTTTCAAATTATTCTAGGGGCTATCGAGTAGAAATAATTGTGGGTCTAAATGCAGCTTTGTTGATATTTTATAGTGTTGTTAACTTTTTTTTACTTAGGAATGCATGTATAAACAAGTAAACATAATAACAATCAAGAACAAATAATCAATAAGTAAAAAAAAGTTACTACTCACCCAATAACCATTAAAATAATACAATAGATATACCCATAATGCACCATTGACCAGCATATATAAATAGCTGAGCCAAAACCTAACACACATGACCTGAAGGTAAGAGGAGCAGAGGGAAACAGTGATCAACTTACCTAACAGTTTTGTGTTATGGCAGTAAGTGGACTGAAAGGGAGAGTAAGGGGATAAAAATTGCTTAAAGCTACAAAGAATAATGAAGCCATAATTGACCATTTCCTTAACAGACATGGCATATAAAAGAAAGAATTATCTTACCTGGATTTTTCTTCTAAAAGTTTGTTAAGATTAATAACCAGCCCATCATGCTGCTTCCGAATTAGATTCCTTTGGGGCCTGTCATAAGAAAAATATACAAGGATTGGTTTTATAAAAATGAATTTGATCACCCTTCTTATCTACTATTGCATTAGAATGTTATTATTGTTGACAAATAAATGAGATTGTCCACACAATATTTGTCAGTATAAAAGAAATATTAAGTACTACTTCTGTCCTATAATTGTTTATCATGATCCCCATAACTTATTAGAGTTATAGATACAGCACATGTATTACAACTAAAGTATCAATGGTGTGTCCACTCCTCTTATGGCTGGTTTGGAATTCAGAGTTTTCCTTCACCTGAACTGATTGCTACTCCAAGGTAAATAGAGTACAGTCTGCCCTGCTATTTTTTATCGTTTCACTCCAAGCAAGGTAACAATGTCACTAGAACACAGGGAGTTACAGGGAGTGATAGACTGAGAATGGGGAGGATTGAGGAAAGCACAAAAAAAAAAAAAGAATGGGTTGCAAGAAGACATAACATGGCGATTGATGTTGTAATTATAAGGGAAGCAAGAAATTGGAAGGGAGTTTCACAGGTGGGAAGTACGAGAAAAGAAACTGTTAGAGTAGAAGTGACTGCTTCATCTGGTTAGTCGAACATTAAAATGGTAAGACCTAGTTGCCAATCTAGTAGCATTCTTAAATTCATGTAGTCAGGGTAGTAGGGTAAAAGCTTACCAGAGCTGTTGCCATGAAAATAGTGTAAAGACAGAAGGAAGCCACATTACAGTGAGAGAGCGACTGAAGTAGAGATGCCTGGTCACAATTGATTACATTACAGGCCCTTCTTTAGATTTTGTCAAAAATTGCAAGATGTACAGCAGGAGTATTTAATCTATAGTTGGCAGAAAGTGGATTCAAACCTTTTCCAAGGTCATTCATGCAAAGTGAAAAAAAACTGGAGTTTGAACACGGCATGCTGATTTAACTTTCCATGCTAATAACAGTTACATTATTCTTGCCACCAATACTTGTTAAATTTTTATATTTCGCATACTAAATGGGACAACTATTAGGAAAGGTATGAACCCGTTTCATCTCCCTCTAGCTATGTTTTAAATAGCAGAGTAGACTGAAGTTTGGGTAGCAACCAGTCTAAGAGAAGGAAAACTCTGAATTTCAAACTATAGAAAAGGCAACAGAAAACTACTCTACTATTCCCCCCCCCCCAAGAAAGCATGGCAATTCACAGATATTAAAAAAAAAGTTGATATCCGTGGTGAGCTATGTCAATATCATGAAGTAACATAGCAATTTAAATGATTATAGAAAAAATGTGGTACTATATTATCTCATAACACTTGATATAGTTTTAAATTTTGTTTAGCAAACACTAATGTGGAGTAATGGATAGCGGCTTGGATTGAGAAATCGGAGAGCTGAGTTTGATTTCTAGTTGAATCCATTACATTCACTTATGTGCTAATACCCTTTAATACTTTATAGATACTTGCTACCTATAGTGTAATCATTCATGAGGGTGACTGGTTATTCCATTACATCAGTTTGCAAGTAAGAAATGTTTGCTGCTAAAAAACAAACAAAAAAATACTTCAAAGCAAAACTAAAATTTTCCAAAGAACACCTGGAGAAAAACCAAAACTTTTGGAATAATGTGCTTTGAACAGTTAAACCCATAACAGAATTATTTGGGCACAGTAACAGAAAGTATGTTTGGTGCCAACTGAAGACAACATCTGAGCTTAAGAACATCCATTAATTGGGGCTGTTTTGCAGCATCAGTGCCTGGCCATCTCACCATCATAGAATCCACCATAAATTCTTTATGGTACCAAAGAATGCTTGAGATGCCATCTGTCAGAAAATTGAAGCTGAAGTGGACCATACAACACGACAATGACTTTAAACATTCCAGTAAATCCACCAAGGAACAATTCAAAATAAAAATGAGTGTTCTGGAATGGCAAAGTCAAAACCCAGATATTAATCCTATTGAGAATGTTAATGTTGTAATTATTGCCCTTGTCTTTTGGTGGTTGTTTAGTGCCACCAGGTGGCTTCTATAAAATGCTGGCAGCCATACTGAAAATGTGGCATTTGTTCGATTGTCAATATTCAGACTAACAGGGGGATTACCTTATTGCAGATGCAATTGATTCATTGAGGATTAAGAGATGATGCAGGCTTGATGAATGTAATCTTCTGCTCTGAAGATTGTGTTCAAGCATGAAATGGACTTAAGCCACTCAGTGTCAACCTCAGTGTCCATTTTTATATATCTTTAAAAAATAACTACATATTTTTTGGAGTGCCCTAACTTTTACATGACTGCACTTGTAACTTATTAAAAGCTAAAAAGCTATATGTCCAAAAATGATACAACACATTGGTTTTTGGCTGAGAGACAGAAGCAACACTTTGTAAAGGTCTTAAAAATTCTCTGTCTTAAGAAAAAGTTCTGGTCAATATATAAATAATCCTATCAGGTCATTTCTTTTTTTAACTATGTTAAATTTCTTTTCTCATTTTTTTTTAATTTTATTTTATTCCATAAAAAGTTAATTATTTCACCTTCTTTTCTCTCTCTGTGAACATACACATAACATGCATATTTGCTGTTATTTGATTCTTTTAGGAGTAGAATAAATGTATTCTGCTTACAAAAGAGAATTGTTGTCTTTTTCCAATCTAAGTTGTTCATCTCTTAAAGTGCATATCTTGTCTTCTAGTTCGCTTAAGACAGCTGCTTTGCTGGCAATATCCATTTCATTTTGGGAATGGGCTGCTTCCACGGCCGCTGCAGCAAGACACAAAACCATGTGACAATGAATGCAAAAAAAAAAAATTAAAAAAAAGAGTTCAAAGAGATGGTTACAAAATAAAAAAACAAAAACAAAATGGAGGTGATAGGTTGACAGTGTTGTGACAAGGTGACAAATAAACAAAAGACAAGATGTGTTGTCAAGTATCAGAATCAACAGTGCAAAACTAAGAAAAAATAACCAAGCCCTAGAGTTTGAATTAAGCCAAAAACTTATTTTTATTTCTGATCTATGTTGTTTACTGTCATAGACTGGCAGTTTGAGTAATTATGATGAAAAGCAACGAAAAGTGAAAGAAATACTGACTAAAAATTAAGTTTGCAATGTTCCACTTGATAGAAATTTAAGATAATATTACTACTATTGGTTAATGAAGCTGTGGTCTGATTAATTATGATAAAAAGAAATTAGAACTAAGATAAAAGAAGAAGCTGGAGAAAATTAATAATGATTGACATAGCTGGGACCCTAACAGGTGTTAACACACCTGGTCAGGGTGGACCTGCAAACAGCAGTTAAGAGGTGGTTTCACACCCTTCAAAATTTCCAATGTCCCAATCAGACGCCTTGCTGCCAGATGTAATTTATTGTCATACCAAAGATTATCCAGTCATTAATAGATTAGAAATAAAGATTTTTAGTGAAACTGAAACTTGCATCAAGAAGTTTAGTTAATCATCTCAGCTGTTCTTTAATTTTTATATCTGTATGTTTTTTTAGTGACAAGGTGACTAATTAAGAAAACAAGATAGGTCAAAAAGTGTTGTCAAGTGTCAGTGTAAAACCAAGAAAAGAATGACCAAGTCCTAGAGTTTGAGTTAAAGCCAAAAGATTATTTTTATTTCTGCTATAACTTACTCCTGGCAGTTATAATATTATATCTCACTTAGGTTACTTGGCACAAAGTCATCATTTCCTTCACCTCAACTGACTCACTTTGAGTTCTTTATTTAAGGCGTCCTGCTGAGTTCATTTATGTTACCAGAGGTGTCTAATTTACTCCAAAACATCCCTGCTTTTGAGATTTTTTTTTCATGAGTAAATATTTCATTTTTTAGTTTTCACCCCCTCCTCTTTCTGGCAGGTTTGTCAATGTACTGAATTCTGTATTTCTTTCATTTTAGGTCAACCACTAGTTTTTCTGTACATTTCCTTTTTCTGGTAATCATACTTGTACATTCAAAAAATTCTTTGGGTGTTGGTACATCAAAAATATCATACAGTACTTGCATAAGTTCTTTCTTTCTTACTGGTCTTTCTCCTGTAAACCTTTTCTTTAACAGATTCCAGTGCGTTTTGTGTTCCCATTTTTTTCCTTTTACCAGATACCGTATATACTTGTGTAATGCTCGATCTCGCATATTGTGTGACCCCCCCCCAAAAAAAAATTTTCACTTATAAAAAATAATTTTATCATGTATCTTGTGTATCATGCGAGTTCCTTTTTTTGAGAGACCAAATTATAGACTAATCTCTTTTCCTCTGTATCTTTATCCCATCTTCTAGTTAAAGAAGTTAAAAAAGTAAAAGAGAATGATAACAGTATCGTTAGTAATGCTATACTCATTGTATAAATCCAAACAGCCATAAACAACTTAATGAGAAACAGCCATTTTGCTATGAACAACCGAATCAGATAACAACAGCTATTTTACTTGCATTTCAACCATTGTACAATAGTGAACAATTACTGCAGTTATGTTACAAATTATGTTAAGTAGAATAGCACTGATATATTTTTATATTATACCCTTATTCACTATGGAGAAAAGATCAACAAGGAAATACTGCTAAATTTAAGCTGCAAGTTGTAGCTAATTTTATATTTTATGTATGATGTGCCCCACCCACTTAAAATTAACTTCAAAGTTAGGTCTTCAAAAGTTGCATGATAAATGAGTATATATGGTATATTATTCTTCCAATTCATGACCTTATTACACTGTCTTCCCACATTTCTTTACCATTTTTATATACTCTGAAAAATACTTTTGCCAATTCTGAAAAATGTTGTGTCCTTTTTGTTATCCATTTTTATTCTTTTTTGACCTCGTAACAACTTCTTGAACACTGATTTTTTCTTGTGAACATCAATTCTGCCAGTGACATGCCTGTCGGTGTATTGGGATTTGGTATTATCTGGCATACTCTCAAGAATTTTTGTAATGCTTCTTCACTCACTTTTTCATTACTTGTTTTTTTCAAAGCTCTTTTAAAAGTACCCACAAACTGTTCAGCTTTTCTATTTGACCTTGGGTGATATGGCGAGGTAGTAATATGTTCAATTGAGAACATTTTACAAAATTCTTTAAATTCATAAGCAGTGAATTGTGTACCGTTATCCAAGAATATGGCATCTGGAATGCCATATCTTGGAAACAGTTCATGTAAAAAATTCACTGTAACTGTGGAAGTTGGTTTTTTACACTCACAAATTTCAGACCACTTAGTGAAGCTATCCACTAGCACAAGATAATATGATCTGTTTATTGGACCTGTGGAATCTATGTGCTGTCTTGACCACAGAGTATCTGTCTTTGGCCAAGGTTGTAATTTTGTAGTCGGCAATTTTGCTACCAGAGCACAACCTCTGCAGGCTTTTACTAATTTTTCAATGCCTTGATCCATTTTGGTCCAGTATACATAACTTCTCATAAGAGATTCCATCCTTGAAATTCCTGGATGTCCACTATGAAATTCATTTAATATCTGCTTTTGTAATATGATGGATATTACTACTCTTTGTGAAAACATCAATACTCCCGCACATAGTGAGTAAGCATTCAAGTCTGGATTGCATTCTAAAAATTGTCTATCTTTCTTACTTAGTTGTTTTTTATTTTCAAAATAAACATGTCTTGTTCTGCTTTTACTTTTATCTCTTCCAGGGTAACTGGTAGTTCACATAGTACATTACATAATATATTTTTAATTTCTTTTTCATTTTTTAATGCTGCAGTAACAGTGTCCTCAGTAATGTTTGATGTTAATCTTGATAAACCATCAGCATATCCTTAATTTTTGCAAAGTTGGTATTCCATCCTGAAATTGTAATTTAATGATGGTACCCCAGTGTTGTAATCTATTTGCTGTATACATAGGAATTCCTTTTTTCAAACTATAAATTGATAATAGTGGTTAGTATCTGTCTGTAAACAAAAACTCCTGTGTATAAATTTGTGAAAATTTTAACTGCAAATATTGATAACACCTTTTTTCAATCTGGCTGTAGTTTTTTTTTTCTGCCAGTAGTAGTGAACATGAAGCACATGTGATTGCTTTCATGTTACTGTTATCATATTTATGTGGAATTACTGTTCCTATACCATAGTAATTAACATTTGAAGCCAATATGATTTCTGCTTTTGGATTGTAGTGTGCTAATGATAAGTCTGACATTAGTATTTTTTTCATTTCTTCAAATGCTTTCTGACACTTATTAGTCCAGTTCCACTGTATGCCCATTTAAACAAAATGTTCAGCAGAGCTCTCAAATTCTACATATTACGTATATAGATTTGATAAAGTTTGCTAGTCCCAGAAACGCTTGTAACCTAGTAACGTTTGTTGGAGGAGCATATTCTTCATTGCACTTGCCCTCGACAGATCTGGTTGACGACCATTTTTGTCAATGATTTATCCTAGGTACTTGATTTTAGGGAAAAACAATTTGCACTTTTCTTCATTGAGTTTGAAGCAGTATTCTCATATTTTTTCAAAAACACTTTTCACATGCCCGATATGATGTTCCTTTGATACACTTTTAATTAATATATATCCCAGATAAGCAACTGTGAAATCACAATCTGCAAGCATAGTATCCATAGCTTGTTGAAATATATCTGGAACCACTTTTATTCTAAAAGGAAATCAGTTGACCTTATACAATCCCTTGTGTGTATTTATAGTTATTAACTCTGAACATTCATCTTCAACCTCTATTTGCAAATATGCTTCAGAAAGATCCAGCTTCAAAAAATTTTTTCCACCATTTAAATTCAAAAAAATTTCCTCTGAATTTGGTAATGGGTAGTTATAGAATTCTAAACATTTGTTTAACTCTGTGGAAAAATCAGTACAAATACAAATTTTATTATTTTTTTCTTTACATAAGCTGCTGGTGCTGCCCATTTTGAGTGGTCAGTTTTTTCAATTTCTATTTTTTCAAGTCTAAATTCTTCATTGACTTGATCCAGTGATGTGAACAGTACACTACATTTCAGTTTAAACATTGGTGTCAACCCGCTTTTCAATTGGAATTTTGCTTTGACTTTGGAACGATGATCCAACTCATCCAACAGAACATCCAGAAAACATTTTTTCAATTCTTCCTTTAAATTTTTACACTGTTTTTTTAAACAGGTAGCTTGTCCACTTAGATTTTTGCAATAAATATTTATAGAGAAATCTCACAACTCAAATAATTCCATCCAGTGAGTACTGAATAAGTTTGTAGTATTTTTGAACACATAAGCCTTAGCTTTTATACACTTGTTACTAAATGAAATGCTACAAGTTATTTCACCAATAAAAAATAATTTCTTACCCCCACATGCCATGTGTGATTTTCGAAGTTCTTTTTAATGTTTTCTGTTTGCTTTCCATGTGGCTTCATTAATTATTGTGATATCACTACTAGTATCTAGTTGCATTTTTACATCCGCATTATTAATTTTCATATACACAAATTCTGTTTGGCTTTCTGTAATTTTTTTCTGTTGCAACACTGTGTATGAAATTTTTTCTGTGAGAACTTTTTCTTGCTTCAGATTTATAGTGTTGCACTTTGAATTCTTAAAGGGACAGTCGTCTCCAAGATGTAACCTTTCACATCTGAAACAGGGATTAATTTTTCTTTTTCCACGTTTTCCTTTAGCTTGTATGTATGTGCATTCTTTTTCTTCAATTTCTTCTGTATTATGTCTCAGATTTAGGACTCTTTGACATTCATCTTGTATTCAACTTTCATTAGAATTCTAACACATATTTCTGTGTCTTTTTTTACCATTAACCCTTGAATGAAAATTAACCCTTTAAATATATCCAGAGTCAGTTCATTTAATTTGAGCCTGTCACATTCCTTGTTAACAAAATCTTTATCTTTTTTCTTTTTGTCAGATTCATACACTATCAACAAGTATTGAGTAATGAACTTTTCTTGCTAAAAATTTTATTTCGAATATTTACTGTTTCTTCAAAGCAAATTTCTCCTGTTTTTTTTTTTGCTAGTCCAAAATCACAGTACATTTAATATTCTATCAGTGCTAACTTTCTCAACAAAATTCATTTTTTTCGTCTTCCCAGTTACTGAATTCTTCTCTGAAAATTTATTTATATCTTCTAAAATAAGCAGGATTGGTAATTCCATTATCTAAAATGTATGTGAATTCAGCTAAGGCATTTGCCACTGAATCAGGAGTGAAAAATCTTGGGGAATTTTCTGTTTTCTTCTGTATAATTTCAATTAAATCATGTTGTTTCTGGAGTTCCAACAACTGCTGCTGTTGTTGCTGTATTTTAATCACTTGGGCTAATAATTCTTCCATATTTAAAGAATATGTCTTTTTGTTTTCTTTTTTTTCTCTTTTACACACACCAAAGAAAAAAATTAAACCAACATGGTTCTAATTTCTTATAGCCACTGTTATTATGTGTGCTAAAGCAATAAGTACTACATGTGTTTTGATCCCTCATTGACACTGTTATAACTCAGTTCTAGCAGTTATAATCTTATGTCTTGCTTAGGCTACTTGTTGTGATGTCATCAATTCTTTCTCCTTCACTGACTCCAACAGACTTTTACTGACTCACTTTGAGTGTTTTATTTAAGGCATTTTGCTTAGTTCATTTGTGTTACTGGGGATGTCTTATTTACTCCACAAAAATTTCTGATCTATGTTGTTTATTGTCATAGACTGACAGTCTGAGTAATGATGAAAAACAACTAAAATTAAGATGAAAGAAAAAAAAAGTTAAAAATTAACAATTCACAATGCTTCACTTGATAATACTACTACCTTAATTTCTGATGCAAAATTCTGAATGAAAATTAAAGGCAAAAAAGTGGAAATTTTTACTCAGCTTACAAAACCTTATATTTGAAACAAAGATTGCAACTATACTCTGTAGAATAGATAATAAAACATAAAATAGGCATGTGCTGATAACAATTGTTTACAAAAGGTATTTGATATGTTGGCAATATTTGTTCTTTGGGAATCAGTTTAATGTTTAAAATTAGAACAGTTTTCGTCAAAAGATAAAATTTGTTTATATTTTCATTTTTCTTGTTTTTTTTTTATAAGGTTTTCTCTTTTCATTCTTAATGAAAGACAATATTTTATCTTTATTTTCATGGTTTATTAATATAATGAAATATAATAAATTCATCAAACAGAAAAGTCTGATAGATTAATTAACACCTTAAAATGTATTATTGAGTATATCTAGTTATCACCTTTTCCCAAAAATGTTTTTGCAACAGAAATTAGAAGCAACATGCAATAGCAAAACATCCAATTGATTTCTATTTTAATATTGTGAAAAATTAAATATTTTAGTGACACTGAGATTTTAATGGATAATATAGAACAACTTTAAAAAGAAAAATTTGTATCAAACAAAGTTCCATTTTCTTGATTGTGAAGCTCTCTGTAGCTGAGTGGTCAAATCATGCTGGATCAGACAGGGTTCCTCCTGAAAAAGGGGAGGCAGGTTTGAACCCTGCCAGAGGGTATATTTTTTTTTATTAAGTTTTCTTGAGTCTGTAGGCCAGTAGAGAAAATACTCTTTAAAATAAACAGAGCACTTACTCAAATAAGAGTATCCACTAAAAATAATGTTTGAAGTAATAAAAATATGTTGGATTAAATATAAAATCTATTAACTCTTTAAAAATATATATGTGTGATATATAAGGTTGAGTCATAAGTAATTTTAATTTTTGGGAAAACAACTGTAAGGACAAATATATCATTCAAACTTCTTTAAACACTGTGTCCCCTCAGGATGTAGGTGATCATGGCTCTCTACAACCCTTGTAGCTCTTAATAAACTTTCTCTTTCTGTTATTTCTCCTCAGCCCTGTCCTGCCATCCATTTAGTCAAACTCACTAAGTATGTTATAGTTATGTGGCACAAGGCCAAAAGTATGGAGCATCCAGTGAGGATCGAACACACTACTTAGTTGTAATTGTTCTAGTTAGACAAACTTGCTAACCATTACATCACACCGAGGTGCCCAAACTGATTTTCCAAGTGTAGCTTAGATGTAGCACAAAGCTGAAAGTAGGGAGCACCCAGTGAGGATTGAACTCACTACTCAGTCGTAAGTGTTCTAGCAAGATAAGCTTGCTAACCATTACACCACCTTGAGGTGCCCAATTCACTAAGTATGTTATATGTTGTTTTCCTCTGTCCTGTGAGTATCAGATTTTCCAAGCACTCCTTCCTCATTGTGTGCCACAGAAACCACAACTGTTTCTTCCTGATGTTAAGTATTAGTTTTCTTTTTGTTTACATTTCCTCTAAAACTTTGTCATTGCTCACATGATCAGTTCATGGTATCCTCGGCATTCTTTTGGTACAGATTGAAATTTGAATAGGAGGCGGTATGGGTCAGTGTCACAAAGGAATATATTAACACCGCTACCTCAAAAGTCCAAAGAAAGGGAAGGACAGAAAATTAAAGGAAAAAAAAAAAAATAAAGGAAGTAACAGTGTTCAATCCTGGTATGCCCTTCAGCAAACATTTTGAAAATAAGTTATCTAAGATGATAGTCCAAGATGCTTAACCTGAAAATCAGAATGTAGTGAAAGAGGTAATCAGGTACCCCGAAAAAAAAGTTTGTGTTTTGTGTGCAATCTGCCGAAGAAAAATTACCAAAAAGTAGTCAGCAAAAATCTACATCAATGACTAGAAGCTATGCTAATGTTCTTCCCTCCCCTGAATTCTCTTGGTGAACAGAAGTTGTTGTTTTTTGCTTATAAAGAGAGATGATTTTTTTTTAGCTGTGAGACGAACATGCATTGTTGTTGGCAAGAAGTGAAGGTTGGATTTGTGACCCCATTTTGTCGTCTCTACGGTGTGTTGGACTGTTACATCGGACTATCTTGTGAACTGTGATTTAGCTACAAGTGTTGCGGCCAAGAAACAAGAAATCTATTGCTGTTGCTACGATCAGTTGACAGTCTTTTCTTTACCCCAACACAGAAGAAGGAATTATTCAAAAGAGGTATCTAAAACTTAATTTTTATAATACTATTTTAAATTCTACTTTGAGTTTCTCTGCCATTTTTAGTGTACATTTTATGAATTTAAACATGAATCATCCTAATTACTGATTCTATGTGACAGTTAAGAATAAATTTGGAGTACACTAACATAGCTTAGTGTTGCATGGCAGTGGCAGCGTACAAAGTGGATTAAAGGAAAACATGTTCTTCTCCATAACAATGCAAAGTTGCATCCAGCAAGACTAATACAGGAACAAATTTTGGAACTCAATTGATCTATTCTTCCCCACTTGCCATAATCATCTGACCTTGCACCAAATAATTATTACCTTTTTTAAAACTGTCAATGGATTTCAGAAGCCTAATTTCCTGAAAAAGGGTTTTAAGAAAAATTACTAATACAGTGGAACCTCGGTTCATGAATTTAATTCATTCCTGAAGGCTGTTGATAACCCAAAATGTTTGTAAACCAAAACTATTTTTCCAATAGGAATCAATGTAAAGAAAAAATGTTACAGTAGAATAAAATTAGAAAAGAAAAGCATGGAACAACACATGAATATATACAACATGGCGGTTGAGTCAGAAATTATTCCGTTCATGTTAACTCAGTTCGGCTATGTTGTTGGAGAACCAAAATTTTGTTTGATAACCAAAGCATTTTCATCTTGAATTTTTTCTTTGGAAACCAATTTGTTCGACATGTGAGACATTTGGGAACTGAGGCTCCACTGTATATCTCCTTTTAGCAACTTTTATACCATCTACAACAATTGGTCTGTTCTACCCACAAGAGCCATATTTTACCTGACCTTGCACCAACAGATATTACCTTTTTTGATTGCTGAAAAATGCTTTTATAGTGAAAACTTGGTTCAGGATTTTGTCAAAATGTTTTTCACATCAAAATCTGTGATATTTTACTCAAAATGCATAAAATAATTGAATAAATAATTGAATAATATGCAATTGTATTTTATTTTTTTGAAGAATAAAGTTGATAAACAAAAACGGAAATTATTTATGACTCAACCTAATAATAATGCATCAAAGTGCTGCCAGATAAGTGTCATCAAGTCATGGCAAATAATGATGAATAAATAATTAAAATAATTGAATAAATAATTGAATAATATGCAATTGTACTTTATTTTTTTGAAGAATAAAGTTGATAAAATTATTTATGACTCAACCTAATAATTTTAGAAACATGAAAGCATTTTGTAGGCACCAAAAAAAATAAGCTTACATCAATGATATTAATGTGTAAATAAACAACTAACATAAAATGACATAGAATGTGACAAATTTAAAATACTGTCTCACCATTAATTTCCCCTTTGATGGACGAAGGAAGGGTTTTGATGGTGTGAAAAAGGGAAAATGTCGTAATGGCTTCTTTTTCAAGTTCTTCATGGAGTTGCAAGCGACAATTGTCCTGTTTTTGAAAAAAATGCATAACAAATTTGAAGTCACTTGAGCTCATATTTTTCTTGAATTATTTATTTATATAGTTGTTATAATTCATTATTTTGTAATGTGACTATTTTAGTTGAAAAAGGGTTACAGAGCTGGATATCCATGTTAAAAGCTTTTATTTGCATGCATACATTTCAGGAAGTAGTAACAGTTGAAATAACTAAACAAAACAAAATACATACGAGATGAAAAATTACAATTTTTCATATTTGATAATCAAGTATTTAATCAGAGAGTCTCTTGTGCATTCAGGTATTGAAAGTTTCTGACATATCTTACTATGGGAAAACAATATATAAATATTTTATATATCAAGAAAAATTTTGGCAAAGTTTATAACTAAGTGGAAAAAATGTTTGTGTTATGCATTTCATCCTTTAGTCTGATGAAGTCCTAAATGATGAAACAGGTCCCAAAGGTCTTTTCCACTTTATCATAGGTCATATATCTTATAAAACATCAAGTGGTTGTCTGTAATATTTACATTTTTCATTCTATTTAAGTTATCTCCCTTGCATTGGTAACGCCAGGTGGCAGTATCTTTGTTATCACAATAATTATTCTAAGATGTTTAAATCCAGTAACTGAAGCCAAATTCCATGAAAGAGCAAAGTACCACAAAAGTAATTTAGGGAGGAAAAAAAAAACATTTAAAAATTTATGTGTAATCTAATTGGAAGGATTTAACAAAATCAAAATATGCCTTCATTTTTTGTGGCATAAGTATATGCATATTATATATCCAAAATGTCTTCTTATTAAAGGGTGTTCCAATAAGCATCTAGTGATTTTTTTTCTTTTTCTTTCAGATTTGGCGGATATTTAGGTGATATTATTTTTCACATATAATTTTCACACATAATTGCCATGACTTAAATAAGATGATCCAATAGATAAATAAATAAATTTTCACCAATAACACGGATTTGTTTACTGCTGACTTTGATCCGTCTTAATGAAACACCCTTTATAAACATTATATTTAATGAGTATATGTGTTCAAGTGGAGATCCTTGATTTTTTAAGCAATGAAATTGATATCTACCAGTCTAGGTAATCTAAAATTCATATTAAAGAAAATATGCATCTTGGTAGATATTGAATAAGCATTTCCTTTATCTACTATCTATATTTCTCATGTTGTCTGTCTGTGTGTCTGTCGTGGGCGTTGTTACCTCACCCAGGCCGCATTTCTCACCTGATTTCGATGCGGTTTTCAACACAAGTTTGCAAATGGCTGCCGTAAGGACATGACGGAGCCTGATTTTTGAGTTCGGAATCAGGTTCCGAAAAAAATCGATAATCGAAAAAATTCTGCTTACAGAAGGAATGATTGCATTTCAACCAAATTTGACACCCTCTTAGAGTCTACCATTAGAAGTGTTGTCCAGAAGTTTCATGACCATGGACCGCTAAACAGCGCTGAAAATCGATAAAACCCAAAAACCGATACATCCAGATTGCGTCTGAACCGCATGTCGGTTTTTAGTGAAAAATGAGCGGATTTATGAAGAGGCCATTGGGAGTCATCATGTGAAGTTTCAACTCTGAGCACCCCCCAAACAGAGTGCAAATCGACAATCGGTCAACCCTTAAAATGTTTTTCCGGTTTTTAAAGCTGATCGTATTGTTGTTTATTTTGTTTAGTTCTTTTTTCGTAACAGATTTAATGTTTACTATAGAGCTTAGAAAAAGTTGGCAGTGTGATATAGGCAAGAAGTAAGGCATGTAACAACATCAGCACGGCAAAGGGCACTCCTTTAAAGGCAAGGAAGGGCAAAAATATTTTAAGTCAAGTGATAGCGATTGCTGTATTAGTCGTACTATTTTTGAATCAAGCATGGGCAACGCCGGGTCATGCTGCTAGTTCTGGAAAAAGGCTCTCAAAAGGTTCCAACGAGTGATGTGCATTTCTTAAAAATGATAATTGAGCCTTGCCCTGTTATAAAGTCTCTTGTGACTGAACAAATAACCATCCCTGATATTTGTAGATGCAGGATCATATTTAATGGCTTTTAAGACTGGCCTCTTCCTCATCATATTTAGTAGTATTTAAGACCCACTATTTCCAAACCATATTTAATGGCATTTAAGAGCTACAGTTCCTGGACATATTTAATGGAATGTAAGACCCACCTTTTTTCCTAAAATATTAAAATTCCATAAGATTGTAATAAATGCATAAAAAGAAACTTGTTTTGAACTAGGCCAAGTAGAGAAATGGGATTACTTTTGTGCCTTTTCTATAAATACTTTCATGGTAATTGTTCTGATGAACGTTTTGCTATGGTACCTACCCTTTATGAATTAAAGTACAGTAATAGATTGGCAACAATGTCTCATCATTTTACAGTTGTAATGGCTAGATGTAACCATAAGTTCTATGATAATAGTTTCTTCTATCGCACTTCTTGCTTGTGGAACTCTTCCAAACTCTTGCAGTTTTGAACTCTTTACTCCAGTCTCCCAATTCATAACTAGTGTTCTCTCGGTTAACAGTTAAGTGTTGGTTTTCCACTGAGTTTCCCATGATCCTCCCTATAAATAAACTGTTGACCTTTCTCCACTAAAAAGACAAAAAGCTGCCAAATGAAAATACTTTCTATTCAATCTGTTTTGAAATCCATTTCACCATTTTGGGCCATAAATTAGTTAAATTATTGCAGAAATAACATTTTCCAATAACAGATTTACCAAATCAGGGTTTGTTTTCAAGTGAAACATTGGCCTGAAATGGGTTAATCACGTCTCCATTGGAAAGAACTACTGTGAATTCAAAGAATGATGTTTTGGAGGAAACATTTTGGTGCTGTTTTTGGCATCATGTTTCTCCTTGCTTTTCTTAAGTTAGAGATCTAAATCCTTAGGTTTTAAGATTTGGGAGTTGACAGGTCTGTAATAATAACTATAGAATTTCCAGTAATATTCAACATACCATTCAATGACTTTTTTCTGAATATTCTCTGCTAAAATGTGCTTATATGCTATCAAATAACGTAAGTATTTTCTTTAAAGAATATTTCAGTCAGACTCCTCCTCCTGCTATCCTCTACCTTTTTTTTTCCAGATGAGGCTGAAAATGGAGTTCTGCTGCCCAATCTTCACTTTCCAGTCGTGATAGAATTCAAGTATGTCCTTGTGGGTGAAAATTATTTTCCACCCTACAGTCTCTTTCTCATAGATGAAATATAACAAAGCTCTAACTGCTCTATTGCTATTTCCAGACAAACTACATTCCTTAGTTACTCCAATTCTATCCTTCATGGCTAAGAAGACCCACCATGTCATGCACATTGTACCTTCATATTAAGATGATGTAATTCCACTCAAGCAGCTTCATTTCACGAACTGCTGCTTTGTAGAACTGACTCCCAAGAGAATGTTCTCTGATCACTACAATCTTAACTTGTTCAAGCATATGGTCAACCATTATCTTCCCCATATAAACTGTGCCTCATACTCTGTAACACTATCTCGAGTGGCTCTTGGGCATTGTACAGGGTGAAAATCACTATAAAAAATAAATAAATAAAAGTAATTATAAAGCAGGCAGATTCCATAACTTGATGCTTTTTAATAAAACAAAAAAACAAAACAAAAAAGGACGTATGTACAGAAAGACTAAAGAGTTATATTTTGCTTTCAATTGTATTCTGAAGGAGAGTCTCCTCCTCAATGGGTTCAAGTCAGTTTCTTTACAAGATGGGAAAATAGTTTTGTTTGTCTCTTTTCGTTACAAGAATTTATTTTATTTTGTCAAAATAATAAACAACTCTAACCTTGCTTCAAGAATTCGTTTAGACAAGAAGACAAGAGTAATCCAGTGAGAAAATTTGTTATTGTATTGGCAATCGTATTTTTATAGCGAAAGAAAATAACAGAATAAGATAATAAAACAATTTACCAAAGTCTGCAGGCAACTAATTACATTATTGATGTTGTCACTGATTTTCTTATGCTGATCGATTTCTTTGTTCTGCAGGTGAAAATCTGTTGGCGGAGAAAAGAAGACGTTTAAAAAAAATGACAAGGAAAGACTTAGTTTTACTTTTATTATTTAATATTTTTGCACACCTGATAAATTAAATATATCTTTCTGTTTTTAGAAATTAATAACAAAATAATAATACTAAATATTAAACAATAGATTTTCATAAAATTGAATATTGTTCATTTTTATGAAAATTTCAGCAATCAAGTTTTTTTTACACAAACAACTGGAGCGGATTTCCATTTTAACTTAAAATAGTCAGTCTTCAGTACTTAAAATTTTTAAGTACTAAAGACTGACTATTTAGAGAGAATTATTAAGCAAGAAGAGTTAAGAAGGGTTGGGCAAGAAGACTATTCTGGTAAAAAAAAAAGAAAAAAAAGAAAATGTATCTTTTTAACTTAAGAAATTAGAAAAAAAATTTCTTTCTTTCACTTTTAAAATGATTATTATTTTTTTACGAGAGCGGCAAAAAGGTAAATTGGCATAAGTGGAAAATCTACATATTCTGACAGTAGTTGAATCTGTTTTTTTTTTTGTATAGATCTATCCTTGGAAGCAAATCTCTTTCCCTTTTTACTTACTAAACTACTCGTACCATTTTTTTCCTATTTTTTTCATCTGTGCCCTTATTACCGTTCACGACATTCACTAAGTTCAGTATTCTTTCCAACACTAAGCGCACAGAATTTTTTTTTTAATTATATGTTCGTTTAAAAAAAAAAGAGAAAAATACTTCCTTATCTTGCCTAAATAATTATATTTTCTCAAGAGTAATATACTTTTTTTTTTTTATTTTATTGTTTTAAAGAAGAAATTAATGAACACCAGGCATGAATTTAAAAATTAAAGAACTAAGAGCATGGTTCATTCAGTGTGTGCAGCAGATGCAAATATAGTTTGATTAGAAAGTAACATTATTATTATTTTTTTTTTTACAATTAAAACACATCAAAATTTTAAAAAAATAACTTCATCAGAAACAATGATATGGATTGTAATCTCAGTCTTAAAATACAAAGAAAAAATATTTATTTACTAAACTTTCAAAATTTGATAATTTTGACGACATAAAAAATATTCTTGTAAAAATAAATAGTATTTTTATTTTAGTAAAATATTTTTGCAGCAGTAAAATTAGGAAAAACAAAAAAAACACGAATAACGTCCCTTTTCTGCGCGCAGACAAAATAAAAGATTTTAAAAAATGTAGTACGTACCTTTACTAATTCAGTACGTGTGTAAGGTTTAAAATGATTTTTAAAATGAAAAAGCTTTCTTGAAGCTTTCAATTTAGCTTTAATTGAAGGCTAAAGGATTTATAATTTACTATTTCCAGTAAGCAAAATGCTCTGTGACGTATTTCAAAGAGAAATTATATTGATCTGAATCGATTTTTTTTTAGTAAAATCAACCAAAACTGTCATTTTTGACAAATTTGTAAACAAAAGTTAATTCTCGGTTTGAAAAAATCTTGCAAAAATAAACTATATATTTCTGAAATGTTATCTGAGGAAAATTAGAAAATTAAAATTAATATGATTTGAAACAAATACTTATATCATAAAATGTCGTATACAAACATTTCTCAACTACAGGGTATTGTTTTTCTGGTGTGTTAATTGATTTCGACAGCGGATTGACAGCCGAACGTGTTCATAGTTAAGTATGGTGGAGCAGACGATAAAGTTTGAGGGTTTTTTTTTTTCGCTGTAAGGGGGAGCAACCCTTAAAATTCGTGACCTTTTAATGATAGACTAATCGGTTTGTACATCCATACTTCAGAAATTCTGCACGTAATCACACATACAAAAACACATCGGAATTCTTTTATAAATATTCGGGATCGTCAGATTGTAATAAGTTTTATGATTAGTAAATATAGTTTTAATTAATAACAATATTTCCTAAGAATTATCACACTGAAAATGAATTTTAAAAGATTTTTTACAAATTTTATAAATTATTCAATTTAAAATTGTAAAAAATGAAAAATATCTTGTAAAAATTAATTTTTCGTCGAAAATGTTTTTTCAGACAATTTACTCTTTAATATATATTATTCATAAAAGCAATTAAAAGCTTCTCTAATTAAATAATGTCTTTTATTGCATTTTTTATTTTCGATAAAACCCGGATCCGTTTTGCCACAAAAAAAAAATTCGTGATTTAAATTCTTAAAATAATTCTGCTTTTTTTAAAACTAATAGTCACTAAAAAATTATTTCGTTGAATTTCTTGAGTTTTCATAAAATTAAGGGGCTGAAACACATGTAAAAATCTTTAGATTTTCTAATAAAAGAAAATAAGAAATAATTTAATTCGCTGGTGATTAAGTCCTGAAAATTTCATATAAATCCGACAATTATTTGATTTTTACAAGAATTTCCAAATTAATATGGCTGTCACCACTAAAATTTACTATGCTAAAAAAAAATAAAAGTTAGTTTACAAACACTGTCGCAAGCGGCAAGAAAAACAAGTTTTTTTGTTGTTTTTTTTAAATCAAAATTTCGAATGTTCTAAAAAGAATAAAAAAATTTAATTAACTAGCCAAAAAATACTTTTTTATTGACTATAAAACTGTTTTCAATTCATCATATGCTTATTTTTTCGTGGAGGTACATTGATTTGATATTGTCGCAGCAAACTCATCTTGAAATTTCCTTGTTGTACTAGTCAATTAAAAAGAAGTTCTTAATTACGAAATATAACGTTTAATAAACGTTCTTGGAACAATTTTTCGAACTGTACAGAAGAATAGATAATTTTAAAAAAACATTAAAAAGAAAATAAATCTTTAAAAAAAAATAATTACATTCATTACAAACATTTTTTCACAACACAAAAAAAGTCTACCGAATATTTTATTAAAAACTGTCAAAAAAATATTCCAGTTTTATTTTTTGATTCATCAAGGTTTACACTGCTTTATTAATTTTTCAATCGAGTTGATCTTTCTGGTGATTTTAAAAATGTAAATTTATTAAGTAATTTAACTAAAGGTATTCAGATGTTTTCAGATTTCAAGAAATTAAAGACCGGTTAAGATTGGCTTAAATTTTTCTAGAATTTTCGTTTTTACATTAACATTCAATTATAAAAAAAAATATCCAAAATAGATTGGCACAGTGACGAAACGTTATTCAGCATTTTACCAAATTTGATTTGATCACGTTGCCATCATAGATTATATACCTAAGCATAAAATAAAAAAATTATATATTATTTTTTTAAAATATTTTTCTACTAATGAAAATTCGTAGGAGAAAAAAAAAAAGATAAATTTAAAATAAAAAGAACCTCATGTTTCCTGTGACTTTAATAATGAGATTTTAAAAAAAAATGAAATTATTTCTTAAAAAGCCCCCGTAGTACATTTTTTAAAAATCTAATAACTATCAAGTCTAACTTTTAATAACAAATAGAGTATTTTGTATATTTTATTATTTTTTTTTATTTTTGTTGTAGTGCTGATTTAAATTACATACCTATCTCTTTTAGTTGGTGCACAGCACTGGCGACCCAAGCCGGACTTTTGGTTAAATCTTGTATATTCAAAGCAGGTACTCTGTTATCACTTGTAACTCCTAGGTTAGCAAGGATTTTTAAAGAGTCCTTTCTAACAACACTCGCAGACATTTTCCTACGAAATACTGTCTTCTTTACTACAAGCTGATAGAAATATAACTATACCCGTTACTAGGGGTAACCATATAACTAACACCTGGGTTAAATAAAGACACCTGGAATAGCCTCCCTTGCTTTTAATAATGATTTACATTTCATTCGAAACACCTGAGAGTAATTGCAGTTGAAAAAATGCTTTCCAAGTTCGACAAAACCAACGATCAAAAAGTAAAAATAAAATCAAAGCATTTTATTGAAAATTCTAGTTTATTCTGGTGACAATTAAAACAAGGTTAAATAAAATATTAAATTCCACTCCTTATTTGTCAATATTTGTACATGCTAATTTTGCTAAAAAGAAAGTCAATAACTTCGATTTAAGGGAATAATAAAGCTTCTCTGTACAACCAGAAAAATCCGATCTTCTGTGTGCCGTGTTCCTCTCGGACGTTGGCAACCATGTCTCTCTACAATTTCCTGTCTTTATACTTATTAAATTTTGTTTGTCTTTTTATTATCCCTCCTAAACCCTGTTCTGCAGGGCCGGCGCTAGCGCCCTACACCGGGAAATTTTTGGTATGGTGGGGGCCCCCTCTCTACTAAATGTCGATTTCAAAATTTCCCAACCTGGGGGCCAGAAACTCTCGAAGGAAAATTATATTTCAGTTCTTTTTACCAAAAATCAGGGAATTATCCAATTTAAATGAAAGTTTCAGTCCATATTCATTAATTATTTACTTTTATAATTATAGTTTTTTTTATTTTAAAAAAATCTGAGAAAATGTTATTCTTTTTGTAATGATCACCAATATTTTCATGACTAAATTTTACGGAAATTAGCACTTCTTCACCCCCCCCCCAGTAGGCATGGGGCCTCCCACACGGTTGAGAGGTTCAGGGTAGTAAGCAATGGCCCTATCGATTATTATAGTTCATGATTAACAGTATGATTTAGATAAAAAAAAGTAAAAAGTACAAAAAAAAAAAAAAAAAAAACACTGCTGAAACTAGCCCTTTTGGGGTTTCAACCTCGTCAGGGGTTCCTGCATAGTACCCACTGCACTGGCCATGCAGATACCATATATTATTAGTTGATGACTGATAATGTGATGTCAGTTTAATAATAATTTAAAAAATGGTGGATGGCCATAAAACAGTGCTGAAAAATTTGTCAGGGGACACAACAGCACCCCTCCCCCCCTTTCAGGGCTTTTGAGGTTAAGACATGCCAGTCCTCCTGTTCTGCAATCCATTTATTGAAGCTTGCTAGTTAGGTTATGTGTTGTTTTCTTCTTTACCTTTTGCCTTCAATCTGTCCTGTGAGTATCAAATTTTCCAAGCCTTCTTTCCTCATTATGTGCCCTAGAAATTTCAACTCTCTCTCTCTTCCTGGTATTAAGTATAAATGCCCTTTTTGTTTCAATTTTCTCTAAAACTTCGTCGTTGCTCACATGTTCGGGCCATCCTATCTTCAACATAGTTCTGTAGAAACACATTTCAAGTCCCTTCATCATCTGAGGAGATTGTCCAGCACTCACTGTCATATAGGAGGACTGATATTGCATAACAGTTCAGTACTCTTTACTTTCTAACAAATTTTCCTATTTCTTAATACTTTGTTTAGCTTTTGGAAAGCATCTTTTGCTATCCCAATACTGCATTTTCTGTCTTTTGTTAAAACACTTTTTAGATATTTAAATTGTTGTACTTGCTTGATTTTGGTATCATCAATTTGTAATTTGCAGTGTTGGGTTCTTCCTTTTGCTAACAACCATGTATTCTTTCTTCACTACCTTCTGTAGGAGTTTTTGTAGTCTCCTTTCTGTATCTGTTTTCAACACTATGTCATCTGCACACCTTATGGTTTTAAGATTTCGGCCACCAATGATAAATCCTAGTAGAATTTCTAATTCTCTCAGAATTGCCTTACTGTATAGATTTAGTAAGTCTGGTGAGAAGACAAGAATGTCTCTTACACCCTATTTCTATTTTTGTATATTTACTGAATTCATTTCCTATCTGTATGCAGGTCGTTTGCTGACAGTATAGGTTCTGGATTATTCTAATATCCTTCCCAGGTGTGTCAAGGTTGCCTAACAGTTTCAACAGTTCTTTGTGACATACTTTATTAAAAGATTTTGCATAATCTATCAGCTGATTTTAAATGATAATCACACACATCACACACACACACACACACACACACACACACACACATATATATATATATATATATATATATATATATATATACAAAAGTCACCAGCCACTTTAAACTAGTGTAAATTCCTAATAATTGCCAACTTACAAATAGATGTTTCACATCACTTTTATACAGCTAAAACATTGACAATATTGAAGTCATTTTCATGCCTAATTATCTTTTTTAGCAAGAATTCAGTATGGTTCTGTAGCTGTTCCACTGGACTTAGGGTTGAAAGATATATTATATAAGACTGGCTGCTGAAAAGTCCAAGCATCACAAAGATAACATGACATGTGGTAAACTCAACAACTCAGTTATTTAAACTGCCTGTTGGATCTGTCCTGATCCTAGCATTCCTACATTGGACCAGAAGTCCTTATCATCATTATTGATGTTATTATAACATCCCTCTTCCTAAGATAATTTATTTTCTTTATTAATTTATAACTTTTCCAAATTACAAAATAATGACAAATCAGTTTGTTTTGGTTATAGTTCAAAGGCGATAACACACTCAATTCATTAGTTGTCACAATATACGACCTGTTGTTAGTGTCTGCTGACTTGACCATTTCCTTCAGTGTGCCAATATTTCTTTTTATCTAATTTTATTCCAACTCTACCTCCTTTTTCTAGAGTTGGTAAATTTCAGGCACTATGGAATCTGTTAAAATTCTTTTCCATTCTGGTTTTTGCCAGTTTGTCCTTCCTAATTTGTGTGAAATCAGGCCATTTTGGTAGTAACATTTTTGGATCTAAAGGTAATGTGGTTCTTTTCCTTCCCATAAATAATCCAGTGGAACTGACACCTCTGGCTTGAATTGACATTGGTATGCTATTAATGCTTGAAATGTGTGATTGTTCCAAAATTTTTGTAGCTATTTTAACAGCACTTTCTGCTTCTCCATTTGTTTGAGGATAATGTGAACTTGATATTATGTGTTTAAATCCATAACTGCCTGCAAAATCTTTGAAAGTGTAACTTGAGAATTGTTTCCCATTATCAATGACAAGTTCAGTAGGAATTCCCCAATGTGAGAAGAAATTTTTCAACTTCCTTATCAATCATTTGCTTGTCACTGGATTAAGCTTTGTTATTTCTATATATCTTGAGAAATAATCTATTGCAGCAATATATTGGTGTCCTTGATGAGTGAAAATGTTTGTAGCAATTCTTTGCCATGGACTTTGAGGAAGTGGTGTCACTTTTAATTTTTCCTTTTTATTTGTTGGACAGTGTATGTTACAAAATGAGTATTTTTTTAGATACTGCTCCAACTCTTGAGATATTTTAGGACACCACACCAGTTCTTCTCCTCCTTCTAAGCATTTGTTTAGTCCCAAGTGACTACTATGAAGTTTCCTTAATATTTCTGATCTAAGTCTTTCAGGTATGGCAATTTTGTCCTGAAACCATAGTAAACTGTTATGAACTGATGATTCATTCTGACTTGGAAAATATGGCATTATACCTTCTTTTATTCTTCCTTCTTTGTGTATCCATCTATTTAATGTAAGACATATTATTTCCTGTAATACAGTGTCCTGTTGAGTAGCTATTTGTATTTCATTTAATTTCTTATGTGATGCTGGTCTGGTTCTTGCCACGCAAAATTGCCATACCTGAAAGACTTAGATCAGAAATATTAAGGAAACTTCATAGTAGTCACTTATAGGCTCATATCTTTGCTAGTATTACTATCAGTGTCGGATAAAGGACTTCTTAATAGTGTATCGGGTACAACTAGTACCTTCCCTGGGATGTGTTCTGCTACTGGGTTATATTTTCTCAGTTTCATCAGAAGTCTTTGACATTGTAATGGGGCATTTTACAGATCATGTGTGTTTATTAACAGTATAAGTGTTTTATTGCCCGTTAACAGTTTAAAGGATTTGAATCCAGTGACATATCTGATAAACTTCTCACATGTCCATACACAACTCAAACACTCTTTCTCAATTTGTGCATATTTCCTCTCAGTGCATGAGGTAAATGCTATTATTTTTAAGTTTCCATCTATTTCTTGAAATAGAGCTGCTCTGAGACTATAACTACTAGTGTCAACACTAACTACTCTAGGTCTGGTTAGATCATAGTAGGATAGAATTGGTGCTTGAGTTAGTAATTCCTTTATTCTTTTAAAAGAATTCTCTTGTGGATAATCCCATACAAGTACAGTGTCTTTTTTCAATAATTTGGTCATTGGTTGTATTGTTTCAGACAAGTTTGGTAAGAATTTTCCTAAGTATCTGACCATGCTGATTATACAACGTAATTCAGTTAAATTTGTAGGTGCAGGCAACTCTTGAAAAGCTTTTAGTCTTTCCTTGCTAGGTTGAATTCTGTCTTCAGAAATTATGTGTCCAAAATATTCTACTTGTGTTTTTCTCAATTGACACTTTTCTTTATTAAGCTTGAGTCCAGCTTTTTGTAATGTTTTAAGAACAGCTTTTAGTCCTTTGTCGTGTTCTTCTATATTTCTACCATAGATTAGAACATCATCAATAATTGTTTAGCTCATTAAATATTTTTCAGTAATTCTTTTTTTGAAAGATTTCCAGAGCTGATGTTATATCAAAAGGTAATCTTTTGAAGCAATATCTTCCAAAAGGAGTAATGAAAGCCATGAGTAGATAGCTTTCTTTACTTAACAGAATTTGGTACAATCTGCTGGTAGTATCCAGTTTAGAATAAAATTTAGCTCCATTTAATTTAGGTGAAATATCATCTAAATTTGGTAACATGTAATGTTTCCTTTTCACTGCTAAATTCTTTGAATCTACACATATTCAGACTTTTCCACTTCTTTTTATTATGGATACTATAGGCACACACCAATCAGTTGATCTGTAAACTTTTTCTCACTAATTCCCTCATAATTTTCAGTCTATTCAATTCTTCCTTAACCTTTCATAAAATAGGGAATGGGATTCTCCTAGTTGTTGTTACACAGTAGGGTGAAGTGTCTTTTTTCATGGGTTTCCATTGATACAACCATTGGCAACAAATGAAGTTCTTTATTCTATTTTATCTAAACGTTTCACTAAATTCATTTTTACAGACAACAAGTTCTCTCCCTTTGCACATTTGATGACATATATCTCCAAATATTATTTGTCCTAACCTTCTTTTGTAACAGTAAATTTTCCTATGCATTGGATTGGACTATTCCTCCAGGACTTGCGAAAAAGCTATTTACTGGTTTTAATATAAGTTTTTCTCTCAGATTCTTGTAAGTTTCAGTTGAGATAATGTTTATATCGATGCCTGTATTGATTTTAAATTTCACTGCTGTTTTACAGATTTTTATACCACAGGTCATTTTTAAAATGTGTTTCTGTCAGCTCTCCTAGGAAATATTTTGGTGCTGCTTTAGAAGTTGGACACATGTTGTCTGTACCAAGGTTCATGATGAAGAAGTTAAATTTAATGTCTTTTGGTGGGATGTCCTTATTTCTGGCAGGAACTGTTTTTGTTGCATGCTGGGAGAGTTTTTATTATTTTTAATTTTTATTTATTTTATACGTTTTTTGTTAAATGTTTTATTTTATTTATACTTTTCATTATTATTTTATTTTTTTTTTATTTACTTATAATAATAATAATAATACAAAGTCTATAAAATAACAAACATTTCTCTTTCATTTAGTATTTTCTCTTATTGCTTTAATGTATGAATGTAAATGAAGATCACTGCCAATGTTTAACGTTTTCTCCTTGGTCCTTTGTTAACTAATGAACTCTCTCTAAAAGTTATAAATCACATATTTTGTACAAAACAACACCACATTCTTAGAACTAGTTTCAATGTCAAACCATCCCATTTCAAATTATTGATGTACACATGCAAAAACTTTTTGGATGTTTGCAAATCTAATTGCCCGTTGTTTTAATTCCTTAATTTGGTTGTTTTTTATTTTTATTTCAGACTAAAACATGAAGTCTGCCAATATTGTTTACATTACAAATGTTTGTTGACATGAAAATATTTCATTGAAAACCTCCACACTCTATTGATTAAATAAAATTCAATTAAAAACAATTTGTTTTATTTTTCCCAAACATCAATAGTAATCTACTTTCGTTACAACCTCATCATCATCACAGTTGTTCACTTTCAAAACAGAACTGTTTTTTGAAATTAAAGTAATTATTCATTATGAATTGCTAGAATCAGGACAATATTTTCTTGCTGTTTGGGTGCATCAGAATTTCTCCCTTTTACAGTTTTAATAATTGTTTTGTAGTATAATGGGATTTTCTTTACAATTTTTCTTCCCCAGATGTGGGACACACATTCTCTTCTCCCACCACTTTTTTTCCTCCATGGACTAACTTTCCTTTTTTTTTTGTTAGCCAACCATCTCAATAAGTTGCCTCAATATTAAAAAATTTAAATTCATTTATTTTGCAAAACTAGAACTGAATTTAATTTTTTATGATTTATTCTGGAAGTTTGTAAAATGATTATGGAACATGATTGTATCTTAATTCAAATAAAAAAATTTTTGCCAAAAAAAGATTTTATCTTTTTATTTTTCTCTAGTGCCTTAGGCTCAGTTTCTTTATTGCTGTTGTTGTTTTCAAGGTTTCATTATATTTATATTTTCATTTGAATAAAATCATTATTGAAAATTGATGTTTATATTGTAAAAATATAATTTCCTAAAATTTATTGTCATGTTTGAAATATTCTGTTATTTTTTAGTTATACTTTCAAATGCTACTCCATAAATATTAAATTAACCTTGCAGTCTATTTGCCTTTCACAATCATATACTTCATAAATATCAAAATTGATTAAAATAACAGTTTAAACCATTTATCCAGCTTGTTTGGGACAAAATGACATAGATTTAAATATTCCAGTTTTTAAATATATAAAAAGTAAAAGGATGAAATTCTTTTTTAACAGATACAAATTAA